GCTTGATGGTCAGTACGTGCATCAACAGCAAATGACATCCGACGACACAAAATGCGACCGAGTGCCGGCAGCAGGGCTCTAGAAGCGAAAGCTGTACCAGAATCACTACTACCCATTGCAACTGCAGCATTTGGTCTCTTCCTCTTCACTTGATCCGTCATCTCGATCACGTCTTGCATCTCTATCGTTCCACTGGTATTTGTCTCATTCCTATTACCGACTCTTCTTTTCATCCAAGCACTGCTCTATCAGCTCCGTCTACTTCTGATGCTGCATATGCATATCACCCTCATCTTCCATCCTTGTAGTCACCACACTATCCTTCCTTCTCTTTATTTGTAACCAATGCAGTCCATGTCTCTTCTTTAAAACGATAAACCCATGCCACTAATACGCTTTCATCACTGCCTCTTGTACGTTAACGAATTTCATTCGCCATAATCCAAACGTTAGCATCAGCTAATACAATAATAAATCCATGCTACTTCTGATTCTGCTTCGAACTCTTCTTCACCTTCTGATTCTGCTTCGAACTCTTCTTCACTTGTTTCATATCACTAGTTAATTGTCATCTACGTTCCTCTATCAATGCACATAATTCCTCTTTCATGTCGGAATACCGCCCACTCTGGAATCGTATCGCCTCTGGATTCACGCGCATCTCTTTCGGTGTACGTACAATGATGACCCACAATACAACGCGTAATCCATGTCGCATACATCCATGCACGTAATTTGCTCCTGTATGAACGTGGATGAAGGTTGCTAATGATGACGTCATCGTTGATTTCTTCTCATGCATACTCAAGTGATGACGACGACGACGCGATGACATACCGGTATGTATGTAATGAACCACAAAAGCTGCTCTTATGCTCTTGTTTTTGTGTGAGTACACCCAAAGGACGTCATGGCTTTGGAGAGAATGGAAAAAATGCTCTTATATGACACACACGATAAAACATTGTCTACACGAGCAAATGAAAGACAAACAAACCGGTATACAGTATTTTTGTCATGCTCTACAAAAAGGATCATACACCACAAAAAACATGCTACCTAACTGTCGATGCTAGAAAAGTGTAGGCAAATGTAGCCACTTTACACGTTCAGCATCTACATAAGACTGACTAGACTTGATTCATGTGGCGCCAGGAGTTTCGCTGGATGCGGCACGTTATACGTGCACAGGACCACGAGATGCGTCTTGACGTTGGTTACATCATGAGTCTTCCATCTCTAGCACAGAGTTTTCTACAGAAACAGTTGCGTAAACGCAAGATCCAAGTGCAGTGTTGTCCTTCATTTAACGTGTCAAGTGATCAGACAAGTCGAGCTAATTCATTGGTGTCGAGCTAATTCATTAGTGTTTGAAGGCTCTATTGTGTCGATTGATGTCCATTCATATCAATCGATAGTGCAATCAATTGGACACAAGACAGAGCAAATGAGAGAGTTAGAAGAGACAGTAAGGAAGAGGAAGAAGAAGACGAGACGAAATGACTGGAGACAGTGTCTTTTGTATGAGAATCAAGCGTTTCTTATACTAAACAAACCTTATGGATTAGCAGTTCAGGTATGGGTGGGAGAGTGATGCATGTCTATACAAATATGTCATGAATCATCATAGCTTGTTGTGCTATAATTTGTCTTGTATAACTCAAGAGAGAGAGAGAAAGAGAGTCTGAAGGATGTTGGAACATGATGTTGTCGTATACTGTAGAGTAGCTCATGGTTGATCGAGTCATTGGATCAATACTTGCCGTCAATTGCAAAGTCATTCACAGACAAATCTGATCCGTTACAGCAAGATAAAGATGAACAACAGACATCAAAGGTGGTGCATCGATTGGATATGAACACGTCGGGGGTGCTGGTGTTAGCACGCTCTCGACTTGCAGCTGCCAAATTCTTCCAACTACTGCGACATGGTGCCGTGCAAAAAACGTATGAAGCGCTAGTGTCAGCAGCAACCTCACCCTTATCATCAGATAACAACTACAGCATGTTGAAGTTTGAGGACGAGAGATTAAACACCATGTAGACGGCAAGTTGGCGTGTACGTTAGTAAAGCGAGTGTTGCGACGGAACGATCCGACAGAGCCTACTGGGACATGGCTGCAGCTCCAACCTCGTACTGGACGAAAAACGCACCAGCTTCGAGCGCACTGCGCACAAGAGCTGGGTGCCCCGATCGTTGGAGACATCAAGTACGGTGGGCAATCAGCCGATTGAATGTATCTGCACGTAGCACGTATTCGGTTCCCTGATCCGTTTAGTGCTGGAAAGTTCATCGACGTCTCTTGCAAAAGGGCTACAAGCCGACGTTGTGTAGAGTGAACGAAAGAAGACGTGAACGTGAATCGTCGGTAAAGGTTTGGTGGACTTGCGCAGTGAAGGTTTGGTAGACTCGATCGGTGAAGGTTTGGTAGACTCGATCGGTGAAGGTTTGGTAGTCTTGCTTGGTGAAGGTTTAGTGGACTTACTGTCCAAGTTCTAGTTGTGTTCGGTCATGGTTTTGGTGGTACGACACGGTATAGATCCTTTGTTCATTTGTGTGTATATCGCGCGAGGAACGAAGGGATTGTACTTGACATTTACTAAGAGTGCAACATCAAAGCATCCCAGTCATTAGACAGTAGACTGAGAGTATATAGCTTACCGTCAGGACAAAGGAATCGATGGCTTTATTTTTGTCCTAAACCCGGTCTAATCACTACTTTTCGTAGGATGACTGATAAGCGGGATAGAAGTAAACTGCTACGATCATTTTCAACAAGACTAAAGAGACCAGAAACGATTGAAAAAAGAGGCAAAGACTTGTGGACTTGATGCACTGGATCATGAAGACTATCGGTGCTATCATAAATGTCCTATTATATCGATACATAGTCAACGAGTTTACCTCTTGAATCTCATGTAGGAAGAATTGTCGTGTCCTAAACAGAATTGCAAGATCGACATGTAGTTTACTCACCACTTCTGTAAGAAAGACCAAGCTTATGGTGGCAAGATATACGATAAAGGTACGAGTATACTGACTATAGGTCAAAGTGTCGGATTTGTACGTGTGGTTCAAATAGATATCAAGATGATATTTCAAAGCAGATACGTGTGGTTGCAAGTATTTTTGATTGAATCAATCGGCAGGACAATGAGTATATTAACTTTTGGTGGCTACTTCTGAATTGACTACAACCACGTACAATGTTTGAGGGTCAAAATGTGTATTACATGTATTAGATGCATGTCCACAACAAATTGTCACGTAAACAAAGCAGATAGTCTTGAATAATCACTAACGAAGTACTAGTGACTTGAGAGAAAACCAATGGCAAAGACGATGACGACGGCGATGCGGACGATGGTGGTTATGGTGATTTGGTTTCTCTGATAATCCATTTGCCGAGTCTTGTCTTTATCCTTTACCGTATCTTTGGGATTCTTACGAGCCTTATCTTCCTATTCTTCTGCCTTGTGCTTTAACCTTCCCTACTAGTCCTAATCGTTATAATAGACATAACTGTCATCGTCGTCATCATGATATCTGCTGACACGGTACCTTTTTCTTGAATGGTATCTGCCATCGTAACGGTCGTAGACAAGTAATTTGTCATCGTCATCGTCATCGTATAAGATATCAAACAAACGTTCCTCATGTAGATCGACTTTCTTCCCGCCCTGCGGCTTGGAAAGAGAGTTGTCATTTGAAGTCTCAACACGTGATCCATCCGCATTTTCATCGATCAGGAAACGCGGCATGCCTGTATCGTCTTCCTGCTGAGCCGTTCTCAGCGAAGCGTGTCCAGCAGAATAGGAGCCAGCCTCAAAACCATCAGTGCTTGTACATAAAGCAGAAGCAACAGCTAGAGCGATATAGTAGAAACGCATTGCTGGACGCGTGACAAGGTGATTGCAGTATAAACTCGATACACTTCGGCTCTTGGACGATGATTGCAAAATGAAAAGCTCAAAGCAAGGACATTTTTTTCATTCAAGACACACAATAACTTATTTGCTAAACCTGCTTAGCTTCTGATGCCAAGAGCAGGTGTGAGAAATCTGGTACGGATGTGCACAGGAAACATCCACCAGTTGCAAGATTCAGATGTCAGTCAACGTATCTGTCATTCAGCATCACTGCAATCGGATTGTTTATACGACAGGTCTGAGATGTATCAATCGCTACTAAACACACGGCTGCTCTACATGTTGTGTATATAACGAGTATTATATACGTAGCAAACTAGAAGTCGTAAGTTAGTAGGAAGAAGTAGTCGGAGCCACGAGAGAAGTAAGATTAGAAAAGCTCAATACAAATCATGTCATAAACTTTGTTATCCTAACTAACGTTGCCAGCACTTGATTTCAACATGCCAGTTTCAGCAGCCTTCAAGTCTAGGATTCGAGTAATTAGGAGCCTGCTATTTCTTAGAAATGAGCTGATTCTGATCCGTCGGTTCAAAAACAACACACGACAAGTCGTTCGTCTGACTGCTGGAGCTGGTATTATCACGTATCGAGGAGTTGAGATTGCAGCTATTTAATGTTGATGTATATGTATTGCTGCAAGTATTGCAGCGTCCAGCTCTTGCGCAATCAACATTTGGGAATGTTGGAAGAATTCGAACAAAAAGCGAAAATTCATGATAAAGCTCCACCACATGCGACAAGTTGGGTCCAATATTGACAAAAAGTGCGTCTTGCACAGTTAGCTCGACGAATTTTTGAGTGCTGGACATGTTCAAATGTCTCAACCTCGTATTATTCCTGTGTAGCCAATCTTGATTTCGATTGGTTAGTTTCAATTGAAACGTCTGATTACGCAGTACCCAACGCTTCTCGCTCCATCTACCTCCATACAATACTCATATGCAATTCTGTGATATCTTGGAATGTGATGATTACCATTATGACCTTGTTATGTGGCTTTTTACTGCTTTTGTTACATAAAGCAGAGCGAACACAATCAACTGGTTTTTTATCTCAGTTCATTCATCCCATTCGACTTACAAGAGACTTATTTGATTAGGAAACATGTACATTATATCCTGCATGTCGCAATTTACAATGGAGTTACGTCGGACCAATTAAGTCGGCACCCCCAGACCATAATATACAGCCGCATCATGCATGTCACGTCTGAGGGAAGTACATTGAAGACCGAAACGGTTTAGTGGCGTGGCGTCTTTGGCTCAGAAACAAAACGTACGCTGCATCAAGTTCATAGCATTCATAGCCTTCATTTCTCTAAAGAACGTCGTTAGATAATCTACATAAGAAATCCTTCTTGATCCCATTGCTTCGTTTGTCTTTATATGCTTCTCTTCTTTGTCATCATCAGAATTGTCATGGTCATGACCACATACACTACTCTATTGTATCTACTTCCCCCCTTTCGTAAGAAGAAAGACTTGAACAATGAATGATGACTCCTTCTTCGCCATTATCACGAAGGCAAACACTTGTCTGACGTTAATAAGCTTTAAGCTCTATGGTTCTTAGACCGTCCAACTGCAAAGCGTCAGCCATATCCAGACGAACCTGGGCAGAACTCGCTTTGATGTCGTACCAGACCAGCGATCCATTAAGTTCCCTCCTCTTTCTTGGATCGGGAGCAATCCAGAATACAAGTGTGAAATGACCGACTGAGTAGCCTTTCTCGCAGTTTATTTTTCGACTCATGGTGCCGGCTCAGAGATGGCCGGAAATAGAGCGGAAGTATTACGCGCGACGGTCGCTCGTCCTGTCGCCATGCAGCCAGTTTACACCACTCTGGAATCTGCCAAGTCGAACGTGACGGACTCGAAGCTTCAGCGCCAGCAATAATGAACCAATTTGAAACAATTTCTGCTCTGGACCCTCGTGAACACCAGTCAATGACAGCTGCTCCAAAGTCGACAACCAACAAGCCTCAGTCGGTATCTTCATCGGTAGCAAACTCAAAAGGAGTGAAGCGGCATGAAAGTAACGAAGTTGAGCATGAGGACGAGGAGCAAGACAATGGTCATGAGGGCAACAATAAGCGGGAGGTGAACGATTCATTGGACAATGTCAACAAACTTATGGTCAACTTTGATGGGTTTGGATCGCTTTGCGAGCCTTTTGCAATGCCCCGCTTCAATGATGGAGACAAAGACGTTGGAACCGTCCGATCGGCCATTATGTGCAAGCCCTTAAGTTTAAATGCACCAAGCTTTTCGCTCAGTCCAACGTGCGTGTCAGCATTGGCTCGCGACGAGGTCGTGAAAAGTGACACGGACTTTGACGAACCTTCATGGACGATTCAAGAGTTCCAGGAATACTTAGGCATGCTTGAGTTGTTGCAGGACGTAAGCAGTGATGCCGAGGGCGGAGAAATGTGTTTGTCAGCCGATTGTCTCGGTCAAATGGAGCGGCTACTCACATCGCTCTTACCTCAAGGAGCGTGATCGTACCGTGACAAGACCAGAACGAGTCAAATTCTTTGCGTTAGACACCAACTACCTTTTGTACAATTTACTTCATCGAAATCGACACAGCCGCATATTGTGATACGGTTTCTCGACTACCTGTTGATACTTACTTATCTGTCAGAGCTTTCAGGAGTAGTAAGCAAAGATGGACTCTTGTTTCACGAATCCAGATCTAGCTTGTCCTATCAGTAAACGCAGACTTTTTTACTTTTTCCAGGTCATGGATGCAAAACCTGGGCACCATGCATGATCGTAGCTCCTACGTGTAGATCAGGGTAATTCCCACGTCTCACAACTTGTGTCTTCGTCATTGACGGCGATGATGACAAGTGTTTGTTTAGTGTGAGCGGGATAATACGTTTACTCGTTGCGTCCGGAGGCAAAATGAATCCCAGATCGCGCTTCACTTGCGATAGCGGCATAAACAGACTTGGTGAGAACGAGTGAGACTTTCGATTGTGCTGCCGATCATCTTCAGGGGCTATTGTGCGAATAGCATCATTGCCTTCGGACGTTCCGCGTGATAGTTTGACCTCCATGGTAGAAGTTAGTCGATCAACGGATTCAAACGTGAAAAAAAGTTTGAATACGATTTTCAGCGCTGAGGGTGCTGATGCTTGATAACTTGCATCGATTGCATCCTCTTCCATCCAAAACGTGTACACATGATCTCCTGGTAACAGCGCGTTATGCTGTAGCTGCGTGCGCGCACCTTTCAGGTAAAAGCGAGAGTGACTGTCGAATACGACAGCTTCTGGGACGTTCACCTTTTGCATTCCTGTCGTATCGCACACACGAACCATGAGCTTGCCTCGGCCCGCAACGCTCTCCACTTGCAATTGCTCAAATTTACGAATCGTGAACACCAAAGGAGTGCTAGTAGGAGTCAATATGCATCTCTCGCATCGAAAATAACGCAACGACTCGTCGTCTGGGGCCGTAGGAAGCCCTACATCTTGAGGTTTTTCATTCTCTGTCTGCGTTGCGGCTTCGGTTGTCTTCTTGTGTAAGTGAAGACCAGCAGATGGAGACGATAAATTGGCAAACATGCTAACACGTTTCGTACTACTGCGACCCAAGTCGACATCGTTGACTGATCGTCTACGAGTAGGTATTTCCGCTGGGGTCTTTGTAGTAGTCGACCACGCATGCGATGGATCACCAACTACGCTTGATGGAAATAACTCTTCATACAGGTCAAAGTAAACTGCGTCGTCTTTAAACGCTTGTTCATTGACGTTACGTTGGCGAACAAGTTTTCCAGTTCGATACCAATCTAGAATCATTTCAAAGTGCTGTGGATTACGGTCGATATAGAATGCATCATCGAGACATCCGACCTTGCCACACGCACACATGATAATCTGATTGAGTCTTTTGAGTGGATATTTCGCAATCAAACTTTCCTTGCAACGAAAGAGTTTACCACCAACATCGAATGCAACAATGCGAACGGGTTTCGTATCTGGATTTCGTAGATCCGATACACTTTTCGAGTGCCACGGTACACGCGTCCTTCCGATTGGATGCTCAGTGTCTAAATGGGTTTGAGGCTTTGCATGAAAAGACGCTCCTTGACTCGTACTTCTTGATAAAAGTGGCAAACATTTATCAGACGGAAGCAACGTGTTTGATACAAGTATTGATCCTTTCATAGCAATGTCAGCTTTGTTTTGTGTACCAAAGAGGTCATCGTGATCCGTCACAATGTGAACCTGGTTAATTTTTTTTCCCATCTCTCAGTCTCGTCATGAATTGTATCTTGTCTTTTGTCTCTTCGATCTCTTCTTCTTCTATTCTCTTTGATCTCTACTATTAAAAGTGATTGTTTACTTTGCCTTCAGGAAAAGGAATGAAAGGCGGAGACGCAACGTCTAGTGAATAACAAGCAAGTACTATTCTTCTTAACATAGTGATACGCGAAAGGTCGTATGCATCTTATTGGTGGAAGTGAAATTCGACCAACTGACCACTTGTCCGACGTAACGCAATATAACTTTGGGCACTTTTTTCAGGACAATGTCGAGGAGAGGACTAGTTCTTCAGTCCAGTCGTGAATTTGTGGTTGCTTTATACTGTTTACTATCATGGCGTCACGTCCTTTGTTAGCTATTGATTGAATGTATGGATTCATTCAACAAGGTGTTGTTGAATTGAAAGAAATACTTGCAACTACATATTGACATGAAGGTGGTCTGGTGATATGAAATAAGAGGATAGTTCTTGTCATGTGTTTCAATATGTAACGTAGACTACTTGGGTAAAACCCTATGATCTGTCAAGTAATTATAGATCTTGTAGGTTGCGAATCTCAGGCATTTTGTGTGCTCACATAACGTTCATTCATTCATTCATTGCGCTTTGACTTGAGTTTGTATTGATATTTTATCGAACATATTAACTGTCGTACGTGCTACTTTACCAATCATTAAAGACTTATTGCACCATTACAAATAGCTACAAGAAGAAGAAGAAGAAGTTGCAACCACCTTTGCCTCATAAGTTGATTTTTTTACGACTGTAACTATAGTTGAAATGACTCGTATTGAAGTTGATGTTCTATTCCACCAATCCGGATCGGCTACGATATATGCGACATTTTCAGTACCCATTGATCCACACACCAGTGATCACGCCTACTTTCAAGCAACATTTCCATCGTCTTGTCAAATATGACGCATCGTGCTGCATTGATCCGATCGGCGTTGTGTCTAACAACGGGTATGTATGTATATATTCATGTATGTGTTCTCTATAATTCCTTCTTATTATGTACTAAAGATTCATATTAAGTATAGCAAAACCACGTCCATCTCCTACTCTTTTCTGTTTTCCTGGTCTTCCATCAACTCCGTGGCATGATACGACTACATTTGACTGGATACAACGTCTTGAAGCCAACCGCGACGTGATTACGAACGAGTACTTGAAACTTTACAAGCAACGAAATCTATTGGCTAAAAATCCAAGTAATGACAATGGATTAAATAATCAAGAACATCAATTGCATCAAGGTCAGTGGGACTGGCTCTCATACGTGACACAGGGTCGTCGACAAGCAGATTTTGCCATACAATGTCCAAAGACAGTCGAAATCCTTGAGACGATTCCTGGTTTGATGACAAACATACCATTTGCGTATGCATTCTTCTCTATTTTAAAGCCAGAGGTAGGTGAAAAATCGATGTATGATGCCAAGAACGTGAAGAAAACAAACGAAGGATTCACACTATTATTGTTTTGTTTATTGTAGTCAAGTATTAAAGCTCATTCAGCTCCATGTAATCTTCGTCTACGATGTCATTTTCCATTATTTGTACCAGAAGGTTGTGGTATTCGAGTTGGTAATGAAACACGACAATGGAAAGAAGGCAAAGCATTTGTGCTAGATGGTTCGTGAGTTCAAGAGAATATATTTACATAGAGTAGAGACAAGAGTGTTAGTGAATGGAAGAGAGATGATAGGACTTTGTTGGATATGTTTGACGTTTTTGTATGGAATTGTATGGTTGTGATGTAGATGCATTTGACCATGAAGTGTGGCATCATGGAAAGAAAGGAGATCGTGTCTTATTGCTTTTTGATGTTTGGCACCCGGATCTTGTAGAAGAAGAACGTCATGCTATTGTTGAAATGTTCAAAGATGCAAAAAATAAGGGATGGCTCAAGGACGATAGTGCTAGTTTTTGTTAATGCACATACTTGTCACATTTTGTACATGATGAGATGAAGAGTGGGAAGGTATAATATGGTGAAAGTCATTGGTGCGTATTGATGTGATTGTGTCAATGCTGGACCAGTTGATATATACTCGTTTGGACGTCTGTTGTCGGATATCTCGATACTGAATGCTGTTGAAATGGAGAAAACTAGAGGTTTGTTGTATTTTTCATGATCATTATTGTACTAGCGTAACTGTTTCTACGACGTACCAGTCGCGATGGTATCTAGTGCTGCCTCTGCAGGTGTTCATATTCTTGCTGGGCAGCCATCGTATTGAAAATGTGTTCTAATGATGATGCACTCACACCATATTCATCAATTTCCAGTTGTTCCTTGTTTTCCTCAAGAAGACCAAAGATTACGTAAGGCCGCAATGATTGCTTGGGTACTTGGAAACGAAAGTGGCTAACTTGATGCTCAATGAGCTCGCAACCGAGGAAATTGGAATGAAAAAACTCTTGCAGCGCAACGCCCATGTTCTCGGATTGCCACCATGCGCAGAAGACGTCAATGGGAATGATGCCAGACGTTTCAAGGTAGCTGTTGAGCACGCTACCATTTCTTTCGCCGTCCACAATCGCTTGAGCACGGTTCGGCACACCTAGAGACGAACACAGACTGTCAACTTGATCTCGTACGATCCCAGAGCTATTGCTCCCTAGGATTCTATACACTTCTTGCTGCAATCTTCCTACAGCAGACGTGTTGGGTTCGCGCATCTTCACCTCTACAACGTATCCTCGGCCAAACTTCTGCTTCAGATGCTCAACGCTTCCCAGACATTTCAGTTTCCCACTCACCAATATACCCACACGTGTGCAGAGTGCTTCACACTCCTCCATGCTATGTGTCGTAAGGATGACACAAGACTCTTTGGCTGCACACACGCTGGCAATAACATCCCACATTTTCCTTCGAGAGCTTGGATCTACTCCCGTCGTAGGCTCGTCCAAGAAGATAATCTTTGGAGAGCCAATCAAGGCGATGGCTGTTGATAGTTTGCGCTTGTTGCCCCCACTAAGTCCCTGCGTCAGCTTGGTCCGGTACTCAAACAGTCCGACTTCCTCGATCTTTTCGTCAACGACCTTCTGTACACGGCCACGCGGGATTCCTTTGAGCCGGGCGTACAGCTCAAGCTGCTCTTCTACGGTTAACAAGTCATGTAACGAGTCAAACTGAGGGCAATATCCAACCACTCTGCGCGCTTTATCGCAGTCACGAGACAAATCGTAGCCTGCCAAGGTCACGAAACCGTTGGTCGGTGCAATCTCCCCAGTCAGAACCTTCATCGTCGTCGACTTGCCAGCTCCGTTAATGCCGAGATAACCAAAGCATTCCCCCTTTGCAATGGAAAGACACAAATCATCCAGCGCAAGCTTGCCTTTGCGTCCATATTGTTGACGCAGGTTACGGATGAATACGCTGTCGTTGTGGGTGGGGTAAGATTGCTCTACTTTTTGGCGTTCCCTGGCCACGTCATCATCCTCATTACGAGACAACTGCTGTCGTGTCTCAGAGTGCCATGATAAACTACGGTTCTCGATAATAAACAACAACAGCATAAAAAGCACGATCTCGACCACCGCGTACGCGATAGGGGCTCCAGCTACATCCAGATCGAAAACGTTGCGCACGCAACAATCCTCACCGAGCGCTGCATCCCAGCAAGAAGTACAGGTGTAGTTTGTGTCAAGGCCTTCCCAGAGGCCAAAGAAGGAAGGCGGGGCGAATGTCTCGTTGCTGCTACCGTACAGTGGTTTTCGGCTCAGTTTCCGTGTGGCAATCTCGTAAATGCCGTTATTCAGACTGTATCCTGGGAAAATTAGGAAAATCCATCGTAGATAGTTTCTATCAAGCGAAGAAAGAGTCAATTGGTCGGAAGTGTTGCCTGGGGTCATGTCAAAGTCGATGAGTCGGCACATGAAGGAAAAGATGCTCAGTAAACCGCCTGTGCAGAGCGCAAATACTAATAGCGATGTCTGTGCTATAGCATGCTTCTTGAACCTGAAGGAGAACAAATATGCCATTGGGACTACAGCCAGAGCATGCGAAGCGACGAGAGCCACAACACCCCATACCTCCTCGGAGCTTTGTAGCGTTCGATCAGACAAGGGCACCAATATCATGGAGGCAATAACTGTCATCATCATGATAATAATATCGTGTGTCCATGTAGATAACCAATATGCTGATACGTTTGCACCAGAAATCAGCTGCAAGCTTTTTTGCGTTCTGGTTCGGGTTTTTCTCGCGCACAACAAATGCTACAATCGCTGCTGGAACGAACGCAAATGCTAGCATGACCACAACGGAAGTCAAAAAAGCATTTAAAGTAACCTGGAGTGTTGCACCATCTTGATCGAGGCAATACTTGCTGTAGCACGGAGTTATTGGGCTAGACGAGGAAGTTCCTTCACACATGTTGCATGCATAGTACGGAGACTCGACATTCGTCTTATCACAGCATGTCGAAGCACTGCAATCAATCACGCCGAGGTTGCAGTAGTTAAAAGACAAGATGTCACAAGTACTTGGAACTGATACTAGCGAAAAGTTTGCGTTTGAACACTGTCTTTGTCGAGATAACGACGCAAGTTCTGATGCGTAGTCATCGGTAGATATAAAACTCGCGATATCAATCTCAGGAAGCGAGACCAAGATCAGAAGAAAAAGAAGCGGCACGTACAGAGCATTCAAGAGGTTTTTCTTATCCCTCTTTGCGATTCGCAAACGTTTTGTCAATAGCGCAGTGTATTGGCTCCACAGCGTCACTTGAGTAGGACTATTTGCCGACACTGGACCTGCCAGCGAGCCGCGTGAATTCATTGAGGTTGCTGATGTCTTGCGAATTTGATCCACGGCGTCCACATCGCAGGCAACAGCGCCCATGACAACTTGTTCTTCTCGATCCCGCGAAATGCGCAAAAAAACTTCCTCAAGAGTTGTCACTGACATACCATACTGAACAATATGCATGCTGTGCATTTTATCGTCAAGGGCTTGTAGCATTGTCGAAAATACCCCTGCTGATGTTGACGGAAGCTGGAACACTACTTCTGAACCAAAGTTACTCAAGCATTTCGCCTCAGGAATAATGTTACGCAAAAACTTGCCCACAACCTCAATATTACAACCGGGTGCTTTGATCATGGTCAGATTATATCCTGAACCATAACGGTTTTTCAAAAACAGCGAACTTCCAGCGCAACACAGCCGACCGTCTGCCATAATCGCAATGCGATCACCCAAAATGTCAGCTTCATCCATAAAGTGTGTGGTGAGAACAATGACTCGGTCGTCACGGTTTCGTTGCAGCAAATTCCACGTAAACCGACGAGAGTACGGGTCCATACCGGAAGTAGGCTCGTCCAAAAAGATCAGCTTGCTATCACCTATGAACGCTAGCGCAACACTCAGCTTGCGCTTTTGCCCACCCGACAAATCCCTCGCAACAACCTTTCGTTTCTCTACCAAACCCACTTCTCGTATCATTCGCTCCACTTCGTCTTTCAGTTTACCGTGCGGGACTTGCTTCATCGTTCCAAATAGCAGCAAATGCTCTTCAACAGTCAACTCGTTGAACAACACATCATGCTGCGGACAAATACCCATAATCTGGCGAAGCTCGTTACAGTTTTCCTGAATTGAACGGCCATAGAGTGTTGCATCACCCGCTGTGGGTGGTATAAGGCCCGTCAACATCGAAATTGTAGTTGTCTTTCCTGCGCCATTGTGGCCCAACAGAGCAGATATCTGCCCGGCGTACAGAGTAAGGTTAAGTCCGTGCACTGCTACATTAACGTTTCCATCACCTGACGGGAACTCCTTACGAAGGCCCCGAATCTGAAGACAAGTTCCGTTACGTTCTTGTGCTAATAGTGTGGTACTGACAGGCTCCACTGACGCCGCGAGTTCAGAACCATCCTTCATCATCACGACAGATCCGTCAAATGAAGTCTGATGCAGCCGTTTCGCCTCCTGTGGTGATGCAACTGAATAATAAGTCTGAGGTAACGAGGCTGTATTGGGAGATTCCAACATATAAACTTCCTTGTCCACGGTACTCAACCTCGACGGAAGCCAATAATCCTTCACAAAGAGAAAGTTCCACGGCTTACGAACGCCAAATTCTTGAGGAAGTATATTGTCAAAGTACCAGCCAAGGTTGACTAGAATAAACGAGTCCAAAATGAGAAACCAGCTCATGACATGTGCTGACGGCACATCAACGGGAGATTCTATAATTCCTAGCACGTACGCTAGTCCTCTACCCAGTTGGGCGCGACGCACCAAGTCATCAATACCGAGTGCAAAGGCAGTGGGAGGTGCGAGTGCGCCAAGATACTTGATCGAATTGGACTTGGACATGACATAAAAAAAAGGAAAGAACAATACCAGCCATAGCAGTATTGATGCAATTGACGCAGCCCTGGACTTGTTAAAAAATGGTGTGATAAAGTAACAAAAGCTCACAATTGACAAGCTTAGCGTCCAGAATAGAAACACCAACGTTGCATATTCTGTCATGGGAAAAACCTGTCCAAACTTTAATTCCGCAGCAATGACAAAGGCAAGCGGCGTAGCGAGAATCGCTGTCGTTAGACACCATGAACACAATAGTGTAAAGTTCGAGAGTCCCATAATTTTCATCACTTCTCGAATCCTTGTCTCTTTTTCAATGACCATGGTTGTTGTCGTTACTGAGACAAATTTGATATAGCTAATTAATAGAAAGAGTCCAATGACACTCTGTCCACTATGATAAAACGTCGACATATTGGTACTTACTGCTCCATAATTTGTATCCTCCAATGCGACTAAATCAGTACATGATATTGTCTGTGACAATTCTGTTGCTTCAGTAGATGCAATGGTAGCATCACTATCTCCTGTGCCAAAGATTGTGTCTAAATTTGCAATAAAAACAAGCGCGAGGGTTAATATCACGGGTAAAAAGAGTTCCAATCCAAATGAAATGACGTGACGTCGTCGAATGAGAAGATTCTTCCAAAGTAAATTCGTCACTTGTCTCCAAGCACGTAAAACTGCATTCAAGGTGGATTTCTTGATCAATCTCGACCTAAATGCAACAGGATTCGGTCCATCTGGAATCAAATGTGTCTGGTTTATTGTACGATACCGCTTTGCTATCACTAGGACGAGAAGAAAGAATAGGAGAATGAGTACAACTGAGGCAAGGAGAGCAATGTCTGGACCTGAGATATGACACTGTTGACTCTGAGCTACGGACGTTTCAATAACGGATTGACAAGAAGCAATGGAAGACGATGTGACGGGACAATTTAGTACTCTTTTAGCAGCATTACAGCATGAAGTAGATGCATAGAAGGTTGGTTTTGTACATGTTAATGAGCAACTTCCTGTAGCATCCGCCGTAGTAACTAGGGAACTACCAGTGGTTGAAGTAGGACTGACGAATGATGTTGACGTGGTCGTTTGAAGCTCAAAAAAGCCGGAATTACTGATACATAGGGCGTAGGTATAGTCTAGAGTTGGAAGAGTAGAAAGACAAGAGGTTAAGACGTTGGTCATGTCGGAAGAAGATGAGGATGTCATCACAGGAGGAGGAGGAGGAGATGACGAGGTGGTGGAAGTATTCATGAGAGTGATGGTCGTTTGACGATTGACAATTGACGTGTTGTGTCTTGTGTGGTGGAGAAAGGAAATTCAAGAGTGTGGGTCAAGTAACGAATATCAGATTAGTGGACAGGTGATGAAGGATCTGTCCTGCACGACTAATCAAAGTAGACGGAGAGTTTGATATGATATAGGGATAGGCAGGTTATTTGTTAATAGAATACTTTGACTATCAATTGTAATGATAGAAAACATGTATGATGATAAGAGATTAATTGTTAGAGTGTCAATTTGGAACCTTGCTTGAGATTGGCCGTACTGTCGCTTTTTCTGGCACCATCATCATAAATCTGGGTTCACTTAAGAAATGTCACAGCTTGCATGCTGATATGTTTCGTATTTATTGATTACACGATATCCAGCGCGGTAGAAACAGAAAAAGGACATTGCCTGACGGAAGGTATGACTTCCAGTATAGTATCAGCTTCTTTGCAAGTAAGTGTAAAATTCATAAGTTGACAACATTCATGTGACACGAAGGTTGGCAAAGCGCGACGAAATCAGAATTTGACCAATCTTTGATGTTTGTACACTATTACCAAAATCCATCTTACATTTCACACCACCCACAAATATAACAATAGTATCGACATTTTTCCAGATCAAGTTCAAAAATTAACTTATAAACGATTATTTCCATCTCCTGAGCAATTATGACACGACATCAAGCGCCCTCACGTACTGATCACCATGGCTCGAATCGTGTCTTCCATCGGTAAGCTCTACATCCACGTACGATCATTTGATGCTCCACTCTTTCATCAATCGATTTATATTATTTTGACTCGTAATGTGAATATTGACGTAAATATGAACATTTTCTTCTTTCTTTCTAGTCATCAAGACCTCATGCGGCTTTATTCTGCTTTTACTTGCCGTAGCAATCGAAAAAGTAGTACAAGAAGCTCCATAACTGATCTATATGAGAGCGAGTATATATCACCACATGATCTTGCAGTATTAAAGCAGAATTTCCAGTTTCTACGTGACGAAAACGATGACATTGAACAAGGACAGACAGATTGGCACATTCGAATGAGTGTACGCTATTATCAACAACTCTATCGAGAGTATGCACTTGCTGATTTATCTCGTTATCAAGAGGGTAAAATTGGACTACGATGGCGCACGGAGAGAGAAGTTATTGCGGGTAAAGGACAGTTTCAATGTGGCAATAAAGACTGTCACGAACGTACTGGATTGCATAGTTATGAGCTTTTATTTGCATACGTGGAGCATGGAAAGAAGAAACAATGTATGGTCAAAGTACGTGCATGCAGCAATTGTGCAGAGAAATTATTTTATAAGAAAGTGCAAGACATGATGAGAAAGGAGAACCCTCAAGTGGAAAAGTCGGAACGAAAACGACGCGATGTGGAGAAGAATGTGTCCAATGGGAAAAAAGACAAGCGGCGTAGACGCTTGATGTCCTGTGGTGATTTACACAAGTGTGCTGGGAATGGTGTTGATGATGATGCTAGTGAATGGAAAGAGGTGCAGACAGGAAATGATGAACGACATGGTGGAAATGACCAAAGGATTCACAAGTTATGTGCAAAGATCAATGCAGAGCAAAACGCGGCTTATCCACGACATGTGAGCCAGCACAGGGATGAGTTTAAGGAGTTGCTACTGTAAAAGAAAACGATACTGTATCGAGAGAATGCAACCAATCACAACAACTAACGTGGGTGTAGTTGTGTTTTCTTTTACATTGACGCTTGCTAGTAGCCATACTTGTCGTTCAGCTTGGTGCGGCCATCGCCAGTCTGGTTTGTCGGCGGGACCCACACCTGATCGCCTCCTTCTAGAGTTTTCGAGTCATCGGTATGCTTCTCATCGCTTCCGCTGGGTTTCATTTGCGGGGGAGGGCCCACTGCTGGACCGACAATTCGTCGTCGTTTCGGCACACTTGGCTCAGTTTTTCCTGCCGTCTTCCGGGACTCGTGTGAAGCAGCCGACCTTGTTTTTGGCTTGCCAATGGAAGCAGTCTTCGTCTCAGATGTCTCGCACTTGTTATCTGGTGCTGAATCGTCATTTCTAGCTGCTGTTGCAACAGGTTCAGTTGTCCTCTTCTCAACGGCAGAAACTGGATGTGATGGCTCTACATGTACTTCTGACGAAAGATCTGACGAGCTGCATCCGACAGGATTTGTCACTGTTTTGACTAACGGCTTTTGGATTGGTATCGCTGCTAACGCCGGCGTTGCCACTGCGAGTAGTTGTCGTTGACGCATTAATTCCATCTCCACCTCATCCTTTCGTTTTGTTAGTGTGTCTACCTCGTTTACATGAAGCTGTGTGGTTGCTACGGCCATGAAAGAATCTAATGAGTCCGCTTGCTCTTCTTGCTTACTGTCCTCACGTATAGTTTGATTATCCGAAGCCATTGTAGACGCAGCGGTCAGCTGGTCTTGAAGCTTTGCAAGTTCTGCTTCAAGCTTGTTGACATTGGCCTGAATCGAGTCTGCAGTCAGAATCTCGCTCTTCGGTACTCTCGCAGTTTTTTTTGCTGCATTTCCACTAGAATCGTCGGTCGAACTCGTTATCTTTTGCTTTCGCATTGCAAGCTTCTGTTGATTAGCCTTAGTCCGATCATAGAAGTCATCTTCGTCACTGCTGTACCCGTACAGCTCGTCGTTCCGATTGCGTTTCCTCCTCGTCGCAGTACCTGATACGCCTCGAGTCTTTGTCCGCTGATCATTCTTTGCATGAATCCGTGCTTCAAGATCATCAATCTCCTTCATTAATGTCGCAATGCGTTGTTCATTCCGCTCTAACGTATTTTGCTGTCCCTCTGACAATCCATCCAGCTGATTTTGTTTTGCTAGAATCCTCGATGTTTCAAGCTTTATGTTTTCCATCTTGCGAATACGAGATTGTAATTGCTGATACAATCGCTGATCTTTCTCATTAATCTGCAATTGACTCACACTAGACTTGTACGGTTGATCCTCATCCTTCAACTATCAAAACATCAATTAGTAAGCACAGTCCTTCTTCCTTTTCTAGACAAAAAAAATCTCCTTACATTACGTAAATAATCTGGTAACTCCTCTTTCCCACCATCTCCTTCTTCGTCACTGTCTCTTCTTCCTCCTCCTCCTCCTCCATCAGCAGCATCATCATCATCTTCTTCTTCTGCATCTTGTCTAAATCCCCACGAAGCTCCATGTTCTTCCTCTCGTTCCTTGATCACTTTTTCTCGAAAACTTGCCAACTTTACAGACTCGTATTCAACTGGTAAAAGCTCCTGTGGCCCGCAAACGGCATACAGTCTTGTAGAGTCTCCAAATGCAAGTATATCTCCAATCTGTACTCGTATAAACTCTTTCGATACAACTTGTTTCTTATTTACATATGAACCATGTGTACTATGTAAATCATAGAGATAAAGGATTCCTTGTTCATTAAACTGTAATACTGCATGAAGTCGAGAAATAGATGAATGGACAAGTAATAAATCACAGACATTTTCCCTACGACCAATTAGGATAAAACTAGAACCTTTCGATCGAGGTAATGGAACCTTTTCTAGTATACGACCATTTTTAATCACTTCCAAGTAAATTCCATGTACATTACGACCTCTTGTGCTCCATTCCGGTGGTACATACGGCGTCATTTGGTCCACGAAATGAACACCAATTAATCAATATGATTGGACGAAACGTTCCCGAAAATTGACATCTCGGGTACGGATGGCTACTATAGTCGAAATTTCGAATACGGATGAATAGACTATAGTCGACATTTCGGATACGGACTTCGTTAAATGGATTTCCTGCGTTGGCAACTTGGAATATATGCAACACCATGCAACTACTACTACTACTACTTTTTTTTTTCATACCCTTCATTTCAATTCCTTGATTCGTTATTGAAATGCTTGGTTTTGCTGGTCTTGAACGCTAGAAAACGTTGTCGAGATGGTCCAGTTAAGAACTCTCTGCTAGAAAAGTATAAAGTCAGCTTTGTTACATACCATGACGTATACAACTCGTGTGTGCGCATACAAACTACTTGAAAGTATTGTACCTGATTGGCTAGAAGACGATGGATCCACGGCTTTATCACGTGGGTGTTTGAAACACTCGAATGCTAATGTCATCTTGTACATGGCCTCTTCGGTGGCAATGACAGCTTCTCGCTACAATGGCGCATCATAACGTAAAACAACAATAAGCATAAAGTACCTTGTCTCATTACCAGATACATAAGCTTCATCTCACAATTGACGCACCATGCTATCGACTTGAGACACAATGTCCTGGTATTTTGTCTCCAGACATTTGTACTTGGCTTGTGTTGCGCGCACTTCTTGTGCAAGCATCTCAATTTTCGAGTCGTGATTCACGCGTTGCCTTCTGTCGAGATCAAATTTCTTCGTTAGCTTTTAACAACAAAACAACCACATCAGCAAATGAATCTTTCACAAGAACTACACACAGTAGACAATAGCACTCCATACCGTCTCCATTTGATGAGCTAGGTCAAGCCCCATTTCCAATGTCTTGTGACACACGTTCTCCAGTCGTTTCTCGACGCCCACATGATCCGTATGCTCCCAATTGACTTGTGCATCTTGATCATCCACGTCTTTCAACCTGTCATCCATCGACGTCACAATTTCATTCTCCTCCTGTCGTCCATACTCTTTCTCTTCTTCTACCTCTCCTTGCAAACAAATGTGCTCATTCAACTTCATTGTCCGCTGTGTCTTCCTTTTCATTGTTGCCATTGTGTTCACGTGCTCGATCACCTTTTGCTCATCAAGTCTCTTTGTCTTCGTCTTGAGCTCATTCAACATTCTCTCCAGCTCCTCAACTTCCTGGAGCTGAGTCTTTTGATCAAAGTCCATTGTCTTCCTCTCTCGTCTCTCCAAATCCTTTTCTTCTTGCACTGATACTGCACTGATTCGAATTTCTCGACGTCTAGACGTCGACTGCTTCCGATCGCTTGACACGTCCTTGAATCGCCGTCGTCTCACTGTCTGGACATCCCCTGCATCTGCACCACCCGTTAACCGTTTACAATTCGTAGAGCAACTTACACTCTTCACAGAGTCGTTGTGCGTTCTACATATGGAGCTATGGGGCCTCATCGTTGCCAATCGACGCCGTGAGGCCAAAACAGCCGAACTTCGCACTGAAAAATGCGCCGTACTCATATGCTGCAGTACCCGCTGGAGCTTTTGCTGTTGATTCAGCTTGTATGATGTTTCATCTGTTAGATACGTGTTCCATTTAGGCTGAAGCTTCCCTGTATGAGCATGAGAAGGCAAACTTGACAATGAGCTTTCACTCCGACCACGAGGTGTCCGTCGCTTCATAATTTTTGCACGAGGAATTCTTGGATATTATTTTTGGATGCTTGAATATTTGTTTTAAATGCTTGGATATTTGTTTTAAATGCTTGGATATTTGTTTTAAATGCTTGGATATTTGTTTTGATGATATCTATCTCTCTTTTTAATCTTGTCGCGTTTTGAGCGAAAATTTTACCGTACAGACTTTGCTAAAACATTAGGAAAATTACAATAGTTCAAATGTGTGGCATAAGACAAATTCGTTACGATGGACAGGATAAGTTCGATCATAGATATACTACGCATCACCTCGGTCAATAATCACTGCGTTTCTTGCACAATCATACAGTGTACAGACCATTGTAATCATCATCTTACCCGTCAAATTGAAATGCACAAAGCTGTAACTGCAAAATTTGAAGACGCTTCAACAAAAGCTCCTTGTGATAAACGGATGTAGCAACATCCCTTCATTACCAGTTTTAGTTGCTGCTCTATTGCCTTGTTCTCTCTCTCCTTGCTTCACGAACCACTAGTACGTACCGTACGTATCCCATGTTTGATAATGTAAATCATGATCAAGTTTCGAGTGATCCATACATGTGTCCAGCAGGATCAAGACGTCGTCGAGTTTCCGCGTCTGCTAATGGCTGGTACTCCGTCATAAACTCACGCCGTACACGATCGCGATCGTTGGCATTTGGTGTCCGACGTGCAATTTCCGCGGCCTTCATGGCATTGCGACTGATCAAAGGCGAACGTGAGAATGCAGACGCAGTAAGAGCTTCTGGTGTACGAATTGGAGCCACAGCTTCTTCCAACGGCTCGAGATATATGAATCCGGGCAGGCGTAGTGTGCCATTGTAAACTGCCGTGCCTGCCAATAACGTGGCCATACCAGCAAGCTGGAGCCAGCTCCAGATCGTCCATTGTTCACCAAAGTGACCTTGCGTGAAGAAGTAGAATAGCATCAAATCTGCCCCCCAGACTGTGATCGGACGGAAATTGTCTAGAATTGCGTGCCAAATTGAGTTCAGCAAATACGTCACGGACACGGCAAGCACATTGTATCCTAGAATCACCAATAAGTAAACAACGACGACCACTTGAGCCAGTCCACTATTCATGAGCATCTCGTACGCATCGTCAAATCTCTCATTCGAGCCCAAGTCACTGCCTGGAACGAAATAAGCAACTGGGTAAATAATGAACGAGGTCAGGAACAAGCCCCAGACACCTTCCATGCCTACGACAACTAAAGGAGGTGCGCTATCGCCTTCATCCATGAGTTTTTCTTCAAAAACATATTGCACAGCTTGAATCGCACAGCTCAGTACGACCATTAACACACCAAATGCTGGATGTTGCTTTTCAGCATTGTTTTTCTGTGTATCTGCATCGACAAGACTCGTTGCACCGACCATTAATGCTGCCACCATATTAAAACCAATACCAATCCACATATAGCCTCGAAGTCGATCTTTCAGCACAAAAACCTTGAGCAATGCTACAAATACAATAACAGTGGATTTCATCAATTGAAAAACACTGACAGTGACGTAGAGAAGTCCAATATTTGCAACAAACGTTGCTAAGAGGTCAAAGGCTGCTGGAAATACCAGCAAAAAGTAAATATTGCGTGGAATTCGATAATGATATTTGACTAAGAACACACAAGAAGAGAGAGTGAATATGTTTACAGCACAAGACACAAGACAAAGAGCGTGATAATCAATATTCCATGCATTATTGTACGTACTTCCATTGCGATGAGTACGACGCCAATGTCGCTCGACATGATAATGATAGGCCCAATGTATGGGCAAAGCAAAGACCATGGCTAGAAACATGAGCCATGTTTGAAAAATAGGTTTTTCAAATTTCTTAATTTGACCATCAAGTCCTATGGAATCAACACCGTATAGAATCTGAACCAGTTATAAGAAATAAGAAAAAAAGAAAACCAGTCAGATTTTAAGAAACAGTATAGACAGATTGAAAAAAAAGATGCGGTGTCAAAATGGTTTGTTTTTGTTCGAGTTTAGAAGTATATTACGTACTTTGCCAGTTCTAAATTTGTAAAAACATAAAAGCATAAAAAGGAGATATGTTGATATGTTAGTTGTTATAAAGGAAGATGTCTATGGTGAGAATGTTATTGATGGATCTATTATATCTTACAGTGTCGTGCCTGTGCCAGTAAGAAGACCTAAGCTAAAGACAAGAGCCTCTTTTGTCCCACATGACATGATTTCGTAAATCAATTCTAAATCTGAGTCACTTTTAGGTTTGATGCAGCTAAATTGATAATGAAGTTTTAAAAAATGATTAAACAAACGGACTAAAGAAAATACTCAAGATCTCGTCCAAAAAGATCCGATGGTTTCTAATTGGACAATGTGTGAGGATTTTATAATCCTTATACTATACAAATTTCAAGTGATGACAAACTAAATCAGGTTCGATGCAAAAACAGACATACACAAAATTAGTCGGAGCAAAAAATATCGTCTTGGACTAAAACAAAGAGTGTGTGTGTATTGTAATGACGATACCAACCTCGTGTTCTCGACACAATATTCGTCCAATATGCAGCGTCACGGTGTTCATGACGTTGCTTTTTCAGCCTATAACGCCGATACTGAAGACTATTACGCATATCTACCAAGTGATGAGTCCATGAGTGAGGATGAAAATGAATCTGCATCGAATCTTGCTACTTCAAACTGTGATGTAGTAGACGACGTAACCTCAGCGTTTGCGTCCATTGGCTCAAGGGTTTTTACCCCGATTGGTAGTTTAAACGGTTTTACTTTATCGGTAAAACCGACGAAAAGGATGCAAGAAAAACCGGTAAAAGTACCAGTTTTTGGTGTGTTTATTCGTGGTCATGGTGATCAATTAAATGTCTCGTCTCAAGCTCTTAAGCTTTATCATGCAAGAAGACTGCAGCTACAAGATGCTTTGGATACTGCTACAGGTGACAATACAAAAGGTGAAGCACCTTTTCGGTTTACATTGGAGCAAACTCAAGTCGTAAGAGGTCGAGATACAATTGGAATTGAAGAATTCAATGCGTCACCAGCTCCAGTCATTGATCGAGTGGAAGGTCATGCACCGGAGAAGAAGGATTTTGGAAAAAAACAATCGATTACTGATCGAGAAGAGAGGATGGCACAAGAAGAGATGGATGAGAGGAGTGAGCAAGATCCACTCTATGATGAGCAATTAGATGAGGTGGATGAACAATGGGTGCAAATGAATTTACGTACGTCTGAAGTGTAGCCTTACCTTTGAATGGACACTGCATCAGTATCACGTGAGCTAATGTTGCAAACTAACTATTGCATATGTCCAGGTGGTGTTCATGCTGCAAAGCTTGAGATTGATGTTATGTTGTGCTGTCCATGTTGTTTTGTGACAGTGTGCATGGCGTGTGAAAGGTATGAGATGTTTACTGCAACATGTATTGTTTTGTTGCTGGATGAACGCACTGATGTAGCTGTGTATTTGGTAGGCATACGACCTACACCAACCAGTATCGAGCAACGACTGCAATCAATTGTCGTGTGAAACGAGGTGAAATCCTTACTTATGATGCATCAAGTGCAAGTAATCGTGTGCCTGCATCATTACCGTTCCAGAAGCGACAGAATGTTTCTACAGATAATGATCACAAGACAACCTGTACGACCACACCAGACCAGCAGATTGCAAATTTATTGCAAGAAGATGAGTTTTATTCGGTGACATGCTCCGACTGCGGCACGATGGTCGGTGTCTTCGACCGTAACCAGCAATATCATTTTTTCAATACCTTACCCAGCAATTGTTAGTGTGCCGGGCCGATCAAGACTTCCGCGATGATATGACCGTGTTTGCTCACAATGATGCCAAGGCCGATGCTGCTAACTTCACAACAAGGCTATATTATTTGTAACACATAGCGTTTGATGCTCACATATGCACCTGCATTTGCGTTTAACTTTTGGCAAAAGCTCTATACATTGCGCGCACGCACATTTTCGTGGGCATTGATTGATTTAGGTCGTACACAGCAAACCTTGGTTGACAATTGCACCAGGATTGCTTATACTGCGCTGCTTTCGCTGATCTGCTTGTTCGTTGGATTCCGTATTTAATGTACTGCAACTCCTCCTCCCGCGTCACAAGACTGCTCGCTTGTTTCTTCTAGACAAACGCAATGCTTACGTTCTTGACCTTGTCGTTCAGCTCAGAGACCAAAGCCTCGAGTTGAAGAGTAGCTTGCTGAGGGCGATCACGCACCAGGCGAACAGCAGCAGCGAGTTTTATCTGTAGCTCACGCAAGTCTTCCAAAACTGATGCGGGCGTAATCGCGGTGCTTGATGCTGCAATGATTTTGCGTAGTTGCTCGCAAACTTCTTCGCTCGTGGGTCTCTCACTCGGGTCGATCGAGGTCATGCGCAACACTAAATCCATCTCCATAGGAAAGTGCTGCCGAGCCTTTTGAGGTACAACACCGTGGCGCACACCAGTTAAAACCTGCGAACGTTCCATCATCGTACTAAATGGGCAGCACAGCTCCAGCAAAATTACACCCAACGCAAAGATGTCCGACTTGATCGAGTACTTGGCACTTTTGAGACGAGTCGCGGCATTTTTCAATGCACTACTACTGCCAAAGCGATACCCCAGCTGCTCGGGAGACGCATATGTGAAAGTGCCGAGGGCCGTTGTGTGGTCACCATCGCTAAGCCCTAGCTCCTCCAAGCGTTCGCGTGGGGATACAACTCCATCTCCAATCGAGTTGTCTGCAAAAATGGACTTGGACAAACCAAAATCGCCAATCTTTGCTACATCACCGTGAATGAAGATGTTGTCCGGCTTCAGGTCGCGGTGGATCACGCCGTGCGAATGCATGTGAGCAACGCCCTGCACCGCGCCAAAAAAGAGCTTAAGACCCTCCTGATGTATATCGGATGTGTTGGACCACAATAACCGCTCCTGAAGTGATGAACGAAACCATGCCCCTAAATTTGAGTGTGTTTCTTCGCCAAAGTACTGTCGTTCCTGTTGCGGCGTCTTGAATTTGTCTAATATACAATGGACTGGTTCGTGGTTGTCAGCTGCAGCCAAGGACGATGAAGCAATATGCATCGCTGTGCCACACAGCTCCATCTGTATGTACAAGACAACCTGGGCCTTTATGGCCGCCGACTCGGCAGTACGCCCGGTAGCTCTTATTACTTTGTTTTCCAGCACACCTGGTTGTCCAACAAATGTCTCGTTGTCAACGCACCAACCTACTGAGTCGTTATCTTCGTCCTCATACTCAAAAGTGAAGCCAGGAATGGAATACTCGTCAAACAGTGAGTCCACCGAAGATTCAAGAAAAAAAAATGATTGATCAGCAGACTTCATATTACTCCAATGCAACTCGGCCTCCTCGTCCAGCAATGCTAGTTGCTGACGTTGAAAATCATGCATACCATAGCTACTCTCAAGACGCGACAAAACATCTGATCCACGGACACTTTCCGTCGACGAACTCGTGTGAGGAACATATGCATCCATTTCTGTCCAAGCTGTATGGTAGCGAACCACATTGGGATGTGGAGCCATGGAAGCCATTGAACGAACTTCACGCAGAGCTTGGTTTTCCACACACCTATCATCTAGCTTACTTGCACGGGGGAGCACTACTTTCTTGACAGCGTAGTAGCAGCCATCTACCTTACTACGCACCTTGTAGACCAAGCCTTGGCCTCCTTCACCTAAAGAGCCTATGATTTCAAAATCTTGCTCGAAGCGCGAATTTGGGGTACATGAATTCTCATTCCGTAATCCAATGGAGCTGATTTTCATCTCCGACGATGAAGTCACGATAGTCGATAACGTTGTTGCCGCTAGAGTTGCAGACATGGCAGCAGGTAGCGACTCCGTTCGCTTGAACGTCTTCTTTTGCTGCTTTTTCTCGTGTCGCTCATCTTTCCTCACTCGTGCTGTCAACGCTGGTGTCTCCAGCTTCAACGATTGTAACAACACATTGTGTTTCATCTCTTCATGCTGCTTCACATCTTGCTGCTTAAAAAGTGGTGGAAAACGGCTACCTTGAGAGCCAAGCCATTCCGTCATTTTCTTTTGAGGTGTAAGAAATGCCGACCGGCAGAAGGACGACATGGATGAAAGAGCTGCACTACTCTGTGTACGGCACGGCATACGACGTATGGGCACTGGAGGTGTTGCCAGCATGGAAGTATCCATTGTCTTTACTTCTAACACCTCGGCATCAACCTCTTCGATTCCTGTTTGAAAATATCCAATAAATGGATTTGTCTTGTCCACTGACGTGCCTCGTTTTCGTACTTGCAAGTCATCTCCCATCTCACACACTGCCATGGTAACACTAGCAGCATCAGCATCAGGATCATCTTCAATCCTCTGCTCTACGAACGCAATGGGCACTGTAGCCACATGTGGTATCATAGTAAAAGATCCGGGTAATGCAGTGACAATGTCTTCTTCATAGCTACTCGATCCACCACCACTATTACTACACTCAGTAATTACTGGAGAAGTAGGTGTTGATAATCTTCCACTAATATGAGACACTGTAGCTGCACGTCGGACATTAGGTAGTCCATTGACTCCATTCTTGGCAAGGCCAAAAGCAAAAGTACTGTGCATGAAGGAAGTCACACACACACACGTAGCAAGTCGGCCACGGTGTCTATTGGACACTAGAGTAGGTCTGGCCGACCAATCTCGTGTTTACGTATTCGTATGGTCAACGTCTGTTACACACGTATCGTCGTCTACTTGAACCTTATAAATACGACTTAATTACGAATTCACAAGCAGCAGTTTCTTCTGACCGACGGGTGGTTAATTCGATAATGCGGGGACGGAGGAGGGATAAAGAGGAGCAAAACCTCTTTAAACGCATGCATCAAAACGCCGCATACAGACAATCGACATTTACGTAATCGATATGTTGACGTTATTTTGGGTCACAATCGAGCGACAAAATCAGATGAAAAAGATTGTTGTTTGTTGGATGATGTAAACAGCTGGTGAGGAGGAGATACTATGGTGGTATATTTGTCTTTTAGTGACGCATAAGAAGCAGTCTACCATACAAACTTTTGCGAGCCATCATGTTGTTGTGTATTGATTTTACGAGGGACTGACGTTGATCGATTCGAACAATGCAGCTGTAGAAAGAAACGGCTAACGGGAGTTCATTTACTTTACATTTATATGTATATATATCTGGAAAGCCTCTATCCCGCAACGGAACGTCGTATATGGACGGTCTGACAGCTTGAGTTTCAACGTTTAATAAACGCTTGGCGCGTTTTGTTCCAAGTTGTTGGAGTTTCCTCAAAAAAAAATTTTGGGTATAAATTTAGCATAGAGCTTTGGCGATAAGATTGACACTGTGGTCAATTCCATCGACAGCAGACGTTGGTATTATACCAGCTTATTGCTCCCATACGCTCATGCTCAAGTGAAAAGTTAGGTGAGTCTTTATCAGTGTTAGTGGCTGGCTGATCCGACCTTGCAGTCCGTTTTGTACCGAACAGATGCTTTAGTGAAGTTTGATTTGATTGCGACATGTATTTGCAGCTGCCAATCAAACCAGTCAATGTGTGGTTGTACTAATCAACGTAAAATCAGACAAAACGATTGCAAAACTTGTCGACTAAATAGTAGTAACGTGCATATCGTTGCAACTTCAGCGCGTTTATCATCAACAAACGATCACTCTATATACAGCAATTGTATTGCATTTGAGCGATAGAGGTGATACACACAGGTAGGTATTTAGAAACCTGACATTGAGAGAACTGCCGCTCAAGCCAAATTTAGCTCTAGTGAGTCAAACTGTGGACATTTTATTCCTGATAGCCTACTCACACTGAATGTCACAAGTTTACCAGATAGACGTGAGGCGAGATAGTCACTTGTAATAATAGAATGCCGACCACCATTGACTTGCGGGTTAAGATACCTTACATATAATTTGTCATTGACTTTTTTGTATTGTTTCACTCCTATCGTGTTGTATGAATTAGCACGCACACTCGGAACAATCTTACGTTTGTGAAATTGTAACGGCTAAGATTTTTGTTCCTCCTGTGAGTGATATCAGATTAAAAAGGTCTGTCGACGAACAAATGGTGCTAGCTTCTAGCACACCCACTTTTGTGTTAGGTTGTTATATCCAGTCTCTTTCGTGTAAATATGAGCTTAAGCATCATTCTTATGGGAAGACCTACAAAGCATATTGGTGGTAGTTGATGTTTGAGCGCTGTGATATCATCCCAAGATTCACTGCTACTTACACACATATAGATGTCAACTCACGTCAATCTCCAGACTGAAAATATTTGTTTTGCCGCTCACTGCTATTGTCACATTTTGTCGTTAAGGTGAAATTCTTATGTAACCGGTTACTCTAAAGTATCCAATGTCAGCTTTGATCCTAGAATACGAGCATTGTGTATGTATCATCCATGATCTTATTTTCGGACAAAAACCTCCTCATTAGTTCGCAAGGGTATTAAACTAATGGGGAAGACAAGTCGTAAAGGTGCTCGTAAGGGCCGTACCACAAGCCAAGTAGCTTTTATCAGTAACAATAAGAAAGTTCATCAGAAGAAGAAGATGCAGCACGTGGTTGTTACATCAAAATTGAAGCAGAATCAGCAACAGAAGAATAAAAAGAGCCATTGGAAGGGTAAATCTCAAGCTTTGACACCTGCTGAACGTCTTGCCGAGATGCGGCGCAAGATCGACGGCGGGAAGTTCCGTATGCTGAATGAGCAGCTATATACGACCACAGGAGATGATGCTTTTTCTACATTCCAAGACGATCCAGAGCTTTTTGATGTGTATCATCAAGGCTTTCGAGAAATGGCAGACAAGTGGCCTACCAATCCCCTTGACAGCTTCATTGATTACGTCAAGTACGTCAGTCACTCTATTGTACATGCTAGTGTCATGTTTAGTATTCACATCTTGCTGACGTGATATGTCTGAATATGGTATAAATACTGTAGACGTTATCCAAAGGCGGTTGTGGCAGATTTTGGCTGTGGAGATGCAAGGCTGGCAGAAAGTGTATCGAACAAGGTGCATTCGTTTGATCTCGTGTCTCGGAAATCCCATGTGATTGCATGCAATATTGCTAAGGTAAGTGACAGATATCGCATGGGAGTGATGGGTTTTGTATAGGAACTCGATGTGGATGAGAGTTATATGTTGCTTGGTTGTGAATGCAGGTCCCCTTGAAGGATAGCAGCATTGACATTGGCGTCTACTGTTTGGCACTTATGGGCACAAGTGTACGCGAGTATGTGCAAGAAGTATATCGTGTGCTCAAACCTAGAGGCGTGTTGATGATTGCCGAGGTAAAAAGCCGCTTTGAGAGTGAGACACTGGGTGGGATTCATGGATTTGTGCAGGCGCTGCGTAAAATGGGCTTTGACTGCAAGCACAAGGACGAGCGCAACAAGATGTTTGTGCTCTTTGAGTTTGTCAAGTCGTCGCGTACACCACAGCACGTAAAGCCTATTGAGTTCAAAGCTTGTGAATACAAACGACGATAGAAGCTTGATACGTCGATAGATCATTTATTCAACACGTGACAGCGCGAGATCGTGATAAATACATACAAACCCAACAAATTGCATAGTATACAAACTTTATTCTACTGATACCATCAGTGACTGCGACTCTTCCGAGTCCGACTTGTCAGCACCGTAGTCTGTGTCAGACGTACCGACAAAATCTTCAAGCTCAAGCCCTGGTTGTGATGGAAAAGGCCATGCACACGTCCACTTCTTGGGCTTAATAAATGCAATATTCTCGATATCAATCCCATGTTTTGCCAGCATGAAGCAAAGAGCCAATAGGTTGGCTAGTCGTGGTTTAAAGTGACCACTATGTGGCTCAATCGCAATAATGACACCGTGTTTAATGATAATCTTGCCTGCTGCAAAGATTGGACCACCTGTGACAAAACTAGAATGATGGAATCGTCCCTTGCGTTTCCGACCAAGGTACATTTGACCTGATAAATCCAAGACAAAAATCCATTTACTCTGTTCATCTGTATGTACTACATGTCCTGATAATGCATATTCCACTCTCACTTCATCGTTCATATCATACGAGACAAACTTGACTTCATACCGCTTACGTTGCTCAGCATTGCAATATTCTACACAAGTCGATCGTAAATCCTGTTGACTACATTCTGGTACATGAACATTCTTCCCATTGCCATAATCAAGCCAATGAAAAAATGAACTATCTCGACTACTAGACAATCGATCCATTCTCTCAGTCATCTCATGCTTCCATGCTTTATGAAAAGCTCGAAGATGAAATCCATACCGATGCTGTTCATCCAAAGCTTCAAGCCAGAAATCTTTATGTAGTATCGAAGCTCGACATGTCGCATGATTAATCGGATTTTTACCATCCATGCGACAAATTTCACAGCGTTTGATACCACGTAGTAAACATCGCATTCGTAAACGAACTTGTCGCCAACGCTCAACGGCTTGAATGGTCTTGAAATGAGGTTCAGGACATGCTTTTAGACGCTGTACAAGCTCAATTGAGTCAGTTATAGTATCGTTTCGTTGCAGGCCAAGCACTTTTGGTTCAATGTCAACAATCATGGGTCAAATAATGGGATCGAGTGAATCAAACGGCGACGTTGAGGTCGAAACGGAAGTGACGTGCGATGGATGATGGGTATTATTGTAGTAAACAAGTCAAAACGAGATTGACCCGTTAGAATGGTTGCTTTGTACACAGTAATCTGGTATTAAATCAACCATGTCGCCCCTCCGTGTCGAGTGATGTGCAAGTGGTGTGACAGGTAAAGAAATGATAGTGTTAGGGAGATATCATATGGTTTTATGGGAATGTGATATCAAATAGCCTGTAGAAAATGATAGTATCTAGTTTATGATACGAGTTGTGTGACTACAAGTTGCAAGGAATGCATGCGACCAACACATGGGCGGAAAATCCACTGAACTGTGAAGTAGATTTTTTTCTTACGTACACTTAACAATATTGTGGACTTTTTTTCTTAGACATTACATTATCCTTGTAAAAGTGATTTGTACTGATCATAGCAGTTCTTAGAAACTAGTCAAAACCCTTGAGTCGTGTGTGTAGTACCGGTTTACCGTAACAAGTTTTTGGTAGTATTATTGGACGTCTCCATTGTATAGATTACGTACGACCTATTCCATTTTTTCAACCACTTGCTACATATACTTGCTTGATTTTGTGCTATTCCTGGTTGCTAATCACACACTATCTGTCAAGTCTATTGGTCGTCAAATTCAAAGATGCCTGTGTCACCAGTATCCGATACATTGCCACACGACTCACGCCGTTCAGACCTTCGTCTTTCATCTGTTGACATTTGAGAATTATACTCTGGCATCCGATAACGCTCATCTCGATTCTCGATACTCTCTCCTTCTTCCTCTGACGTGATACTAAGTCTTTCCAGCAATTCAGCACTTACAGTGTAACTTGCCGACTCGTCTGATGCATAATAATGCCTTGATGGTTGTGTTCGCGATCTCAACGATCCCGTTCCAACTTGTAATGTCGCTATTCCTTCATTGCCATGGAATTCACCCAATGGCATTCTCTCTCTCAATGCTGACATCACTGCAAGTGCAGGACTCTTGGAAAGATCAAAAACATCGTGTTCAGCCGGATGTGGCTCTAATGTCGGCGTCCAGGAGCTTCTTGTCGGGTTATTTCGTAAGAATCCAATATCTCCTGGACATGAGCTAGCAAACTATATCATCATATAACAGTAAGAATAGATTCAATTCATAGGTCCAAACACATGCAGTGACGAAAGCTGTAGGTAATGAATGTACCTGAACTACAGCAGGTATACGTTGTGGCGGTGAATCCTCTTCAATCGTCTCAGCAGGTGGACCCAGTACCAAGTCAGGCATACTCTCTACCTGTACAAAGTTTGGCTCAGGCATGGATCCTACCAATGGTGCTCGAGGTGGTTGCAATCCACTAGATCTTGGACCGTTTGTATTTGTTAGGAAGCGTGATAAATGAACGTGGTGCATGTCTACAGGTAGAGAATGTGATATTATGGATACACCGTTTCGACTTCTTGTGACGGGGGATCCACGTTGACTGCCGCTTGTGCCAATAAGAATAGGTCGTGTCGAGTTCATGACACAGGTTAGAGATGACTATCGGACTGAGTGACTGACTGACTGACTCGAGTCGAATGACGTTTGTGTATATGGGGTAAAAAAACAGTAGACTTTATAATAAGTTATGATGCAAATAGATTACTTCCCTACATTGTATGTAAGCCTTAAGTAAAAAAGTGTAGTCTAACATATAAACCCAAAAACAAACCATGGTCCAAAAAACCAAAATCAAAAAAACCAAAATAAATCCTTCGACCTAATTTAACGTCTCTCTTCCCTCTCCCACCTCCTCATCATGAATTCCGATGGCGAAGATCATGATGATAGTAAAACTATCTACAGACAACTAACCACACATGAAGGATATAAGAAGAATATACACACTCATCGTCCAATACTATCCATCTCTTCTCCTTCTAGCTCTAGCTCTAGTTCTTCTTCTTCTTCTAGCTCTATTCATTCTCAAAATACTACATTGTCGGAACCATTCCATGAAATTCACTTTCAATCGTCACTACAAACGTCATCGACATGGCAATCACATATGAATCCACGTATGGATTTAAAACTAGTGAGTAATCACTTTCGTGATGAGAAAATGGAAGAATCCTATCAACTTTATTCCTCAACCGTGGATTTTCCAGTCGCTCGACGATTAATGTTAGCTCTAGTTCTATGTGAAAGTGTAGTGTACTTTTTATATCTTCAAATGAAAGATACGTGTATTGCACCTTCCGGAAATGACTATGCATGGATCAATCTACTTGGATCGTTCTTACAAGTGGATATTCTAGTCACATCTTCCAAGACAACTAGAGTACGAACAAGTTGTGTTGCATTTATTGAACCCATGGCCAAGGATCATAAACTTACGTTGTTACTATGGAGTTTTGCACCCTTTGCGATTCTATATGGTATGTTACCATTGAAATATGTTGAAGGCAGTATGAGATTAAGGATTGGGGTGTACTATATACGACGTCATTGGAAAATCATTGCAACACTTATTGTACTATGCTGGTCAGCTGGATTAGCAATCTTTGTGCATCATATTTTACATGGAATGAGAAAAAATCTACAACAGAGCATTGCAAATGGAATGATCTGTGCGCTAGATACCGCAATGCCGTTGTCATGGTATGATATGTCCGAATGGAATAAAGTCTCTGGATCGGATGGACCAATGACTTTATCATCGTGGCTTCAGGTTTATGATAGCAAATTGGTATACTCGCTTTTCATGGGTGTCTTGGCGATGCTGGCCGCATTTGCTGGTATCGTTGCAGTTGCCATGAAGCTAGATTTTACTCACGTGCTGCTGCTTGCTGTAACAGAGTGGATTACAACGTTATTGTTATGCTTTTTGGGTGGAACCCCGCTATTTTCATCGAGCGAGCGTGTAATGAGCAACGAAGCGTTTTTGTTTTTCTTGTGCGTGTTGTTGCCTACCTGTTTCTCGCTCACAGCTACATACTCGGAGGATCGTGCTGCTCGTATGGCGTATGCATCGAAAGTGCGTGCAGAGCGTATCAACACAACGCTCAAGCTTGATCTATCGGTAAAACAGACCGGGCTTGAGAATCGTAATGCCATGTCACGAGATGAAAAGGAGGCATTAGAGCGAGCACTGAGCGCAAGTGGAGACATGGAATTGTTCATGTCAGTATCGATCCCGTTTGCAGATTTGAAGCTAAAAGAGATCTTAGCCAAGACGCCGATTGGTGAAGTCTTGATAGGCGAGTATCATCAGACAGATGTTGTGGTGAAGCGGTTAGCGCAGTCGTGTTTAACAGCTGATGGTCTTGCTGCATTTAAAAGCAAGGTGGAACTGCTGGCATGCCTACGGCATCCAAATATTGTGTTGTTCATCGGAGCCACGTTTGATAACCTGTCCAACGTCGGCCTCGTCATGGAATACCTCGAACGCGGTGATGTTTTATCGCTGCTGCGTAGCCCAATCGCACTGGCCTGGAGTGATCCTTTGTTGAAGATTGCAACAGATGTAGCGCAAGGGGTCTCGTATTTGCACAATTGCGACCCACCGCTCGTGCATCGTGACCTGAAGTCTTCTAACTTGTTGTGTACACGCACGTATTCATGTAAAGTGTCCGATTTTGGCGAGTCAAAGCGACAATTGCTACCGGGAAAGCTCTTCAGTACCATTGTCGGTACGCCGTACTGGTTGGCGCCCGAAATTCTTCGCGAGGAGCGCTATGACACACAAGTCGATTGCTACAGCTTTGGTGTAATCCTAGTGGAGCTCGAGACAAGACGTGAACCCTATCATGACCTTCCTAAGGACTATACGACGATCGACATCATGATGGGCGTCTCACGCGGTGCTTTGAGGCCAACTATTCCCGTCTCATGTTCCCCCTGTCGTCGAAAACTCATTTCACGCTGCTTAGATAGCGATCCTAGCTGCCGTCCAAAGATGACAGAGATTCTCCATGCATTGCAGCATGAGGTTCGTCAAGAGCTGCTCGATCAGAACTCGACTGATATTGTTTGTGATAAGCGCCGAATGATGCTCATGCAGCAACATCAGCGACTTAATCGTCATGGATTGCAGGATCTTATGTTTGCTCATGAAGAGGACTAGGGACATGTACACAAGGACATATCATACAAGTGTATCAATGTATGACCTAGAACGTTGTGCACATTCCGCATGCCAAGAATGATCGACTCTATTTATCTAGACTGCTGGTTGGTAAAGAAAGCAGAAACACCAACTCTTCAATCGACACATGAAGCAGGTTTGACTTGGGGTGTGTTACAACAAAGCGTTTCGTGTGCTTGCTACAGCGAGGATACGAAAAAAATGAGGGTAGAAACAACGGTTACCAACATGTCATATATGCATGACATTTAAAGTAGATATCAACACGCTCTAGATGCTTCCTATGACACAAATTTGTTGTGATACGCTCAAGAGTGACTGATATACGATCGTACAGAAGGAAGAGACTATAGACACGACGTACGTGTCAATCCACGTGTGGTATTGTCATGCTACTGTTTTAAAGTATCTTCTCGTTGTTCGAATGACACGACCGTATGCTATACCTTTGAAATACATCTGAGACTGAACAAATGACAATCACGCGTTGTTTGTTTGTTTGCTTAACCGCATGCAACTACCAATCGGTTGCTCTCAAGTACTACGTGATCTCAACAAAATGCTTACTACTAACTTGCCGGTCTTGGTTCGGCCGGTGAATAATTTAAATACGCCGCATACACTTGCCATCCCCGACATTTTTTGAGTAAAAGAACAGGCTTGGGGATAATAAACGATGATAGAATTCGTGAAGTCGCCACTTGAATTGAAGACGACATGGCGTGGGGTCGTCTGGCCGACTTCTACTACGCTGGATATTGCGTCTCGCTGGATTTGCGGTTGATGAATGAAAACACAATGCACTGCAGAGTATCCATGAAGCTACATAGCTTAATCGGACGCACTGCTTAACGCCTCCATCCACAAGTGCATTTCATCGTGGGACCGTACCTTGCACATAAGCAATTTGGTAATTTTTCCAGCAGTCGTCGACACTGAAAACTCGCATGTTGCTTCACTCACCTTCTCAGCACGAGTCACGTACGCACGACTAAGAGGTACAGCCCACGCGTCTTCCGTATCGTAGACTGTAAACATGTTTCCCTGCATGACACAAAATCGTGCTCGCTTTGACTTGCGATCACCCACTTCGAGCCATCCACTCTTGTCCACAATATTGCACTGAAAGTCTAGCTCTGAATCCGAGTAGCCCACTGAAACTGTTGACGAAGCAGTACTTGTTGTGCTAATATTTAGAGACTCTTGTCGTTTCGCCATGGCCGCTGCTTCATTCAATCGATCCACCCACTGTCTACACAACGTATCATTCTTGGCACGTACATCAATAATCTTCCCGCTAACAGCATAGACCTTGAATGCAATCTTCGATTTTGGCGACGTCTCAACGTGTGCAACTCGAACTGCACCTGCAGGTGTTGATTCACTCTTGGTTGTAAATAAACTGTCACCCTGGATTGGCATTAAGGATGATTCCGAGACAAATTGGTCCGTTGGGAACGTATCATAATACGTTAGTAAAGCACCATCCAATACAAAATGTTGGTTCCGCCATTTCGAAAAGCGACCAGACTTTTTCCACAACCAACCATGGAATTTTTCGTTTGATGACTTGCGTCCAAAATGCATTGCTGAACCCTGTGTACTTTGGACGAGCATTTCAATATCAACATTGAGGCCTGGAATACTAATACCATGACGACTACGACCACGTCGTGCGATTTCAGATGAATTACTACGGTGATTCATCTCTCACGAATAGATATAGATCAATCCTCTCTGCTACAAAATTCAAGTGCTAACAACGTTGCAACAACACCTTGGTCGTTCAAAGTTTTGATACAATTGCTTGCTGGATCGAAGCGGTTATTCTTTATTTCTGTCAACAACTTGTGTTGTTCTCTCTCTCTCTCTCTTCGACTTTTCTTTCTTGTGTACTTTGGAGTCTCTACCAAAGTGTGCGATCGTCTAATGCCTCTCCACGGTCAAAAGTCAGTTCATTAACTGGCTCTGCCTAATCGCTCTTGCTCTATTTTGTGTGTGACCAGGGTTTTTGTAATTTATCTCGCCCTTATTTTAAGAAACGACAGCCCGATGCTTTTTTTTTTTGTCTCGACGCTTTTCTGTTGTTGTTTTTATATTTTTTTATATACCGGTATCACGAGGCAATATATATAGAAGAAAAACAAAGAATAAACTGCTTTGTCTGTCAAGTCGTGTGTGTGTGTGTTTTGTGATTTGTGATTTCCTAAGTCCATGACACTAACGTGAAAATTTGTATTAATTATTGGTAATGTAAAACAAGTATAAGTTAAATTGGTCCACGATCCAACTGAATCAAATGAGACAAGTAAATAGACTGGCACTATAGTGGAATACACTTTGTTCATTTGTACTGCAGTTTATGCATCACTTGCGATTAAAAAGGCTGTTTTCCGCGTTTCCAGCTGGAAATAAAAAACCGATGTCACTTAACAAGAACAACTGTATAAAGGCACGTATTGAGTTGCTGCCGAGAGTTCATGAACAATACATAGATACGTATTGAAATAAGTGCAAAGCAATTTGATTGGACTTAACGACGAGAAGACATACTTATGTGCAAAAAGAGAGTCGGAAGTGGAAGGAACGGCATGAAGGTACAGAGACTGTCAGATTTGAACCAACCCATGAGCTTGAGAGTCTTGGTACAGATTGGGAACCTGTCACTAACAATGTCGAACGTCGGAGCGAGCATTTGCTAGAGATATTTTGTTGACCAGTATCGTTACATGATACCGACATTATCAGAAGCAGTGAGTTCCAATAAGCAGGATAACTAAACGCTTCAAACGCTCAGCACTGGAACGACGCAAAGTCGCTCGGATCGGCGATTAGAAGTCTTTGATGATCTTTTGATTTGACCTGTCTGAAGGCCCGGGTGACGAAGACAGAACTTCACTTGCATCTATTGGTGTCAAAGCTTGGAAGCACATCTTCCCGCTAGTTTCACAACGTCACGTAAGGAAAGGTCCAGCTAGAAGCAAAGTAGTCTTTATGCTTGGACAGTGTGGACGTTAGAAGAGAATGTAAAGACGAGTAGGCACGAACGAGTGAAATTGGTCAAGACAAGGAACAATGGACAAGACTGCGAGTATCAGAAGGTATACTGAAGCGGTTTGTACGAACGACCATAATTCCTTCCGAAAAAGGGTCTAAACAATGGTGTGACACTCACGAGAACTGCACAAGCCTTGACATGGCTTTGAGAAAGCCGATTTTGGCTACATTAGAAGCTCATTGTTCGAGCCCTGGGGCTGTTGGAGATTGCTCACTGTCGTTCTCGTCAGCTCTTTAGCGAGGCTAGTGTTGTCCCTAGCTTCATTCGCTTTATGGAATCTAGTGGGTTTATTATATCTATCTATTGCACAAGTGAGGACGTCTGTGATTGCGATTATACTTCAATAGCAATCTCACATCCTCAAAGCTCCTTACGGTGAGCAAGTTCATGGGAAATATGTTAAGACGCAATGTGCAGTCTGCGGCTATTGTATCATCTATCTAGTCAGTCTACTGGAGAAATGTCGAGGCAAACCATAGAGGGCTAAGGAAGGGTAAATCAACAGCTGTCAGTCGTAAGTCTGCGTTGGACGAAATGTACATGGACTTACATTTGCTAGGACCTATCTTTCGCAGGTTGTGGATGAACCGGACCATATGGAGGTCACGTCAAGGTGTAGTTGACTGCATAAACCTGCTGTCGATCACCTATATCATTGTGATGCCATCGCCATCACCACAATATACCATCTGCCTCAACAGCTGCCAAATAGTGCATGGGTGACACGAGCATGTGGGCCTAACTCAGCCATCACCGTGTGGCACGCACACGATGAAAAGACGTATGTCTTGTGAGCTTGAGTCAATTCAGCGATTAACAGAAAGCAACAGCCGAATAAACTCGATTCTTGTTTGCATTCCAGTATCGCAGTCATCGTATTGGTACAAACTCTCAAGTGAGATATCTACTGTCAGAAGACTGTTTTGTGATCTTTACACGAATAAAGTCGTCTCGTTTTCAATTTGTACTTGCCTGTTGTATTGCTTCATCTAAATCAAATGTATCGGTATGTTATGGTACGTTTCACTTGATTTTGGAGCTTAGCATATCATATCATATGCTTCAAGTGTACATGGTTGATAAGTGTGGGACAGCCCTATCTCAACTGTAAAAACCTTTTGATCCGGAGAAAATATGATTATGTCATCTTTTGAATTGCACTAAAATACTGACCCTATTTCAATAGAAATGGATACTATTTATAAAAGCGACACAATTCTAAACTATTTGATCCTTTTAACTACCAGTAATATGATGTAATGCACATCATATTCACGACCCTCATCCAAAGTTTGCAGATCCGATCAAATCTCATGACGGACGCAAGTGCGTCGGTTTTCCCGGTCGATAACGTCCCTTATGGTGCGTTTACTACCTATTATCTGCTACATCATGATCTCCTCTATCTATCCATACTTATTTTATCGTTATGATCTCTCTACTCGCTCTATTATTACCCGTTTTGCTCGACCATTCACCCTATGAAATGTATCTGCACTGCCCTATAGCGTCATTAATCCACCTCGAGTTCTGCTATCGTCAAGTGGATACTGTCCTTGCTCTTTTCTATGGTGTTGCTTGTTTTTTCTCCTTTTGGGCTTTTGCCATGCATGCACAGTCACCTTCACGTCAGGCTGCTACGCTTGGTTTCTATCTACTAATGGGACTCGCCTCGCTTACTCGTGTACTATGGTTTGCCACACCTTACGGTGTCCAGTCAGTACTTGTGGCACCACGACGGATCATCATGGGTGAAGATGGCTGGGCGCAGTTTCTAGTGGCAGAAATTGTTGAGTTACTTGGCTCCTTTCTACTCTACAGTGTCTTTATGCTCATCGTTGTCTTCTGGGCAGACATGCTACGTCGTCTATTTACTCATGATAGTGTAAGGTCGCATCCATTACGGCTCTTTTTCTCCATTCTGGGTACTATGGCAACGATTCAAGCAATCGGTTTTGCAATGTTTGCAGCGAAAAGGGTGGACTCGTACTGGCTCATGATCTACGACGATGTCGTCATGTGTCTACTATCGATTGGCTCGTTGGCAGCCGTGCTGGTATACTCGTTCAGGATGAAGACCGTTTTGCAAGCGTTCCTGGAGGTTAGCCAGATTGATACAACCGACAGGATTAAGGCAGTTAACTGGGCGACGTCCGTTTGCGCATTCTTTCTCATCTCCAACACGGTTTTTCTCACGTACTCGATCGTGAGCCTTGCGCACTTCCATCAAGCAGGAGTTTACCTTGAGTCAAAGTGGTGGTGGCTTTTTGTAGCATCTAAGCATCTGGTGGAGATCTTCGTCTTGTACTTCCTACTGTATACTTTGTGGGGCAAGAGCTCGGACGATGCAGAGAACTCGAAGGATGGATACGAACCTATTCCCGATGGAAATTATCTCGACGAAAACGACATTAACGGTATTAACTCGTCAGCCTCGATACCTAGTACGCCAATGCGTTACCGCTAGATTGTTAAGGTAAAGTGGCATGTAGGAGTAGCAGCAAGAATCAGATACACTTTGGAACGAACAAGACCGATCAAGCTGTCTTGAAATCAAAAATAAGGTCAAGCAGGTATACAGACAACTGTACGTCAAACTATTAGCGCCATAACAAATGCAATCACACGTGGTAGAGCTCTCTTTCTGCAGCTCTTCCCGATGCACTTGCGACTTGTTGTTGTTTTTAGTTGTCAGTGAGGTCACCGTCAAGATCCACGCCAAGCTCCTTTGCTACTTGCAACATATCCTTTTCACCGCGGCCACTGACGTTAATGACCACAACCTGATCAGAAGACAGTGTGGAAGCAAGTTTTACACCGTAGTATACTGCGTGGGCGCTTTCAAGTGCTGGAATGATTCCTTCATATAGAGACAAAAGCTGAAAAGCCTCAAGTGCCTCCTTATCAGTCACACTCACGTATTTGGCACGGCCTGAATCTTTCAAAAACGCGTGCTCGGGGCCAACACCAGCATAATCCAGACCAGCAGACACTGAGTGTGTCTCCATTACTTGACCCGCACTATCCTGGATAATGTACGTCTTCGTGCCGTGAAGCACACCAGGTCGACCGGCTAACAATGTAGACGAGTGACGTTTCGTGTCCACACCGTCACCACCAGCTTCTACGCCATACATGGCTACCGACTCATCTTTTGCAAACGGATGGAACATACCAATGGCATTGCTGCCTCCACCTACACACGCCACAATAGCATCCGGCAGTCGACCAATCTCTTCCTGCAGCTGTGCCTTGATCTCACGACCAATAATGGTCTGGAAATCGCGCACCATTGTCGGGAATGGGTGCGGGCCAATAGCCGAGCCAATGATGTAGTGCGTATCGTCCACATGCGAGACCGCGTCGCGAATTGCTTCGTTCATTGCATCCTTGAGCGTCTGCGAGCCACTCTTGACAGCAACAACCTTAGCACCAAGCATTTTCATTCGGAGCACATTAAGCGACTGGCGCTGTGTGTCGATGTAACCCATGTAGATCACGCACTCTAGACCCAAAAGTGCACAAGCCGTTGCTGTAGCCACACCATGCTGACCAGCACCAGTCTCTGCAATGATACGAGTCTTGCCCAGACGCTTAGCCAGCACTGCTTGACCCAGTGCATTGTTAATCTTGTATGCACCTGTATGGGCCAAGTCTTCACGTTTGAGCCAGATCTGAGCGCCCTTGGCATAGGACGTAAGTCGTTTTGCATGATACAGTGGTGTAGGACGACCAATATAGTCACGGCCCAATTGCTCCAATTCTTGACGAAAGGTTGGGTCTTGGGTCGCCTTGACATACTCTTTGATCAGGTTTTGATGCGCTTGAATCGTCGTCTCCGCCATGAAACAGCCACCATATTGACCAAAGTATGCCGTAAGGTCATCCGTAGATGAGTATACAGGTGGTGCATTCGAGACTTCCAAGTACTTTTTATAATGAAGATATGTAGAAGGAGTAGTTGTAGTCGTAGTCGTAGTACTGGTCATGATTGATAATACCTGAATCCTGCAAATTCTAAAGTGAAGATTCCGGACGGATGCAAGACGTCCGTACTTTATGCGATGGTTTGGCTGATGTCACGAGGACCACGTGTCTGAATTATAATGCGCAATCGTACAAAGATAGCACAAGATTGATGTGAAGCGAGAAAAACAATGAATGACCGACCCGTCTGTACAATCACAATGTCTTGATTACAGCGCAGGATGCAAAGATAAGAGTCAAAGTCTGTAGCTTGAGCTACAAAACCTCACCATATTCTACCATTAACTATTAGTTGATGATGACAACGACTACTATGGGAATCGCTGGTATCTTTAATCTTGTGCAAGTTGGATATGCTTTGCTGCTGCTACCCACAGATAAGTTGACTGACGTGGTGCAGTACGTAAAGCGTTAATCAGGAGCGTCTTGGTCCTATAAACGAAAGAGACAAGTTTGAAGATTTAAAGCTTTATGTCCTCGATCGTTGGACACACACGATACTCATAAAGAGGTCATTTTAACTTGTAGCTTTGTCGCACCAGGATTGAATTGAACTCAAAAAAATTGACATTTATACTAGCTTTGTTGACTGTCAGTTACATAGCCGCTTAGCAGTTGACTCGGCAACTGAAGCGACAGGTATTGAGGACAGAAATGGGACGAGTTTTTACAATTGTTTCAACATAGTCGCGTGATTGTGGGATTATAGCGTAACGTTTACTTGTTAATACCCAGAATTTTGCATAGTAAAACATTAAGCTAAGCACAGACAACATACTTTTTACAAGTTCTCTCAGTGTTTACACCAAAGTTCATCAAAACCTTCATTATAATACAGTTGACCTTGTAATCGTGGTGTGCTTCTTGCATTTTCAACATGCAGGTAAGAGCAATAGGCAAATATTACTTGAAACACTAATAGATCATCCATATCTTCTTTTTTTGCTGCTTTTTCTGCGTCAACGACTGTAAGTGGCAGCGAGATAAGATTGTTTTTGTTCAAAGTGAATTACATGTATTTGATCAAATCAACGCAACAAACTATAGCTAGCTTACACATTACGCTAATATTTCATGACCAAAGTGCCGCCTCAAACGCGGTTAAACCCGTCTCCGTAAACATCACTATCATCCACATCGTCCGAGACACCACCGTACACACCGCCAGATCTGCCAATTCCGCCTACAAAGTGACCTCCAAGAATGCCACGACCAACACCAACGCCGACGCCCCCTACGCCAGCGCCAACGCCGAGGGCCGATGCCCGGTACACCAACCCCGATACCCGGTACACCAAGGCCAACGCCCGATACGCCGACACCCAGTAAGCCAGCGCCGACGCCTCTACCGAGTGCACCACCAACGCCATCATACGCGTCATCGTCATCATCCACGGCACCGTAAGATTTACCATTAACAACACTGTAAGTACCACCCGATACGGCGCCGCCTGGTACGCCTCCGACATTATCATCATTGGCATCACCAGGCTTACCGTTATCAATGTCGCTCTTGCCATTAGCAGAGCTCGAAACCTCGGTCTTCATAGCATTGTTGCCACCTTCGTTCGCGCTGCCTAGTACACCGCCATCATTGTTGCCTGTTCCAGCGCTCGATGAGACGCTGTTGGTAGAGCCTTGGCCGTTAGCAGCATTTGGAACCATGTTCGTCGATGCAGTATTGCCTGGCGCACCGCCGACACTGTTGCCTGTTGCAGCACTCGATACGACGCTGTTGGTAGTGCCTTGGCCGTTAGCAGTATCCGTAACCTTGTTGGTCGATTCATTCTTGCCCGCATCGTTGGCACTGTCTGTCGCACCGCCACCATTATCGCCTGGTGCGGCACTCCAATCAGCGGTGTTGCTAGAGCCTTGGCCGTTAGCAGAGTCCGTAACATTGCTGGTCGATGCATCTTTTCCACCGCCGTATGCGCTACTGGAAACATTGGCGTTGGCAGAGTCCTGGTCGTGAGCAGCGTCACCGCTCCCTTTAACCTTGCTGTCTTTGCTGTCTTTGCTGTCTTTGCTGTCGTTGCTGTCGTTGCTGTCTTTGCTGTCTTCGCTGTCACCCTCGCTGCCCGGAGCATCGCCCACATGGGTAATACCTGGTGCAAATTTGTCGACAGTGCCTTGACCGTGAGCAGAGCTCGCAATGTCGCCACTGACTTTGTTTTTGCCACCTGGTGCACTACCGGATGCGGCGACATCGGTATTGTTGTTACCGTGAGGGGCAACCGAGTTGCCACCACTCACTGCACCGAACGGGCTGCCAGAAACTTCGCCGCTTAAAACGCCCTGACCATGAGGAGAGCCCGCAGCGTCTTTGCTAACTGCATCATTACCGCCTTGGTTCGTGCTGCCTGGCACTCCGTCGACTTTACCAGTACCCGGTGCGACTCCGTTGACAGAGTCTTGACCATACGCAGAGCTCATAACGTTACTGCTCAGTCCATTTTTGTCAGTAGTGTCAGATGGAGCAGGAGTTCCGGGCATCGCGCTTGGTTCATCGTTGTGTTTGTCGCCATCAACAGACGTCGAACCTGTCGCGGCATGTGTTGGCGCAGGCGTGACTGCTGGAGTCGGAGCAGGGTCGTTCGTTATTGGCGCAGGCGTGACTGCTGGAGTCGGAGCAGGGTCGTTCGTTATCGGCGCAGGCGTGACTGCTGGAGTCGGAGCAGGGTCGTTGGTTATCGGCGCAGGCGTGACTGCTGGAGTCGGAGCAGGGTCGTTCGTTATCGGCGCAGGCGTGACTGCTGGAGTCGGAGCAGGGTCGTTCGTTGTCGGCGCAGGCGTGGCTTCTGGATGCGCAACAGGGCCGTTCGTTGTCGGCGCAGGCGTGGCCATTGAAGTCACGTCAAGGGTGCCGTATGCCGGCGCAGAGGTTTCCGTCGACGGTTCCGTAGACTTCGTGTAGACGTTTTCGGTTGAGGCGCTAGTTTGCTGGCTAGAAATGCTAGCATCCGCAAGCTTGCTCATTGCAGCTGCGATAAGTACGAGGTGAGCGATAATCTTGGTAGGATTCATTCTGGACAACGACTGGAAAGGGACGGGAAAACGAACTTGAAGTGACAAAGAACGAGAGAAGTTGAGCAAGTTAGCTTTTGTGCTGCTAGTGTGCGTGAGGCAAATTTGAAAGTGAGTCAAGTATCCACCAGAGCAGGTCAACAAGTTCAAAACCAGTTTCAAAACGCTGTAATGGCGATCAGCGAAGAATGGATGACCATACATGTGACGTTAACCATCCGCCCTGTGCCGGCCCCATACGGTCGTCGGCACCTTTACTTTTACCATATACCATAAGAACTTGGGGCTACAAGCTGTTGAGGTTTATTTCAAGGCAATGGACTATTAATAGAGCTTTCAAATCTAACAACTAGTATGCCAAGCACCATCCATACGCACGACTTGAAACGCAGTCTGTCAGGACTGGCAAACAAGAGAAAATCATACAAGTGTTGACCACCCGATTGCCACCTGCTTGGATATGCTGGATCCAACACCACATTACTTTCTGTCAAAATACAGTCATTCATGTAGAATCCAGCATCCGTTCAAATTTTACTAAAACCTTACGGACACGCCATACGAATTAGTAATTTTCGGCTTTTGCTTGGCCTTGTCGATAGGGAACTTAATCTGAGCTTGCAGGGGGTTTAGTAGCCTTTGTACAATACAGTGTGGCGATTTTAGTGTTCAGGCTAGAGTAAAGACAAGAGCGTTTCAAGAGATTGCCAGTACATGCAAAGATTTTCATGACGATGTTGCTTGCAAACAAACATAGACTGAAGAGTGAGGCCAACTAGAACGTGACGGAACCACGGGAGTTGTAGGTAGGCTGTCGTGACTTAAGAGGCAGGTGGTTTTCTATCAAGCTGTTTTCAAGTCACTGTAATACTTTTCATCAGCTCAAGCTGTTTTCAAGTCACTGTGATACTTTTCATTAGCTTAAGCTGTCGAACCAAAGAATAACGGTTATCAAATTTACTAAGACGGACACTTAGCGATGAATTACGCAGTCATGAACTTAAACGTCGCGCTTGCAGCGCTTTTGGTCAACTTTGCTTATTAGTTAGTATGATAGTTGACCTGTCTTGAACCTTATAGGTCAAATAGGTGAGCTATTCAGTCTTGTCTCTTTTTCAGTATTCGGCACCCGTATTGTACACATTTTCTTATATTTAAGCTTGTTTTTGCAAACGAAAACTAAAAATAGATTTGGGAACATTTACATACATTTGTTTTTTTCTTCTAAATTGGGTCAAATATCTATCGCTGTATCAATCGTAGATTTTATGTAAAAAAATAGGGAAAGTAAACAAATAAGGTAATACAGTACGTTATTAAGAATAATCAGATATCCATAACAAATGAGGTCGTGATTCTGGCCAGCTATTGTCATCTTCTTCAGCTATCAATCCGTGAGATCATCATCAAGATTCACACCAAGCTCCTTTGCTACTTGCAACATGTCCTTGTCACCGCGGCCACTGACGTTAATGACCACAACCTGATCAGAAGACAGTGTGGAAGCAAGTTTTACACCGTAGTATACTGCGTGGGCGCTTTCAAGTGCTGGAATGATTCCTTCATATAGAGACAAAAGCTGAAAAGCCTCAAGTGCCTCCTTATCAGTCACACTCACGTATTTGGCACGGCCTGAATCTTTCAAAAACGCGTGCTCGGGGCCAACACCAGCGTAATCCAGACCAGCAGACACCGAATGTGTCTCCATCGCTTGGCCTGCACTATCCTGAATGATACACGTCTTCGTGCCGTGAAGCACACCAGGTCGACCGGCTAACAATGTAGACGAGTGACGTTTCGTGTCCACACCGTCACCACCAGCTTCTACGCCATACATGGCTACCGACTCATCTTTTGCAAACGGATGGAACATACCAATGGCATTGCTGCCTCCACCTACACACGCCACAATAGCATCCGGCAGTCGACCAATCTCTTCCTGCAGCTGTGCCTTGATCTCACGACCAATAATGGTCTGGAAATCGCGCACCATTGTCGGGAATGGGTGCGGGCCAATAGCCGAGCCAATGATGTAGTGCGTATTCTGCACATGAGTGACCCAATCGCGAGTCGCTTCGTTTACTGCATCCTTGAGCGTCTGCGAGCCACTCTTGACAGCAACAACCTTAGCACCAAGCATTTTCATTCGAAAAACATTAAGCGACTGGCGCTGTGTGTCAATGTAACCCATGTAGATCACGCATTCAAGACCCAAAAGTGCACAGGCCGTTGCTGTAGCCACACCATGCTGACCAGCACCAGTCTCTGCAATGATACGGGTCTTGCCCAGACGCTTAGCCAGCACTGCTTGACCCAGTGCATTGTTAATCTTGTGTGCACCTGTATGGGCCAAGTCTTCACGTTTGAGCCAAATCTGAGCGCCCTTGGCATAGGACGTAAGTCGTTTTGCATGATACAGTGGTGTAGGACGACCAATATAGTCACGGCCCAATTGCTCCAATTCTTGACGAAAGGTTTGGTCTTGGGTCGCCTTGACATACTCTTCAATGATGTCCAGGTGCGCTTGAATAAGCGTCTCCGCTACAAAACAACCGCCATACTTACCAAAGTATGCATTAATCTCATCAACAGATGTGTATACAGGTGGAGCATTTGATACTTCCAAGTATTTCTTCTTCATCTGAAAAGTTTTCGGTGTATTAATCGAAACCATTTGAGCTTGAGACGGCAAATTCTAATTTGATGGTTTACAACGTCGGAAATGATTCGACTAGAGTCACAGCTTCTGGCATCAACATTTGTCACCGAATGACCTACTGTTGATGCTCATTTTGGGACCAGACGACTGAGACCAAGAGAAAATGATGTGTTTACTAGACCTTTCTGCGCTAGTTTGGGCATTTATGTTCTAATTACGAACTGAAAGAGACTGACTAGCTAGCGGCTTTCGATTCTGGATGTCAATATGTCACAAATCGTATTATCTCATGTCCTTGACTCATTCGATAATTATTAATTAGAAAAAAGCTGGAAAGGTTTAGCCCCCTCAATTGCCAATATTTATGGCCTTAGTCGATTCCACTTGCCCATCCGTCACGGACGTTGTATCATTCCTAAAGTATTCATCATGGAGCGAATTGATTACATTTGGTAGTGGTCTCATCACGTACCAACATCAATACAACCCTACATACATCTACGTTCTCACCACATCATCTTTGCCATTATAAGCGGAGTTAACACTTGCAACCATATTGAACTACAAGGTGACGAATGGTGCGACAGCTCATGCATATCCATAAAAACTACTCGCATGAACAGACAAGCGCAGCTTCTTAATATTTCCTATCCTTGTTTCTCGCTCTTAAAGACGTCTTTTAGCTTTACATGCTCTCTTTAGTTTGCAACAGTGCAACGCGCGACATGTTTGTCAATCTATTGTGTCGACCCTAAAGCTCCTTTATTGACGTCGTAAATGGCTGATTCAGACTTTGTATCGAAAAGTGGTAGAACATGTATATCGTGTACTTGGACGTTGTCAAGAGCATGCATCAGACCTCCTCATGTCCTCGTTGAGCACAATGTTGCGTTGGCTAGGGAGATATGAAGACTCTTTCTCTCATGGGCATGCCTGAGCGTATAAAATCTTGGACTCATGATAAACTTACGGCGCAAAAGAGATGCCGCTTGTGGCAAGGTGCTTCACCAAAAGCGCTGCTTGCGCGAGGTTCAAGTTGATGACCATCAACTGTGACCTCGTTTCATTGTCTATTGTCCGTCTGAGTAAGTTTGATGACGTTTATCTTGCGCTTGCGTTGAAAAGCTGAAGCTGATGAAAATATCACACGGCTGGAGAGGAGCTTGATATGAGCCACCTGCCTGCCTATTAAGTCATGCTAGCCTACTACTGCTCCTGTGGTTTCTCACGCTGTATATTGGGCTCACTCTTCAGTCTCTGTTTGTGTATAGGTAACATCATTATGAAAATCTTTGCATATACTGGCAATCTCTCGGGCTCTTGTCCATGCTATAACATGAACACGTGGCTACTCCGCTGTTTTATGCAGTTGGAAACACTGCGAGCTTGAATGCATATTCCACGTATACAAAATGCTTTGCGAATATGGACGCTGAAGTTGGATGATAATAGGCACAATGCTCACCAACAAGCCATGCTTGATTCCGTGTTTGCGTTGGTGGTGTTGGGCAGACTTTGCATTTTCGACGTGCGTGTGACGGCAATACGCAAATAATGTCAGTATTCACTTCACAACGCGAAGGTCATTTTTAATTCCCTGTTTCCTGCTTATGTTACAACTATAGATGCGAGTTGACAGCGATACCATTGAAACAAAAGAAGATTGTTTGGGGTAAAAGTGAACTACATTTACTGCACTGACGAAAAGAGCGTCCAGTAGAGAACTTAATGTCAAGCGTCGAAGTCTTGACATCGTTAGTTTCACAAACTATTTGCTTAGCGAAACGCTTTCAAGACCACTACCTAGCCGACACAAACACTTCACCAACAATGCCGCCTTAGAAGCCTCCGCGAAGACCCCCGCTGCACCCCGGAAACACCGACGCTAGCACCACCTCCAACGCCACCGCTCGCACCACCGGATACACCGCCTCCAACTCCGCCTCGAAGGCCACCGCCGATGCCACCGCTTGCACCACCGGATACACCGGCGCCTAGACCACCGCCGATGCCAACACCAGCACCACCACCGATACCAGCACCTGCACCGCCGACGACACCACCTCCAAGGCCGCCCTTGATTCCACCGCCGACGCCTCCTCCGATGCCACCAGCTGCACCACCGGATACACCGGCGCCTAGACCACCTCCGATGCCAACACCAGCACCACCACCGATACCAGCACCTGCACCGCCGACGACACCACCTCCAAGGCCGCCCTTGATTCCACCGCCGACGCCTCCTCCGATGCCACCAGCTGCACCACCGGATACACCGGCGCCTAGACCACCGCCGATGCCAACACCAGCACCACCACCGATACCAGCACCTGCACCGCCGACGACACCACCGCCAAGGCCGCCCTTGATTCCACCGCCGACGCCTCCTCCGATGCCACCAGCTGCACCACCGGATACACCGGCGCCTAGACCACCGCCGATGCCAACACCAGCACCACCACCGATACCAGCACCTGCACCGCCGACGACACCACCGCCAAGGCCGCCCTTGATTCCACCGCCGACGCCTCCTCCGATGCCACCAGCTGCACCACCGGATACACCGGCGCCTAGACCACCGCCGATGCCAACACCAGCACCACCACCGATACCAGCACCTGCACCGCCGACGACACCACCGCCAAGGCCGCCCTTGATTCCACCGCCGACGCCTCCTCCGATGCCACCAGCTGCACCACCGGATACACCGGCGCCTAGACCACCGCCGATGCCAACACCAGCACCACCACCGATACCAGCACCTGCACCGCCGACGACACCACCGCCAAGGCCGCCCTTGATTCCACCGCCGACGCCTCCTCCGATGCCACCAGCTGCACCACCGGATACACCGGCGCCTAGACCACCGCCGATGCCAACACCAGCACCACCACCGATACCAGCACCTGCACCGCCGACGACACCACCGCCAAGGCCGCCCTTGATTCCACCGCCGACGCCTCCTCCGATGCCACCAGCTGCACCACCGGATACACCGGCGCCTAGACCACCGCCGATGCCAACACCAGCACCACCACCGATAAAAAAAAAAAAAAAAAAAAAAAAAAAAATCCACGGAGGATGAGAGGGAAAAGGAGGGATAAAGGAGTTTTATACCAGCACCTGCACCGCCGACGACACCACCGCCAAGGCCGCCCTTGATTCCAACACCAGCACCACCACCGATGCCACCAGCTGCACCACCGGATACACCGCCGCCAAGGCCGCCGCCTGATGCCAACACCAGCACCACCACCGATACCAGCACCTGCACCGCCGACGACACCACCGCCAAGGCCGCCCTTGATTCCACCGCCGACGCCTCCTCCGATGCCACCAGCTGCACCACCGGATACACCGGCGCCTAGACCACCGCCGATGCCAACACCAGCACCACCACCGATACCAGCACCTGCACCGCCGACGACACCACCGCCAAGGCCGCCCTTGATTCCACCGCCGACGCCTCCTCCGATGCCACCAGCTGCACCACCGGATACACCGGCGCCTAGACCACCGCCGATGCCAACACCAGCACCACCACCGATACCAGCACCTGCACCGCCGACGACACCACCGCCAAGGCCGCCCTTGATTCCACCGCCGACGCCTCCTCCGATGCCACCAGCTGCACCACCGGATACACCGGCGCCTAGACCACCGCCGATGCCAACACCAGCACCACCACCGATACCAGCACCTGCACCGCCGACGACACCACCGCCAAGGCCGCCCTTGATTCCACCGCCGACGCCTCCTCCGATGCCACCAGCTGCACCACCGGATACACCGGCGCCTAGACCACCGCCGATGCCAACACCAGCACCACCACCGATACCAGCACCTGCACCGCCGACGACACCACCGCCAAGGCCGCCCTTGATTCCACCGCCGACGCCTCCTCCGATGCCACCAGCTGCACCACCGGATACACCGGCGCCTAGACCACCGCCGATGCCAACACCAGCACCACCACCGATACCAGCACCTGCACCGCCGACGACACCACCGCCAAGGCCGCCCTTGATTCCACCGCCGACGCCTCCTCCGATGCCACCAGCTGCACCACCGGATACACCGGCGCCTAGACCACCGCCGATGCCAACACCAGCACCACCACCGATACCAGCACCTGCACCGCCGACGACACCACCGCCAAGGCCGCCCTTGATTCCACCGCCGACGCCTCCTCCGATGCCACCAGCTGCACCACCGGATACACCGGCGCCTAGACCACCGCCGATGCCAACACCAGCACCACCACCGATACCAGCACCTGCACCGCCGACGACACCACCGCCAAGGCCGCCCTTGATTCCACCGCCGACGCCTCCTCCGATGCCACCAGCTGCACCACCGGATACACCGGCGCCTAGACCACCGCCGATGCCAACACCATGCACCGCCGACGACACCACCGCCAAGGCCGCCCTTGATTCCAACACCAGCACCACCACCGATGCCAGCACCTGCACCACCGGACGACACCGGCGCCAAGGCCGCCCCTGATTCCAACACCAGCACCACCACCGATACCAGCACCTGCACCGCCGACGACACCACCGCCAAGGCCGCCCTTGATTCCACCGCCGACGCCTCCTCCGATGCCACCAGCTGCACCACCGGATACACCGGCGCCTAGACCACCGCCGATGCCAACACCAGCACCACCACCGATACCAGCACCTGCACCGCCGACGACACCACCGCCAAGGCCGCCCTTGATTCCACCGCCGACGCCTCCTCCGATGCCACCAGCTGCACCACCGGATACACCGGCGCCTAGACCACCGCCGATGCCAACACCAGCACCACCACCGATACCAGCACCTGCACCGCCGACGACACCACCGCCAAGGCCGCCCTTGATTCCACCGCCGGGGGGGAGCACCACCACCGATACCAGCACCTGCACCGCCGACGACACCACCGCCAAGGCCGCCCTTGATTCCACCGCCGACGCCTCCTCCGATGCCACCAGCTGCACCACCGGATACACCGGCGCCTAGACCACCGCCGATGCCAACACCAGCACCACCACCGATACCAGCACCTGCACCGCCGACGACACCACCGCCAAGGCCGCCCTTGATTCCACCGCCGACGCCTCCTCCGATGCCACCAGCTGCACCACCGGATACACCGGCGCCTAGACCACCGCCGATGCCAACACCTGCACCGCCGACGACACCACCGCCAAGGCCGCCCTTGATTCCAACACCAGCACCACCACCGATACCAGCACCTGCACCACCGACGACACCACCACCAAGGCCGCCCTTGATTCCAACACCAGCACCACCACCGATACCAGCACCTGCACCGCCGACGACACCACCGCCAAGGCCGCCCTTGATTCCACCGCCGACGCCTCCTCCGATGCCACCAGCTGCACCACCGGATACACCGGCGCCTAGACCACCGCCGATGCCAACACCAGCACCACCACCGATACCAGCACCTGCACCGCCGACGACACCACCGCCAAGGCCGCCCTTGATTCCACCGCCGACGCCTCCTCCGATGCCACCAGCTGCACCACCGGATACACCGGCGCCTAGACCACCGCCGATGCCAACACCAGCACCACCACCGATACCAGCACCTGCACCGCCGACGACACCACCGCCAAGGCCGCCCTTGATTCCACCGCCGACGCCTCCTCCGATGCCACCAGCTGCACCACCGGATACACCGGCGCCTAGACCACCGCCGATGCCAACACCAGCACCACCACCGATACCAGCACCTGCACCGCCGACGACACCACCGCCAAGGCCGCCCTTGATTCCACCGCCGACGCCTCCTCCGATGCCACCAGCTGCACCACCGGATACACCGGCGCCTAGACCACCGCCGATGCCAACACCAGCACCACCACCGATACCAGCACCTGCACCGCCGACGACACCACCGCCAAGGCCGCCCTTGATTCCACCGCCGACGCCTCCTCCGATGCCACCAGCTGCACCACCGGATACACCGGCGCCTAGACCACCGCCGATGCCAACACCAGCACCACCACCGATACCAGCACCTGCACCGCCGACGACACCACCGCCAAGGCCGCCCTTGATTCCACCGCCGACGCCTCCTCCGATGCCACCAGCTGCACCACCGGATACACCGGCGCCTAGACCACCGCCGATGCCAACACCAGCACCACCACCGATACCAGCACCTGCACCGCCGACGACACCACCGCCAAGGCCGCCCTTGATTCCACCGCCGACGCCTCCTCCGATGCCACCAGCTGCACCACCGGATACACCGGCGCCTAGACCACCGCCGATGCCAACACCAGCACCGCCGACGACACCACCGCCAAGGCCGCCCTTGATTCCAACACCAGCACCACCACCGATACCAGCACCTGCACCACCGACGACACCACCACCAAGGCCGCCCTTGATTCCAACACCAGCACCACCACCGATACCAGCACCTGCACCGCCGACGACACCACCGCCAAGGCCGCCCTTGATTCCACCGCCGACGCCTCCTCCGATGCCACCAGCTGCACCACCGGATACACCGGCGCCTAGACCACCGCCGATGCCAACACCAGCACCACCACCGATACCAGCACCTGCACCGCCGACGACACCACCGCCAAGGCCGCCCTTGATTCCACCGCCGACGCCTCCTCCGATGCCACCAGCTGCACCACCGGATACACCGGCGCCTAGACCACCGCCGATGCCAACACCAGCACCACCACCGATACCAGCACCTGCACCGCCGACGACACCACCGCCAAGGCCGCCCTTGATTCCACCGCCGACGCCTCCTCCGATGCCACCAGCTGCACCACCGGATAACACCGGCACCAGAAAAAAAAAAAAAAAATACCACCGATACAAGACACACGACACCACCACCAAGGCGCCTTGATCCAAAAACAAGCACCACCACCGATACCAGCACCTCACCGCCGACGACACCACCGCCAAGGCCGCCCTTGATTCCACCGCCGACGCCTCCTCCGATGCCACCAGCTGCACCACCGGATACACCGGCGCCTAGACCACCGCCGATGCCAACACCAGCACCACCACCGATACCAGCACCTGCACCGCCGACGACACCACCGCCAAGGCCGCCCTTGATTCCACCGCCGACGCCTCCTCCGATGCCACCAGCTGCACCACCGACGACACCACCACCAAGGCCGCCCTTGATTCCACCGCCGACACCTCCTCCGATGCCACCAGCTGCACCGCCGACGACACCACCACCAAGGCCGCCCTTGATTCCACCGCCGACGCCTCCTCCGATGCCACCAGCTGCACCACCGGATACACCGGCGCCTAGACCACCGCCGATGCCAGCACCAGCACCACCACCGATACCAGCACCTGCACCGCCGACGATACCACCGCCAAGGCCGCCCTTGATTCCACCGCCGACGCCTCCTCCGATGCCACCAGCTGCACCACCGGACACACCGCCACCGAGGCCTCCACTTGCACCTCCGGCTACACCGCCGCCACCACCGATGCCTGCTCTACCGGATACACCGCCATCGACGCCTCCACCGACGCCGCCGCTTGCGCCTCCAGATGGGCTTCCATTAAGATCTCCTCGTACGCCTCCGTTTGCGCTGCTCGAGACCTTATCACTGGCACCAGCGGATTCACCGCCGTTTGCATCGCTCGAGACCTTAACACTTGCACCACCGGAGTCACCGACGTTTGTACCGCTAGATACACCGACGGTGGCACTACCGGAAACACTACTACTACCGCCTTCACGCTCTTCTTTGTAAGTAGCTTCTTTGTTATCAACGCCTGGAATACCGCCGTTTGTACCACCAGCAATACCGCGATCAACGCCGCTTTTTTCATCAACAGAGCTCAAAACGTCGCCGCTCTTTTTATCTTTGTCGGTAGTGTCGCGTGGAGCAGCGGTTTCGGGTATAGTGCTTGGTTTATGATCGTTATGTTTGTCGCTATCGACAGACGTTGAACCTGGCGCGGCAATTCTTGGCGTCACAACAGGTTCACTGCTTGCCGGTGCGTCAGTTTTCGGCGTGACCTCCGGATTCACATCAGGGTCGCTGCTTACCGGTGTTTCACTTTTGAGCGCAGGTGTGACATGCGGAGTCACGAGAGGGGTTTTCGGCGCAGAGGTTGCCGCTGGTGATTCCGTAGGCTTCGTGTAAACGTTTTCGTTCGAGATGCTCGTTTGCTGGCTAGAAATACTAGCATCCGCAAGCTTGCCCATTGCAGCTGCGATGAGTACGAGGTGAGCGATAATCTTGGTAGGGTTCATTCTGGACAAAAAAATGGAAAGGAACGGGAAAATGGACTTGGACTGACAAAAAACGAGAAAGGTTGAACAAGTTGCTCTTGCTACTAGAATACTACTAGTGTGCTTGAGGCAGATTTGAAAATGAGTCGAGCATCAACCAGATCGGGGTCAGCAAGTTCTAACCATCTTCGGGGGACATACCAGTAAAGCTGATTATCATGTGGCAGCAAAGGAGGAACGGCGGTCTTAGGACATTCCATTCCTGCTATGCCACCACACGGTCGTAGTCGCCTTTACCACTACTATACCAGTTTTGTTTGAGACCAGAACAACATAAGGCTACAGGCTGTTGAGGTTCAGCTAAAGACAATGTACTATCAATAGATATTTCGAACGTAAAAACCAATATACCAAGTACCATACCGCACGGCTTAAAATGCATTCTGTCAGGACTGGCAAACAAGAAAATAGTACAAGTGTTGACCACCCGATTGGCACCTGTGTGGACATGACCGGACTCAATGCGACAATAAATTTCTGTCAAAATATCGTCTTTAAAATAAAACGAGTAATGAAAAGACTTCAAAGAAGAGGTAAAAGCTTCGTTCAAACTAGAGTTGACGGACATGTATATTAAAAGCAGCTGGTGGCGCGACGACACGAGAAGAAACATCTCAACGAATACAATGACTTTCGTGTCGAGCAGTAAAATTTTTAGTGCTAGCGTCACTGGCGGGCGAGAAAAGAGAAACAAAAGAGGACGCGAAGGCATCATGTAACGTGTCATTCCAGCACCATGATTTTTACAAGTAAACTAGTGAGACCACCATTTATTTTACAAGTAAACTAGTGAGACCACCATTCATGAGGCACAATGAAGACACCACGTAATGTTGCAGCCATGTATTTGACTTCAGCACGAATGCGCAATTGCGATGAACGGCAGATCCAGTTGTAGAGCAAATTAGTAGCCGAAGCTGGGCACAAAAGTGCTAAGATAGGCCCAATTTATCCAGTGGTAGGCACGCACAAAAAGAACCGAGATTGCACCGCTGAAGCAGACCATTGATCGGCTCATCCACTAATTGCCGGTGTACTCGGTGACAGCACGCAGCGCTCTATCAATATTTTTTATACATTCTAGACACCGATATATTTCTGGTAATCGTACCTCGCATCATACCGATCTCGGCCTTTTCTTATCGAACAGATTGTCTACTTACGATCTAGTGCATGAACTCTGGCTGGTAGGTAGTTAATCAGATTAACAACGCTAGAAGGTCGAGAATTGCGTATGGCTGACGGCCCGTCTATCATAGCCGGACGACCTATCCGATTCCGATAAAAAGATGTCATACATAGCATGTACCATGTTGAGCTTTGCGGACGGTCGTTTCAACTCGGCAATGGGAACATTGATCAGCACCCGGAGCTGAAGCTGAATCCGTCCCCATGGTAAGAGATTTGAGTAAATCCTTCCCAACGACTGAGGAGATGGGCCCAGATTGTTTTACATCGGGAATATGTCCAAAACGAGATGCTTCTGGGTTTACTTTTGGCCCTTACTTTCCGTACGTGCAAGTGCCTTCGCGTGGCCGCATTTCGTGCCATAAAGTGAGCTGGCCTGCGTGGCGATAGTATGCCCATAGCTGACTTTTTGGTTACCTCATGCGCATGAGACGCCGTCTGTTGCTTCTTTTAGAGACGCAATGGAATGTGACGTCACTGTTAAACGACACAGACCAGTTAAGTTAACTACCTGTCAAGGTTATCTTCATGCCGTTAACCTCTACGGCATTCGACTGCATGCACTTGTAATGATGTTCAAGTTGGTTTGCTTGACGATAGTGCTCACTGTCCTCTTGGCGATGTATTGCTGCCATGTGAGCACTGAGAGCGTAAATATTGTAACCCACCGAGACGTGACAGAATTTGACTATGAGGCAATGAATTTTGCCTTCGGCTAGAAAGCCTCGTCCATCCAGGACAGTGTCTCATACAGTAGATACGAAGAGCATTCAACGTCACCAATGACGTAGTGCTCAAGATCCTTGAGTCTCTTACGCGTTGCAATCTGGTGTTGCTTTGGTTTATGCGGCATCAGATCGTTACTTTGGAACAAGACAACGACATTTCGGGCATGCGAATTGAGTGCCGATTGGTTCAGACTCCTCCATTCGTGTCGCTATTGTAAAGGCCATACAAATATCAAGTTTTAATCTATCGGAAGTCATAGGTGACACATAGCTTTTGCGTTAATGCAACTCAATTACTTGATTCCTCTGTGTTGACCCAACTTGATTACTCTGCTGTTGCATCGATCGGTCATGATGTCAACTGCAATAAGATTGTAATGACACTTGAGTGGACCGACCTTAGGCAGACAGGTCCCAGTAGTTGATACAAGCGTCATTGCCTACTGATATGAGCTCCGTCTCCGACAGAAAACTCACAGACGTGACGCCATCCTTGTGCGAGAAATCAAATACGCGCTTCTTCATGGGACTATTCACATCCCAAATGTAGATGCGTTCATCTAGCGAACCACTGGCCACGAATTTGCCGCTCGGGGCCCAGGCTACGCTCGTCACACGCGTTGAATGGAAAACCCACATTCCTTGGACCTTGGCTGTGCGAGACGCGACATCCCACACGCGCACCTCACGGTACGTGTCACCAGCAGCCAGCAGAGATCCATCTGGTGAAAAGGACACGGACGTAAGCGCGCCCAGATGTCCCACAATCTCACCGCTTTCGACCAGAGAGGAACCGTTCACTACATCAAAAAGGTGAATCATCATATCCTCTTGTGAACCGACCGCCACTAGGTCTTCTGACGGCGAAATAGCCACGCACGTGGGCGTCCACGAAAACTCAGGCGTCTCAAAGACTAGCTTCTGACCGCGCAACAGCTTTACACCTTTGTTCGTACTGGCTACAGCAAGACCCGATTTCGTGAGCGCTACACCGTTGGGTTGTGCGTTTAATGCCGTGGCAGCAATGTACTCATTTTCGTTAGCAAAACGCAACTGATCGTCCCAACCACAGCTGGCAATCTGGTTCGAAGTGGCGGATATACCCGTTATCTTTGCAGTGTGGTGGCTCCCTGCTAGAGTCTTGGCCAACTTTGATGCCCACAAGCAGACGACACCGTCGTAGCTGCCCGTGAGTATACGCCTCTGCGTCAGTTCGGTGGCAAGCGACAGGATGCTCACCTGGTGACCCTGCACGATCTGCTTTGGTTGCGACGGGTTGTCCAGGTCCAAAAAGTTTAGGTCACCAGAGAGGCTAAGTGAGACGAGATAGTTTTGGCACCAAGCCACCGCCACCTGCATGTCCTTGACCTGCGGCTTTGAACCTCCAAAGGTGAATTTTGTTATCACGCTGCGAGACGAGAGGTCCCAGAGCACCACTGTCTTGTCAGCCGATGATGTCAAAAGCTGCGTACCATCGGGGCTCCAGCACACCGAATAGATCGATGCTTGATGCATCGGTGGAAATTTGTCCACCAGTTCTCCAGTCTCTCCATTGTATAAACACATGACCTTGTCCGATCCGACACTGACGGCAAATTCACCATTGGGTGAGTATCGAACACAGTTGACAAAATTCGAGTGTAGATTGTTGTTGTTCTGTTTAAACTTGAATGGTGGACCTTCATAGACACAGACATTAAAGTCTTCACTTGCAGTCATGATGCGAAATGGACGTGTTTGACGATAATCGACACTCAAAATTCGTTTTTGATGACCTACAATTTCTCCAACACTATTGCCCGTATCCCACATAAAGACACGAGCCATAAGACCACGACCGTCACCTACAGCTACAATTCTTTTACTATCGGGATCCCAGGATAAATCTTTAATCTCTCCAGCAAAGACTGGAATTTCTAATTTCAGTGAATGTTCTGGATTATCATACGACCAGACGCGTATTTTACCCGATATATCACCCGATGCAACCCAATAGCCATTAGGTGAGAACTTGGCGACTGTTGTGGATTCATGATGACCTTTGTATACAAAAGTATTAACCGGATTGGCTAAATGACGTATAATTACTAATTTGCCACTACAGTAAATGAGTTTTGGTTCTTTTGGGTGAATCCCCAAAACAGTTGGAGCACCCCGAGTTGTTGTTGGGTTTGGTCCAATCGTTGTCTACATGATGGATAATATATTTAGAGACAGTTAGGTGAAAAAAGTTAGAGAGTCGTTACATTAAGAGAATTAAATAGTTTAGAGATAGATAAGTAGATTGAGAGATGTACGAAGGTAGATAGATCGACGATTGATAAAAGAATCCACCTACTTGAAGAGCTTGAGGTGGAATCTTTTCCGTGGGGTTTGAAGGCGTTGTCATGGTTTTCTAAAGCTGCTTGCGTGTCGTTGTTTGAATGAAGGAAGGATGAAGGACGAGATGATTTGGCAGATCTTTTTGCAACAAAACACGCACATACAAAAACTGAATATAAAACCGAAATGAGCAAAAGTGACATGGATAAAATTACATAGTTGGGATAAAATTACATAGTTGGGATAAAATTCATTGGGATAAAATTAGTTGATCGACTTGTTGATACCATCGTGTTCTGATGTGGTTCTTAAGTAACTTTATCGCTCTGTGTAACAACAAGAAGTCTGTATTCGAGCAAAGGTGTAGTAATGGTATCACGTAGGAACAGTTTCCAGCATAAACTAGTCGCCAGGCTACATTGTGGCAAACGAATTGGGACGTGTCTGTGTAGCCAACAACAAACTTTGCAAACTCTTCAACCACCCATATCGGTACGTGCCAGTATCGATGGTCCGTCCAACTCGCAACATGATTCTTGCTCTCATTGACGAGTTAGCGCAGCGGAGGTCCCAGTCGAAACTCTAGTACACGAATACTTGAGCCCTGCTTCTCGGACAAGATCAGGCTCGCACAACATCAGGCGCACGCTAGCGAAGCCAGATTATTCTGACGCCGTATGGATTGCAACACAACGTCCGACGTTTGCTGATGGGGCACAGCAGTGACGGCAAACCCATTTCGAGTGAAATGCGAGTAAATCTGTGCAGCAGGTCCAACTTTCAACAGTACAGATAAATTCCAGACCCAGGCCCTCCTTGTCCATTGTAGATTAGCATCAGGCTAACCAACTTAATCAGTATCACTAGCTTCACTACCCCTTGGAGTACCACACGCATAGGACCTTCGGACAAGTCTTATCTCTTCGGTCATAACTTGCAAGGCCACAGCCAAAAACTCCTTTTTGACAGGGTCAATAAATAGTTTCTGTCTCAGCACAAGTAAAATCAGTGTTAGTCACGTAAGACAGTCTAGCCTAACGCTTTTGAGCGAACCTTTATGCGATCATCGAACCGGATTATCGCTTGGAATACATTCGCATTTGAAGAAGCACTACTGTCTTCAATCAGTTTGCTGTAGACAAGTGCCAGGATATCGCACAAAGAGAGCAGCACTTCTCGGTAGTCGAGCGGGAAAGGCTGAAACAGAACACAATGATGCATCAGTAAATTCATGTAAGTTTTAGTAGCGGAGCAGATAGCTTCGGGTAACATACGACAGAAGGTGTCAAGAGGCGGCGGTATACTGGACGTTGGTTCCACTTGTGCATGGTTGGTCGGAAAGGCTCGTCATTCGAGAGCTCCTGACTATTTTCCTTGTCAACAGGTTCGTGTAGCGTACTCGACGTCGCCAGCATCATTTTCTACCATTGTCAACATAAAAGACAGTGAGGGTGTCAGTACATCTTCTTTATCTACACTGAACGTTAAGCCTCATCCTCACCATGCCCTGCACCGTCGAGGATGAGAAATAAAACTCAAGTTCTTCCAGTAACTGGCAGCAGTCCATCGCTAGTAACTCTCGGTGCGTCACTTCGCCTACTAATCTCCCCAGTCCAATTCCCAGATAGAAGTACTGTGCAGCACGACGAATGCTTTGTTTCTCTCCAACGTGGCTCATCACCTGCTGTTCTCGTATCAGCGCAATATTAAGCCAATAATTAGAGCCTTCGTGAATCGCCTTGAGATAATTCCAGTCCGAACGTCGCTGCTGCACCAGATCCTCCAAGATTTTCATCTTCTGTTGTGCCGTTATCTGTTGAAGCATCTCAGCAGCTTCCACCGCAGTAACAGCTGCATTCTCCTCAGTAGTTCGTTCGGTACTGGTTGTCCGTTCATCCACGTCATGAGCATTGCTAACCGTCGAGTCTTGGGACGAGAACAGCAGTGAGCCAAAAGTCGACGTTGCACTAGTGATTGACGACGTAAGGCCAGAAGTTAATGACCCTGCAGCTGAAGCTACAGAAGAAAGAGGGTCAAAGGCTTTCGTAACGTCACTAGAGCTTGGAGAACTCGTCTCTGTTTCAATAGCAACAGGAGACGAAGCAGTAGAAGCCTTGACGCTTGGGCTTTTTACTATAGGTGACAAACCTTTACGCCTACTTTTTGTCAGCTTCGAGTGAGCAACTGTAGCTATAGAACGAGCAGCAGAAGAAGCTTTAAGTGCAGATAAGGCCAACTTAGAGCGACTCGTGTTACTCTCGATAGCAACGTCATTAGTAGTCGTTTCGAATGTATTTTTATGATCAGCATTAATATCACTAGAAGGTGAGGAATAATCAGGTAAAGCAGAGGGAGGGGGGAGGAAGAGACGCCAAGACTTCCTCCTCGCTCAATGCCGTGGTCGGAAGTGTGTCCATTAGTGCGAAACTATCTCCTTGTGATACCGGTAACGCAAGATGTGAATCGGACGATGATTCTCAAATACCGGTATCTTGCAATGCTTTCCTGACTGGTTTACGTCTGTGAGAGATATTACTGGCATTACGATAATGATCGAATAGAAATATATATGCCTGGTTTCGCACCAGTACGCTGCATAAGCATAAAGCACTCGCACGAGATCGACTCTTTTACCCAGTAATTACTGAGACGATCGCAATTTCTATACCGATCGCCTAGTTGCGGGACATGTGAGGTCTTCAACATCTCGAAAAAGCTATCCGACATTCTGTGTAGGAAAACCACAAGAGGATAGCGGATAGTGCTCACGTTTAACAAGTTGAATGTGGCGACGATGCAGCGCAAACGCCTACAATGAGGAAGGATAGTATCATACAGGGTATGCCCACCTTTTCGTTCCAATGTTACGCCATTCATCTCATCGATAGCATGACTATATCCATCCAAATACGTTTGGACAGAATTCAATGACGTCTTCAATAAACTTTGTGCGAGAACGAACTGGTGCTGCTCGTTCATCGTTGGCACCGTTAATTGCTTCACGCCCCGCATGTTCCTTTCATATGAAGCATTTGCATTGCGCTACTTGTAGCCTTCATAACTCGTTCAACAGTATTACAATCACCTATTGTCGTCATGTTTTGTTTTCTTGAAAGTATCAAGATTTCCAACTGAAGACAAAATTTTGCTGCCATTTCCAGGAGAAAAGGCAGGTGACGACTATCAAAAGGTAACAACCTCAAGTCCAGTCATTTAATCCCTGAAATTTGTACATGACGTCCCAAGGGATCTTGCGTTCCTCCATCCACCACCAAACTTCCGTGATGAACCGTGTGCCATCCGAATGTCCCATTCGGATGCAAAGATCCCGCACTGCTCGTCCGCAAAGCTGATATTCTCGTTGGATAGCCAAAATTTTTGCTTTGGAGCCAAAATTGAAGGTTAGTTGCATTGTATCGCGCTGATAGCGAGCCAAGAGTTCATTCACCGTTTCAACCAGCTTTTAGACACAAGTGCCATGTTTTATAAACATTTGCCAGGATGTGAGCGACGCGGAGGCCTCAAGTCTTGCGTAAAACTGTACAATATAAATTCGAGTATTAGAGAGATTATTGAAAGAAGTAGTGAAGTTAATGACAGCATTAGAAAGTAGGAACGACGGTCGTAATGAACTTGCGTAGCACTTTTTGGTAGTTAATTTTTAAGGTTATAGGAAGAAGAATTGCTTGAAACGGTTTTTTTCAAAAAAAGCTTATCATAAAGGCTGTATTGACATAATTGTAGCTTGAAGCTCTTGATTTAGCTCCTGCAACCTTTTTCAAGGCTTCAACAAGTGAAATTTGCTGACACAAAGACGATTTCAGTTTTTAGTAACTTTGGTCTGTTAAAGCAATGCTTGACTCAAGACAAACAGCATTGGGTGAATCTAGGCCTGGAAAGTATTTGTTGATGATAAGTTTGTGCGGGGGGTCACGGTACCTGACTGGGTTTTGCAGGTAACAATGTGACGTCATTGACGAGTTCTTTCGTGCGAAGCACGCGGCTGGCATGGTGCGTGAGAGTAAGTCTCCGCACTCTACGCCCACGATTTGTGTGAAAAAGCCTAATGGGAAGTGGCGAATAGTGCATGCTTACAATAAGCTGAATGCATTCACTATCCCGGCTCAGACACCGATTCCTCGCAAGGACGTTCTTTAGAACAACATGGTACAGTGTCCTCGACTTAGTCGATGGATATTACCAACTGCTCATGCGAGCTAGTGATATCCCGCTGACAGCGGTCAGTACTCCGAGCGTTATGCTCTGGGAGTGGTTAGTGATGCCCCAAGGGCTGTCTAACGCACCTGCAACGTTCAATCGTCTAGTGACGCAGTTGTTTCGGCCTCATAGGGCGTATGCACAGACATACTTTGAAGATATATTCGTCCATATTCGAGCCGAACATGACAAGACTGATGTGGAGAATCACATCGAGCACCTGCAAGCTGTGCTCGGCTTCATGTGGATGCATAAGTTATATGCCAGTATTGACAAATGCATCTTCGGTGCGTAAGAGATTCCCTTTTCGGGTGCTTCATTGGGAAGCAAGGAATTCGGGCAGACCCTGTCAAGGTTAAAGCCATAGTGGATTGGCCGGTTCCGAGGAACCAAAAGGACCTCCGCAAGTGGCTGGGCTTGGCAAATTACTTGCACAAGTATAGCCACAACTATGCGGAAGTGGCTAGGCCATTGTCGAATCTCCTTAAGAAGGATGTGGAATGGTGTTGGAACACCGAGCACCACGAGGCTTTTGAAGCCATTAAGGAGAGTCTCCTTCAGGCGCCGATTCTGGCTCTGCCTGATCCTGATGGCCCATTTAGCGTCGTAGTGACGCTTCGGACTTTGCCATTGGCAGTGCACTCTTACAAGCTAACTCGAAGGGTCGAGAACGCGTCATCGCATTTGATTCTCGCCAGCTGAAAGCTGCAGAGAAGAACTATCCCGTTCATGACAAAGAGCTACTTACGATGAAGTATGCCCTTGTTAGGTTCAGGGTATACCTGTTGGGCCCAAAGCCGTCTGTAATCTACACCGATCATGCGTCATTGCGCACAGCAACACAGTCGCCTCATCTCTCGGAGAGAATGGCTCGTTGGTTCTCCTTTTTCGCGGAGTATAACTTCGAGGTGAAGTATAAGCCGGGTAAACAGAATGTTTTGGCTGACGCATTATCGCGTAGACCTAAATATGAGCTTGCTCATCTTACTGTTGTGACTTCTTCAGTCACGGATCGTATCCGTGTGGCGCATGCACGCGATGAGGCATGTGTTGCCATTATGCAGGCGCTGGGTAGCGCAGAGTTTGAAAACTCTAAGGTGAAGTTGTCATCACGTAATCGTGCGAGATTACATCGTTATGCACTGACCGATGGTCTGTTGTACAATAGTGCCGGGTCGGATGACCAGCCTCATGTTGTGGTGCCTTATGATGAGGACCTCAAGTATCAGATACTTTATGAGGCTCATTATAGGCCCCTGGGTGGCCATTTAGGTCGTGAAAAGACCTACAGCTCGGTGAGCACCAATTATTGGTGGCCCAAGTTGTACAAATGGGTTGGCACCTACGTACGCACGTGTGAAACATGTCAAAGGGTGAAACACTCGCCTAATATGGCTGCGCCTTTGGCGAGTTTTCCTGTGTCCTCGGGGTTGTGGCAGTCCATTAGTATGGACTTTGTGTTTGGCCAACCGCATGATGCGGCAGGCAACACTCTCTTGGCAGCGGCCACTGTCGCGTCAAACAGTATTCGGCTCCTGGAACCAAGCAGATTTCATGACGTACACCTCTATCCGGAGTAACCTCGTAGGAGGTTCTCTGGAGACAACCTCGCCATATTCCTTCAACAAAGGAAAATAAGGATCTGAAGGGTTCTTCAGGATCTGCGATCCACTACGCGCATTCAGCGCCTTCTTGGAATCTTCAAGCACTGCTTTATTCAAAAGCAATGAGGAGTTTAACTTCTCCTCAGGTCGTATAACGACCAATTCGGCGATGTCGCCTGCCTGTAAGGCACTGCCAAACTTGGCAAAGGCCAACTCGTCCAGCTCTAACCGAGCCCTTAATGCAGGTATAGCTGAAAGAGCCACCGGCTCTTCAACATTCCCAGTCAAACCATTGACGAGTGTACATAGCTGATCGCTATCACCGTCACTCACGATATTATCATCTCTACTCATGATGTTCTCAGCATCCGACGCATCAGCGTCCACAGGTGTTCGCACCTCGTTGTCCTCCAAGACAACCGTCATTTTTGACTTCACCCGACCCTCTTTGGCGAGTATCTCGGCACTATGTGCTTGCACCTCGTTATCCTCAAAGACAACATCCATTGATGATGTCACCCGACCCTCCAGGGCCAGTACTTGTCACTAGGTGCTTGCACCTCGCCTCGTCATCCTCAAAGGCAACATCCATTTTTGACTTCACCCGGCCCTCCAGGGTCAGGTCCTTGTCACTCATGTCACTACCATGTCCTGACATCTTGGTTTGCAGCCACCAACACCACTCGCGGTGTTTAATGATGTAACATAATTTTCATGACACATGTCATACGTGCCATCTAGTGGGTTCTCAACCACACTATCGACAGTCATTGGGCTTCGCCCTATTGTCCTCGACACTTACATAGTCGGATAACCCGACATACAACATATTGACCGACTCGGTCCAATATCCGCGCCAAAAGCGCTTTTGCTTTTTAGCAGAGGTGGGTTAATGACTCTCCAGAGCCCCACCAGGAGCTTGCGCGTTGCGCCTAAGGTCTTCGACCTCCAATCAATCCATGGCTCATGACGTTATAGCCATGCCATGCCTAAGATGAGTTCATACCTCGCATCCAGGTCTAAGACCAAACAGCGTTCCATGTTGTTAAAGTCCAAGAACTTTACATTTAAGTCCATCGGGACATTGGGTACCGTGACACGGGTACCCGTCGCTAAACAAACTGTGATGGTGTCACTTTCACGCGCTACAAGCGCTTCAGAATACTGCTGACTACCTTCCACGGTGGCACGGTGCACATAATTGCCCGATGCCCCCGAATCGATCAAAATGATCCATGGATTATCATAGCCCTTAACCGTCGCTTCGACGACTAGCAATCCTGGCTTGAATTCTCGTTCCGTTTTTGAGAGTTCGGATCTCTTTGGGGCTGGGCCCTGCTTACTTCTACTTCCCAGAGGGTCAACAGAACTCAGCTCGCGCCTACTGGGTTCCGCCGTTTCTCCGCGGCAAACCAGAAGGTATACCCATGGGGCGTCAGCCTTCAAGGCCAAATATGCCTTTCTTGCAGGGCATTATACCATCAAATGGCCTGTGCTCTTTCAGATATAACATCTGCACGCAATTTACTTCTCCGCAGCTTGAAGCTCAGCTTCTTCATTCTCCACTTGACTACAATCCATGGGAACAGACCCATCAGACGAGTAGTTATAAGTGGCAGGCCAAGTGGCCTTAAAGTTGGTCTCGTCATTCCATGCCACTCCAACAGCTTCCTCGAATGAGAAAATTTTACCCGGAAGACGTCCGTTCTGGCAACGCCAACTCGGAGGTCTTCCATGAAGACCGTGATGGTCACCGCCTCAGGCATAGGGTCTATGACCATGGCAGCAATGAAAGTTTCCAACTCTTGCACATATGCCGCGAGCTCACGCTTGTCTTGGGGACACGCCAAAAACCGCGACCGATTACGGTGTGCTTGGTTTGGCGGTGCATACTGCCGGGTCATCTGAACTTTCAGATCGGCCCATGTGGGAAAAGCATCTTGCAGTGATGCACCACATGTGAATGCCTACTGTTTAGCTAAACTACCTAACTTGCTCGTGGCAAACCCCACACGTTACGGTTCATAGGTGATGTCGGCTACAAACATAGCCGACTCGACCTGTCGGAACCAAAGCATAAGGTTGTCACCTTCTTTCGACTTATCGCCTTCCATGTGTATGGGTTTTGGGCTGCGGACCATTTCTTGCGCCATAGTCACCATGGGCGGAAGCGCAGAAGAAAGCATCTGTGTTTTTACATGCTCGACTAGAGCTTTATTATATTCATCAAGCATGTGAATACGCTTGTTAACCTTTTCCTCGCCCTGGAAGATGAGGTACTTTACGCCCTTAGGGCCAAGGATAGGGAGCAGCTTCTGCAACCCTTCCTGTTATTCCTGTGACAGGCCAATCGCTGACATCGCTTCGATGTCCATTCTCACACAGAGAAGTAGTCGCAAACCCAGGTGCAGCATTGACTACAAGTGCTACCAGGTGTAGCCGAGCTACTGTAGCCACGATACTTAGGCACTATGTTCAGATGCACTATGTGCAGAAGAAGTAGTCAAACTACTGTAGCAAAGCTACTTATGCACTATGTGCAGAGAAAGACAAGCTCAAAGAGCTTCTACGTCTTGGTGTGCTTAACTTTTCCTAGGCTAGCTCGTCAGCTTGTGCCTATCGGTTGTTGTAACCGTGTCTCAAAGAGACTTAGTATCAAAGATACTTGATTCCTCAGGAGGAATAGTACGCTCAAGCAGTGATGCTTATCGAGCAGGTTTGAAACTGATTTATATTTATGTTTATCTTCTAACACTAAATATAGAAGCACCAATCCTATACTTATTGCTAGTCACTATTATTGGCTCTTTGTAGCCTGTTATTATTATGCAAACATGCATAGTCGCTATACTTTAACTAAGTATAGTGACCACGTGGCACGATGTGACCCTTCGTACTTCAGGTACGGTCACATCACCTACTTTTGTACCCAAGATACAGCCACATCACATTGGTGTGGCAGGTGCGTATGTAAAATACACACCTTCGTGTAACCCCGTTACAACATCGACACAACGAGATTGTGTGAAACGACACGAGTCGACTCCTTGTTGATTAGTAATGTTGACGCATCAATGTAAATAGGCCTAGAGGTAGTACAGTGTCGCGAATTAAGGGCCCAGCTAGCATTAATTCACTTTCCTTTTTACCTACTTATAGCTACTGGAGCTCTAAACACCCTAAGCCATCTTCATATATTTGATAGGGTGGCAGTCCGCCACTTCTAGTAGGTCGAATGCTGCGGCCATGGATAGTGACGGCAGTCAAGACTGCGGGCAAAGCGACACAAGACACATCATGAGTTGTAGTTCAGAAGGCGTTCGATTGTCGTAGGTTAAGCATTATTGCGGAATGAGACAAGCGAAGCAGGGTAGACGTTATCTTTCACAGAAGATTTCGAATGATTACGTCTAGATGTATACATGATAAAGCACATATTGTGTGTCTAGCAGCTACTGACGTAACCCACTCAGCCTTAATGATTTGCAACTTTGAGCGGTGCGCAAGTCTCATGAAATCCTGCTGATTTGATATCAGAATTTAAGAACCGTGACGAGCGTTTTCATCCAATCATCACCTTTACATAAGGCTCTCTATTTTTAGCTAATCACATTTTAGGAAGTTGCTCTAATGAGTGAGGAAACATTATTCATACCCTCTGCTTCGTCGTCCACGATGGCCAAGCTCCTGGTGAATGTGCCACAGATGCAGCGCGATTTGCAATGTGCAAACGAAGAAAATGCGTATTTGCGCACGCTGTTGAAGCAATTGAACATCTCTGATACCAGAACACTGCCATCTTTTCACGAAAAGACCAAGAATCCAAGTGTTAAGGATAACGACGATGTCGTGTTCGACCGCGCGCTTGCACGACGGCAGGCGCGTCTGGAAGCAGCCAACAGCTCTAGTGAAACGTTAACAACAATTTTGGAGCTGAAGAGTGCCAACGATCGCGTGTCGCTGCTGGAACGGCAGCTCCTCGACGCAGAAGAGACCATTTGTCACCTCAAGGCTGAGAAGCTCGCGGCGCTACGAGACATTGAGCGACTTAGTACTGTGGTATCTGCTGGAGAAATACAAGAGCTACCAATGAACGAAGAGGACAATGAGAAACATCGTCGATTGATGCTGGGGTTGGAGACGAGATTGGCTGAGCAGCAGAAAGTCCATGCACTCGAGCAGGAACAACGCATGGCTGTGATACGAGACCAAGAGAGTGAACTGAAGACGCTGCGTGGTCAGTTGGAGGACAAATTGAAACAACTCAAGGATCTGGAGCAGAGATACACGGATTTTCTTGAGCTGGACGAACAGGTGACAATGCAGCAGCAACGCGTTAAAGGCAGTTTGATCAGTATTTCGAAAGACAAAAGCGACGAAGACGACGGTGTGAAAGTGACGAAGCAACACAATACTTTGAATCCTGGTCGATCGCGAGCTCCAGCAGACGCTGACGCAGTGAGCACTAAATGGCAAGAAGAGTTAGTGCGTCATCCGACACCTCACTTTGACATGCAGTCACCTGAGGTGGCTTACATTCTCCGATCATGGACAAACGATATTAAGAAGATGCGATACTTGCGTCGCTGGCTTATACAGGTAGCGGTCATGAAAGGACCACTGCCGGACGATTTTCCCATGGCCGTTGAGTTGCCACGGCTTTCACCCGAGGTGCGTGATGGGTTTCTTATACTCATTCTTCCGCTACTTCGCAAGCAGACTGAGAGAGAGATTCTTGCTTATTCTCGCCAATACAATGACGGCGTTCATACCGACTTACGTTTCCGTACAGTGCCGCGTCAATAATTTCATTAAGGTCTTTCAGCAAGCAGCTTCATTGTTTTTGTCGTATTCAAATCGATGTGCTGTAGACTACAGTATACATACTCCGATGCCGCTTAACCCTGTCAGCCGCAGCACGTCTAGATGATGACATGAAACTCGAATGTTTGATGTTTACAAGAAATGAATAATGAATGCATGCTATGTATGACAATACGAGCTTTGTATTGTTACATGTATCTATTTGCCTTTACAGCCATATTCAGATGTTGCTTATCTAGAATCTCTCGTCTAAATCTGTCGTATCAAAATGTTACTTTATGTCTCTTTTTGTTTTTCTAAACGTCGTCATCAAAAAGTAACGCTATCGCAACATCTAAATCTGAGCAACATTCAAACAACCTACGACAACTACGACATTATATAAAGCCTTTCATTTCCTTTCACTTATCAAACCTCAAAAGGAAACGAACGTTTCCTCTAGTGTACGTCTCTATCTCTCTCTCTCTGTATCTACTTAGCTACCTATTTGGTATCAAAAATGGGTCGTATTGTACGACTGGAGATAAAGAACTTTAAATCATACGGAGGTCATCATGTCATTGGTCCATTTCATCGTTTTACAGCTATTATCGGTCCTAATGGTAGTGGAAAAAGTAATCTCATGGACGCCATTTCTTTTGTCCTGGGCGTTCATTCCCGTCAATTACGATCCAATCAATTACGTGATTTAATTCATCGAGCACCAAATGATCAGAATAATGATGATACAACAACGACCGATACTACCAAACGTTCAGCATTTGTAACACTTGTGTATGAGTTAGCACCCAATGAAACACCACCATCCAAGTCACGTCTGAGTCGTTCTAACCAGCCACAAGAAGATCAAGAAGAAACGTCTTGGACTCTGAATCAGATGAAGCAACGAGAAGTGTATTTCTCACGTTATCTTTCTGAAAAGGGCATTGGTTCCTATCGTCTCGATCATGAAGAAATGAGTTGGGAAATGTATCAGAATCAATTAAAAGAAATTGGGCTTTTAGTAAAAGCCCGTAATTTCTTAGTTTTTCAAGGCGACGTGGAATCAATTGCAAGTAAAAGTCCATTGGAATTAACCAAACTCTTTGAACAAATTTCAATGTCCGATGAGCTCAAGAACGAATATGAACGATTATTAGAAGAGAAAAATACAGCAGAAGAAGATACAATCTTTGCGTATAAGAGAAAGAAAGGACTTGTTGCGGAGAAGAGACTTGTAAGTCAATCCCTGACTTTTGTTTTGTTGGTTTGTTTTTTAAGAACGATGGTATGAAAGAGATAGTTCTTGTTCTGATTTTCGCATGTGTGTGTCTGTTGTTTTGGCCTTGTTTTTGTGTCTTGGTCAATTGTAGGTAAGAGAACAAAAGGAAGAAGCCGAGCAATTTCGACACAAGCTAGAAGCTGTGGTATGTGGTCTATGATGTATGGTATTTTTTATACAAAAGTTGAGTCAGTGACTTGTATCTTTTGTACTTTGCTTTGGTTTTTTCTGTTTGTGTGGATAGAACAATCTTCGTGTGGAGCATTATTTGTGGCAGCTTTTTCAAGTTGAAGATGATATTAAACAACGAGAAGAGACCGTGAGGCATTACCAGGAAGCAGGCCTTATTTGTTCGAAGAAGGAAGATACCGTTGCACAGGTATATCATGAAAAAAAGAAAGAACTAGGCGCAACGTTTCGAGAAGTCAAAGCAAATCGTGAGCAGATCCAGGCTTTTCAGAACGAGATGACGGATATTCAGCCGCAATTATTTAAGCTGCGCGAGCAGACCTCATATTCTCAGAAAAAGATAGCAGAAGCGGAGGCAACTGAAAAGACGATGAAAAGACGGCAAGAAGGAAAGTCTACGGAAATTGAAGACTTGAAAAAAGATTTGAAAGAACTGGAGAGAGCAAAAGCTGAACTCGATGAGAACCAGAGACGTGCAAGCGAAAAAAGTGAGACTGGTGCGTTGGTCCTAGAAGGCTCAAGCTTGGAGGAATACCATCGAATCAAAGAAGATGTTCAAGTCAAAACGAATATATTGCGGAGTGAACTGGAGTCCATCTTACGGCAGCAGACGGCAGATCAAAACAAAGTAGAGACATTGACCCAAGAACGACAGGAAAATCTCAAGATGGTGGAAATGCTGACTGACGATCTAAAGCAAGCTGATGACCGAATCGCTACAATGCAACGTGTGGTTTCCGATACTGAACACAAAATTAAAGAAGTTGAAACGAGCTTACAGACGACCGATGAAGAGAGCCGAGGTCAGGCGCACAAAAAGGACAAACTTACGGAGCAATTAAATCGCGTTAGCAGCAAGTTGCGCGATTTAAAGGATGATAAGCGGCAGTCACAAGCAGAGGCACGCCGAGCAGAGACACTGGAAACCCTAAAGCGATTGTATCCTGGTGTTCGCGGCCGTTTAGTAGACCTTTGTAAACCTGTCCAGCGCAAGTACAACATGGCTGTGACTGTAGCTACAGGAAAGCACATGGATGCAATTGTGGTAGCAGACTACCGAACAGGGCAAGATTGCATTCAATACCTTCGTGATTCGCGTACAGGCAGCGCACCATTTATTCCTCTCGACAGGATTAGAGTGAAACCAATCAATGAGCGATTTCGCAGCCTCGGAAACAATATTAAATTGGTGGTCGACGTAATTGAATGCGACACCGAGATTGAGCCAGCGCTACACTATGCTGTCGGTGACACCGTCGTTTGTGACTCTATCGATATCGCTCGCGATCTGTGTTTCCGTCAAAATGAAAAGGTGAAGGCAGTGACACTAGACGGGAAGGTTGTTAGCAAAAACGGAAGTATGACCGGAGGTAAAACGCACAGTGACTCGCGTCGAGCAGGTCGATGGGATGAAAAAGAGGTTGAGGCTTTACAACAACAGAAAGATGATCTGGTCGACGAGCTGCGTGCATTAGAAGGACATGGTGCGTCATACGCGAAGCTACAAACGTTGCGTACTCAACTGGAAGGGTTGCAGAGTCGGCTTAGCCGTGCAAAAGCTGACCTGGTAATTACAGAAACAAATAGGCCCAAGACTCAAGCCCGAATCGATGATGCCAAGAAGCGAGTCACTGAAGTGATTGATCCGGAGCTACGCAAATACGACTCGGCTATGAACTCTCGCAAGAGCAAGATAAGTGCATTACAGGAGCAAATTAATGATGTAGAGGACGAATTGTTTGCAGAGTTTAGCGAAGCTATCGGCGTCGAAAGTATTCGCGTCTATGAAGAGAAGGTGCTCAATCGACACCACAAGGCACTGGAAATGCGACGCAAAATTACGGAACACGAAGCTAAGCTGTGCGCACAGGTAAGATTATGTGATGTTGAAGCAAAGCGTGATATGTACCGCTCATGTTGTCTGCGTTTGTCGTGCTCCAGATCGAGTATTTACAGTCACAAGACTTTAGTCAGCCCATGCTTGCAGCAAAAGATAAGGTAGCTCAAGAATCTCGGCGTTTGAAGCAATTAGCAAAACAGGAAGGTGATCTATTGCAAAGAGAGGCGTTACTTCGCAAAAGAAAAGAAAGAGCTAGAGGGAAAGCGCAAAACTTTATTGCAAAAGGTGGAAAAACTTGAGAAGGAGCTTCGTGAGATTGGCAGCAACAAGGCAAAATACGAGGAGAGGAGGATTAAAATCCAAAGAAGAATAATGTCAGAGGAGACGGTGCTCGAGCGTTTGAAAGACCACAAGACTGAAATTTTTAAGCGCGCGTCGTTAGACCAGATCAAATTGCCTACTGTTACTCGAAAATCTACCCACAGCTCCGAGGATGTTGAAATGGAAGATGCGAATGGGTCGACCCGTCTTGAAAACTCCGAGCTCCTGCTGGGTGGTAATGCTGCAAGCCAGGAAGTGGACTTTTCAGCGCTTCCAGACGCTCGTGTCGTCGTTGACGATAAGGAATTTGACGAGATCAATTCCGACTATGAAAAACGGATTAGCGTGCTGCTGACTGAGCTGGAGCGGATGCAGCCAAATATGCGCGCACTCGACAAGTTTGACGTGATCCAAAACCGAATTGGTAAAGAAGAAGAGGAATTGGACCGAGTTAAGCAGCAGTCCTTACGAACGGCATCGCAGTTTGAAAAGGTCAAGCTCACTCGGTATGAGCGCTTTATGGATGCATTCACCCACATTTCTGGCGTGATCGATTCAACGTACAAGCAGCTGACGAAAAGTTCGAAGCACCCACTAGGAGGCACCGCATATTTGAACTTGGAGAACACGGAAGAGCCATACTTAAACGGGATGAAGTACAACGCAATGCCACCGATGAAGCGTTTTCGTGAGATGGAACAATTGTCTGGGGGCGAAAAGACCGTGGCAACACTTGCGCTTCTCTTTGCGATCCACAATTATCGTCCCACGCCTTTTTTCGTGCTTGACGAAGTGGATGCTGCTTTGGACAACGTGAATGTGAACAAAGTATCAACATACATTGCAAACTGCGATTTTCAATGTGTTGTTATCTCGCTAAAAGACTCGTTTTACGAAAAGGCTGACGCTCTGGTTGGAATCTGCAAGGATATTACTTTGCAGCAATCGAAATCCATGACATTGGATCTCACTCAATTCGATTAAATGGCTGCATTATGACTCTCTTTTGGCATTGTTGATGCAAAAATGAAGAGGATTGGTCGTATTCAAGTTGAAAAATGATAAAACCCAGCTTTGAGTAACAAAGGGTCAGATTTTATCCAATTGCATTCTTTTTTCTTTGATTAGGCCCTCACGTGAATTCCAAGTCAAGATGCTGTCGACGGTGCCCGTGGACAACGCCATCCGCACGCTGAGAGTGGAAATGTCGAAGGATGAAGAAGTTTCGTTTATCGGCAAGTATGTAGCATGAACTGTTTGCCAATTATCGTGAATCGTGATGGTTTTCTTAATATCATGTGCTGTATTCTTCCCTTACAGAACGGAAGCGGAGATGGAAATTCTGGCGCAATACGCTGTAAAAGGCCGACATCGTGCTTTGATGGGGGGCCATTGCTGGATCTACGGTCATGGGAGGATTATGGAAAATTTTTAAAAATCAAAAGAGACTAGCAGGGGCATTTGCAATGATGTGTGGGTGGTAAACTTATCCGATGTAACATTGTATGAATTATTCTGAACCTGACATTATTTTCTAAATGACATCGAACTGTAGCTGGAGGTCTTTTTGGAGCTTCGTATGGTATCATTAGTATACGTCGAGATTTGTTCTTGGACCTCTTGATGTTGCCATCGGACAAATCACCTTTTGCTGCTCGTGCAAGAACCATGTAAGCTTTTATTTTTTGATAGATATGGTCCCAAAACGATCATACAAGGATGTTAATGATGTCTCTAACCACGTTATATGCCTTTTGTACTTCGTGCTATAGTTTGATGGATAAGATACCGGACAATCCATTTGTGCAAGAGTTGAATGAGAAGTTTAACAGGTCAACGGCTGCTACGTATGTTGCCCACTTGATAATCTGGCTGTAGCTGTTACAATTGTTGCTAGTTTATCCTCTAATTCTTTTATGGACATTATTTGTAGTGACTCGTGGAATGACGACACTAGTGCATCTGAAAGCTTTGGTTCGAAGCCGTCTATGCGTCTACCCACGACGCCTCACCGTTTTGACAATGGAATTTCAAGCAGCACTCCACCAATCATTGGTCTGGATACACCACGTAGCAAGAAAGATTCTGACGATGTAGCATTTGGAGAGCCAAACGACAACGGAAGGCACTCACCCTTTATCTTTGGTCCAAAGCCTTTGACGGACGATGCTTCCGACTTTAAAGACCGCAATACGCCACTGCCTCGTGACCCGTTTGAGCATTATACGCGGGATTCTGGCCGCTCTAAACCCGACGAGGATTCTCCACCACTGCGTCATGATGAAGACGAATATTTTTTTGAAGAAGCCGGTGATTCGAACAGTGCCGTCAAACCTACCACTTGGGAAGAGATTCGACGTCGTGCTGCAGAGCGTCACAAGTAATGTTCCTCTTGCTGCTTATTTAGCAATTGCGTCGTGAACGAAACAATAAACGGACACTTGCTTGTTTGTGCGTCAGTAGAGTGATACCGCAACGGATGCTAACAAATTGTCGACTATTCCGCTTTTATCTATTGTATGAAGTCGAGGCAACAGAAAAGCTTGACGCTTGGTCGACTTCAAAGAAGCAACAGCAACGCAACAACTAGTTTGACCCTCATCTGAGACCATTACAGTAAATGATTGAAGTAGAGAATACTGCAAGTCCCACATGACGCGATTTTTCTCGACTCGTCTCGTCATCTGATCTCAATCTCTCTCCACCTCACGATCCTTTTCTCAAGGCTTTGGTTCATGCTGGAGTTGGACGTCATCGTGTGTTCGACGTCAGGCAAGCCTGTCTTCCGCCACAAAGTGTCCACCTCGACGACAACCTGTTCATCTGAAGAAGATGACGCTTCCACTAGTTCGTTCACCAGTTCGCTTCAAGGTCTCCTGTCCTTTGTAGTGTGCACGCAACACGAAGAGCTACTGGAGCTTCACGCTGCTGGCTGTCGCTGCGTGTTCCGAAGCGTTGACAACCTCACGTTTGCTGCTATTGAGCAGGATGTTCAGGAAGACAGTAGTGTCCACAACAGGAGGACACCAACCTTTGCGTCAGAATGTCTGCAGCATCTACTGCGCTTGCTACAGAGTCAGATCCTCTTAGTGCTGAGCGACCGAGGACTCGATGTGCTACAGAGACAACCAGGTTACGACTTGCGTGAGCTTCTCAATGGAACAGACAGAGTCACAAGGTCGCTGACAGAGCTCTGGGCGGTGGCACCCACGCTGAGGTTTAAGGACTACGGCGTGCCTTTTGTTCGGCTGAAACCGGAGACACGACGAGAAGTCACAAGAGCTTTGGAAGTTGAAGCGGCCACGGAGGATTCAACGTCGACAATGATCTGCGGACTATTGCTTGCAAAGGAGCAGGTGGTGGCTACTGTACAGCCGAATAAAAAGCAGTTCAGCATGCTGGTCGATGGTAAGGAGATGGCTACTGGTGAGAAGCGAGTGCCTTACTGATACGAGGTCGTGTCTTGTGTTAGACCTGGTGCTACTGATCAACTTTGTGTATCACACGCCGTCACTAGCTCAGTCCGAGACGTGGACGCCAATCTGCTTATCAAACTTTAATGCCCGGTGAGTAAGCGATCGATTCGACAAGCGTTGGACATTTTTCGTACGTGTGCTGACACTGGATTGGGATCATTGTATATTTGCTGTGACTAGAGGATTTCTGTACGCGTATGTGGTCTTTTTGACTACTGACGTGTGTTTGCTGCTGCTGAGTAGCCAGCAATCTCCGGAACAATTCCCATACTTTCAAGCAAAGAAGGAGTTTGTACGGCAGCGTCTGGAGGACATCGGTGCTATGGATGATATTAAGGCTTCAGTCAAGAACCATTCCGAATGGCAACCCCATCGCGATCTACCGCTGCTGCAACACTTTATCTACAAAAATGAGCTCACGGGTGAATGCGCTGAGCCTAAGTTGACATTTCCATTTGATAATGAGGATTTTGGCACTCGTTTAGAGCTGCTGAATCAGTACGCCAAGGTACACCACTTGATGTTCCCGGCACCGACAGATCATCAAGCTCGTGAAAGCCAAGTATTGGGCAAACGGTTAGCATCATTACAAGAAGCTACTGCGGCACGTATGGTGTATGAGCGCAGTGACACGGGTCTCATTGTAGGCATGTGCAGTGCTGACTATCGATTGTTGGTGTGGTTCGATTCTCTCGTGACCATTTGTGATGCTCGGGAACAAATACAAGTGCTGCTTGATCGACTTTGCCACGACGAAAAGCTCATGTCTGTCGCTCTCTTCCTTTCCAGCAGCGGGTTTACCTCCGTCAGCTCGTTTGGGATGTGGCCGTGACCTGCTGAAAGCAAGCAATGCAAATTCAAGGCGTTTTTTGCTCGGGCTTTACATCTTGGTGTTTTGTAAGCACGTTTCCTGTTCACACGCCATCGTAGGTTGTTTGAAACGTCTATGAAGTGCTGTGGAAATGGATAAGAATCCACGTTATTGTTTTTTTCATATTCAAGTATTACTTGTCAAGCTTGGTATTCATTCGTGGCTAGATGAATGCTTGCAGACTATCGTTAACCATTTATCATCGTGTTTTCCATGCTGTCTGCTGTCACGTCACAGTCGTTCTCCATTTCATCACCATGACTTCATGAGACGATGTCGTGCCACACCCTGCATTGCGTGCATAGTGTATAGCTGCTTCAAACGTTTATACTACAAGCATGGGTGAAATCAATACACAAAGCCACTTCTAGGGATGACACATGGAAAAGAAACTACACACTGCAAGGTTTTAAGCTGAATGCTGAGGTATTGGTCGGTGTTGAAAGCTGCAGCACTCGGGACGGTATGTAGCATTATGGAACACCCGTCAGTGGTCAGGATTTCACGTCTGTTAGGCTATCGGCCTCGTGCGCGTGTATTGCTACATGCTTGCTCGAACACCAAATGGCTTGTTTGACGTCTGACTAGTGACAAGAGCGAGTCGTATGCAACTCACGATGATCAAGGATGTCTTAGAACTTCTGGATGACAATTCCTGTACGCGCTTCAAGTGAGAAAAATATGCGCGATGGGTGTTTTAACTTCTTTCGTTTACACTTTACACCATGTGGTTCTCCTGCAGTGCAACTTGACCAGGTCAAGTTGCACATGGCGTGCGTCCAGTTCGCACGTCTCCATATGCTGGTCCCACATGTCGAGCGTCTCTCCCGGTCCCATCCACCTTGACGTCTTGGTCGCCTACCTAGCGTTCTTCTCTCTTCGTCCCATTACATATGTAAGCAATCAGCTGAAGTCGAAACATACCCAGAACAAGTCTTACAGTTGACACTTGAACGCCTGACAACCGTAAGAAATATAAACTTCTAGCACTCCTCCTCGACGTCATCCTAAATGACCTTCAACTTAAAAAGCTCTCGCAACATCGTAATCATTGGTGCCGGTATTGCCTTAGCTAACAGATCCGCAATCATGTCATCCGACTTGACAAAACGTGGCTGCACAATTTGAGCTTGAGCGTAAAGGCAGATGAACATAAACCAAATGTTGACGTGCTTCGCGCTTGACGAACTCTTCTCACCCTCCAACAAGTTGTTCGCCACTTGATTTTCCATTCGCATTGGCATAGGTTCAACCACTATCATGTTTGGCTCACTAAACAACTCTTCAAACCCCAAAAGCTCTCGACCTGCATGCGACGCAGCGATAAACTCTGCTTCATAGTACTCAAGAAAACACCGTTCTGCTTTTTGCAGATCCAGGACACTATAGCACCGTCCATTGAAAGATGGAGTGATGCAGACTTTGCTTCGGACAAGGCCGACAGGAAGTCAGTATCTGGATCGGTGCTGACTATCTTAATGTCGTCCTTCGGACCACGTTGAGCTAACTTCAACGTCTTCGTATCTTTTAAGCACCTCTGCCATATTCCGGTCTTTCATTGTCATCTTGTGCGCTTGCCGAGTTGCCCGATGCACCGCAGAGCAGATATTCGGGCGAGTGCAACGTTTGATCCACAAGAGACTTTCAACGATGGATTGAAAGGCCTCCATACGCGCTGGTCCCATCTTGGCTATCGGCATCAAAAATCAAAATCTCATTATCCACCTCGTTGCACTCGTCGCCGGTAGGGATTCAAACTCCAGTCGCTGACCCCCAACCATGCTCCTTTAACAGCAAATCACTTGTCACTTTTTGATCCAGCACGTAACAAACATCATACTTAAAAGTAATGCTTAGTCCAGGAAATTTGTTTACAACGCCCAAATCCTTGATATCGAGGGACGCCATGTCGTTGAAAAACTCGTTTACGGAATTGTTTTAAATTCCAGTGACCAACAAATCATCGACATACACACCAACAACCGTGACGCTTCCGTCAATCTGCTTGACGTACAGGTACATGTCTGTCGTGCACTGCCTGAATTTTAAATTAACCAACTTTGAAGGTAGCAACGTGCTCCACAGTCTTCTAGCTTGCTTCAGTCCGTACAAAGACTTCTTCAACAATCAACAACATTGTGTCGATCCGTAACATTTTTTTTTCTTTCACAAGTCTTGGCTGACTTTCATTCCACTTGTTTTATGCATGTCAATGTCGAATTTTTTTTTTTTTTTTTTTTTTTTTTTTTTTTTTTTTTATAATTTTAAAGTTTTTTTTTTTTTTTTTTTTTTTAAAAAAAAAAAAAAAAATTTTTTTTTTCTTTTAATTTTTAAAAAAAAAAAAAAAAAAAATTTTTTTTTTTTTTTTTTTTTTTTTTTTTTTTACAAACAAACCTTTTTTTTTTTTTTCCCCCCCTTTTTTTTCATCTTTTTTTTTTTTTTTTAAAAATTTTTTTTTTTTAAAAAATTAAAATTTTTGAGGTTAAAACAACAACCAAAAAATTTTTTTTCCAAAACCCCCCACCCCCCCCTTAAAACCCCCGCCAAATTTTTCCTTTGTGAAGTTCCTCACAGCCTTACACATCCTGCTAGGTGCGATCTAGCAGTCCTTTTCATAAGTAGACTTAGCTAAGTACATATATATTTTTTTACATTAATAAGGCATACGCTGTACCCAATACGGCGTGTCGTGTTCCGATTTGCTGATAAGTGGAAATCAGGCCTATTATTAGCTAATAGAATGTGACCTCTATACTCAAAGTTTACAGACCACTCGTACTTAGGATAAAAATTTGTAATATAAAAACACAGTTAAATTCGATATTATCTAAACACGCGTTTGATTAACGCGTGCTCCTTAACGTTTCCTCGTAAGTCCTTTAGTGAAAGGTATGTAACGGGTCCTTACCCCATTACACCTGATAGCACTTAGTAGACCTTCTAACCAAGATGAGCGCTCTGCTTATCCAGGGCGCTGAGGGAGGGATGCTGCATCATAATGACTTCTAGCATCTGACCTATGACAAGCGGGAAGCTCTGCGTCGCCTAGCGGACGTGGCGGTATAAATACCGCGGTCTCCATGCTCAAGGACAAGCCTGAGTGGCTACAGCGTGTATCCTATCCAAGACTTCGTTGATCGTGAACTCGCTGATTTTCGTCGGCGAGCTTAAACTTCCACGGTTGCCACAGTGCTCGACGTCGTCAAACTCGACGTCGTCAAACTCGCCGTCTAGTGTTATAATGGCGAGGGCCCGAAGTGCCTCGCGCTTAATCGATGGCTTTGTGAAGTGGGCATCGCTATTTAAGCTCGTCATCTCAAATCAAAGTTCACACGCACCCACTTTCCTCTGTCCGAGTTGACAGGCAAGGCGAAGGATTGGGCGCTGGGCAAGCTTGTGGCCAATCCGGGATGTTTCTAAGATTTGAAGGCCCTTAAGGACGACTCGACCCTAGCGTTTGATCCTGCGCAGGATGAGTACCATCACCGCTTGGCTTTCTTGGCGCTGAAGCAGGGTTGGCTGTCGATGCTGGATTATATCCACAACAAGAAACATGGCGTCCTGCATCGTCACCACTCCAATCGATAAGGTAACTCAGTCCACTTGTTAGCCACGGGAATGAGCGCTGAACATCAGCATTTTTATCTGACGCGGAAGTTTCCTACGTCACTTGAAGAGACGTTTGCGATCACGTTGCGAGAAGACTTCAGTGTCGTGGCTTCGCGTATGTAATATTATTTTCCCTCTTTCGCTACTCAAGAGCCTGATCGCATGGAGTTTGACACAATTGAGCACGCCAACCTACTCTCGGCGTGCTCCTAGCTCCGGATTTCGAAATCTGTAGCACCGAAATGGCTGGTTTGCTTTCGCGGTCGTCAGCGTGGTCACCATACGGCTGTATGCCGTGCGCCGGATCCTGTACTCGCTGCGTCTGACCTCTCTGTCAACGCCGCTGATTAGCCAAAATCGACGACAGCCAGTAGGCGCGAAGCGTCGCACTAAGTGGGATCGAAGACACGTGCCAGCAAAGCGACACGTTCTACTAGCCCCGCTGTGCACTATGCACAGCTGGATGCTACCACTTCCAGCATGGATCCGCAATTAATCATGCTTAGTGTTCACGTTGACGGTGCGTCACGTCCACTCCGCGCATGGATGGACTCAGGCGCGACGAACAATTTTGTCCGCGCCGACAGTTAACCCGTTCTCCCGTCGGTTGCGTGTCCACGAGTCTTCAGGGAATATGATCGTCAAGCATGCGGACGGCAATCCCCGCACGCACCGACATCGTTCGATGGTGCTTCCTTACTGGTTCAAGCTCTCTAGAGCAGTGAAGAGGTCCAAGTTATCAACTTAAGCAGTTCATTCGACTGCATTTTCGGGATGTCGTGGCTTGCACGGTATAGACCTGACATTGACTGAATGAACTGCACGGTTCAACCACGTAACATTGATGTCAATGCTGTTCTTGCCGTTTTTAACCAATCGACGAGTACTTAGTAGCATGTTGCTGTCTTGGACCCCGCCTCCACGACTAATCATGCCCTCGAAGTGTGCGATAGCCCTTCAAGTGTGGTTTGTAGCTCAGCAATCTGCTCCCTTTCAGGCAAAAAGTGGTACCTGAGTCAATAAATTAGCCCGAAGCAGTAGCATCGGGTGTCCCATGGTCGAGCAGCGGCTCCCATGTGTGTGAGTTCTTCCAAAACCGCACGAAGGTGGAGGCCTTCGTGCATCACGAGCGAGCAGTGGCTATTGATGCGTCACGAGCAAGCAGTACCTCCCGGGTTAGTCCCTATGGAGGACACCACGTCGGAGCAGCGGCTTCTGACGACTTACGCGTAGGCTGTGGCTTCCGTACGACCGATTCTGCAACTGGTTCGTGTTCTTGTGTAACGTCGTCGCCGTGGGCGGTGTGATCGTGTTCGTCCTCCTTTTCGACACCATCTTTTCCTCCGGCGTCTCCATTCAAGACCATCAATGTCGTTAACATGGCTGGTGCTGGTCTGCTCAGCCATGTGCTACAAGTCGCGAGTCCACCTCGCGATGCGTCTGGCATTACGCAGCTTTTTTAACTCTCTTAAGATGAGTTGCTGCATGGGTTGAAGAGGGGAGAGATCGAACAACTCTGTTTAGTCGTTCAAAAATCCGAGATTAACAACCACGAGATGAAACCTAAGTCCGCACGCAAAGAACGCTTCGCGGCACAATCCTGGGAAGAACTTGTTGCGTCAACAAATACTGTTCTCACGCTTGCGCGCGAGTTTACCGATGTCTTCCCTGACATAATCCCTGCGGTCCATCCTGCGGATAGAGAAGTGCGGCACGAGATCGATCTTGTGACCGGATCGAAGTACTGCGTTCCTCGACAGTGGCCGCTATCTAGTGACCAAGTCGAAGCTATTGACGCGTTGTTTGAAAGGCGTCGCGCCGCAGGTCAAGTACGTGATAGCACGTCTCCCCATTCTAGTCCCACCTTATGTGGCAAGAAGGCGACGGGAAAATGGCACTTTGTTCATGCAATTATCAAACTGAACGATGAGACTATTCTAGTGGAGACGTAAATCTTTCGAAGAGTATGATTTGAATGCCATGTCAAGAAGCTTAATGCTCACGTCTTTGGATTTGACAGACGACATTACCAGATTTTAATGCGGTTTCAAGATTTTCCACTCACCGTCACCAGCACGCCTAGTGGCATGCTTTGGGAGTGACTTGTCATGCCGCAGGGGCTCAAGAACTAGCCTTCTACTTTCAAACGCATGGTTTTCCGTGCTTCGATCATTTTGCGACTTTGCGCCGAGCTATTTTGATGACATCTTCGTGCACAGATAGATATTTTAATTTCGAGTTTAGTTTAATTATGCGCATGCGATGGCACGACTGAATTGGAGTGCATCTTGGTCACCTTCGCAAAGTTTTCGAGGCGATGCGTGAAAACAAACTGTATGCAAACCTTAAGAAATGCTTCTTTTGTGCTCCAGAGATCCCAGTGTTAGGCAGTAACGTAAGCGCGAAGGTTGTTTGCACTGATCCCGAGAAGATATTATCCATTTGCTCATGGACGGTTCCGAAGAACCAGAGGCAACTTCGGGTCTGCCAACTACCTGCAGCACTACGCTAAAGACTTTGCGGCAGTGACTCATCCATTATCACAGCTACTGAAGAAGAGCGCCACGTGGGTGTGGCGTTAAGAGCATCAGGATGCATTCGAACAAGATTAAAAAGAGTCTCTAGACAACGCCTGGGCTAGCGCTGCCGAATCATGACGCTCCATTCCATGTTGTCTGTGACGCGAGTGATTTCGCTATAGGCTGTGCGCTGTTGCAACATGATGATGCGGGGAAGGAATCGGGGTCAGCTACCAATCTCGGCAGCTAAAGCATGCCGAGCAAAGCTGCCCCGTTCATGACAAGGAGATGCTTGCAATGCGCTATTTGCGCTCGTGAAGCTTTGCGTTTATTTGCTTGGAGAGTAGAAATTTGCCATCTACACAGATCAAGCGTCTCTGCGTACCGCCACGAAAGCTCACATCTTATCCAGCGCATGGCGCGCTGGTTGTCGTCCTTCACGAAGTACAACTTTGTCGTGCATTACAATCCTGGACTGGCCAACATCATTGCCGATGCCTTGTCGCGTCGTCCTGATTATGATCCTTGTGCTAATGCTTCAATTCTTGCCGTCCCAGAGTCGGACGATGATGACTGTGCGGCATGCGTTACACTTTGTATCAACGCTATGTCCGTGTCCGCGATCAAACCTCTCTGCGTTGACATCACGGAAGTGTGTTTCACGCGACAAGTTCTAGTAGCCAACTGTCCAATATGTGGTAACCCCTCGGATGATGCGCTACGGGCCCTCTCGACTTCCAATCGCGCCCACATCACGCGCTATGCTTTTGATGGAAAGCTGCTCACCTACCAAATCGATCGTTTCGATTCTCCACGTGTCTTTGTACCCCTTAGCGACGATCTTCGCGAACGGATTATTTATGAGTGTCATGACGATGCGTTGAGCGGTCTTTTAAGTCGCAAGAAGGCATATCTTGCGCTGTCTCGAGACTTATATTGGACCCATATGTACAAGTGGGTAAGTGGGCTTGCTCCTGTAAGTTGTGCCAAAGTGTAAAGCCAGCTCCGTCGTCAGAGGCGCCCCTTTGTCCGCTACCGATTGCCATGGAGATATGAAACTTCGTAAGCATGGACTTCGTGTTTGGTTTGCCCGCCGATACGCAAAGGCGCACTAGAGTTTTGGTTATCGTTGACCAGTTAACAAGATGGTGCATCTTTTGGCTGTTGTGGCGTCCATCGCTGCGAAGGAGGCATCGGCTCTCTTCATCGACATGGTCTTCAGTATCATGGCCTGTCACGATTGTTTCGGATCGGGATACGCGCTTCACCGCCGTATTTTAGTCTCGGCTGGTCGAGATATCGGCACCCGCCTGATGATTTCTACCGCTGCTCAACCTGAGACGGATGGTCAGACTGAGCGGCTCAATCGCGGCTTGGAGAATGTGTTGGCAACTACGCTACTAAATTTGCGTCCTGAAGTCTTCTCTTCCCATGGCCTATTTTGCAATCAATAGCGCAGTCCATGATTCGACAGAGCTAACACCCGTTCTTCGTGAACAACGCGCGCCATCCACGTGTTCTTGTTCTTCTAGGATTGATCGGGTGCTTTCACTCTTGTTGAGGCAGGGAAACGAGATGACTTGGTGTCGGCGGCGTCTTCACAAGTAGTTCTCGACGACGCACTTAACATTTTCCTCTATGACCGAGGCGATCTCAAATCCCCTCTCATCGATATCGTTGATACTAACGCCCGTGGTAGCCGTATCAGACAAGTGCCGCCTTGTCAAGGCGACATTAACCGCATTTTTTGAATTCGACGCTCGAAAGGCCCCATGAAACGCCAAATCTTGGATTTTCACGCTCGTTACGGAAAGCGCAAACAGCGTGACAACAATAAGAATCTTTTCGCGGGAAGACAGCTTGGCTGGAGCGGGCATGCAGACATCGTTGGGCTTAATACAAAAAGCTTGAAGGTAAAATGGAAAATGAAGATTGAATTAACATTATGGCATGGTACTGGTTGTATCCAATGGACAAACCTCGTCTGTTCATTGGGTGCAAGCACATCTCAAGTCAGGAATTTTCTAGGCAGTTTAATCTTACTAGCACTGTATTAGACGTCATTATTATCAAAGCCAGCGTGCATCAGATGAGATTTTTAGACAACAAACACCTGTTTTCTAGATCAGATGCATATTTTAGCAAATCATTTAGCCCAAAATTTGCTCGATCTAAAGCACAAATTGATCGACAACTATTCTATAGCGATGCTCTGACAATGCCCTGTGCCTAATGGCTACCTACCTATAAATACTACTTGATTGGTTTAGTTTGATTCTGCGTTCTTTTCCAGACGAGACCTTCTTCCGTTGGACAATGTTCCTATGTTGCCTATTTTAGCAGAAGGATAACCTTGCACCAATTGAGATAGAAGATATGATGCTGTGTCTGGATTGGGGTAACGCCCTCCCGGAAGGCTTGGGCTAGCTCAGGCTTCGCGACATCCGTCAGTTTGGACGGGTTTTGTCTTCCTTTACACACCTCTCTCTTGTCGCTCTCCCCCCAGCTAGCCAAGCCGCCACGATGTACGCCGCCACGCGTGTACCTTCCTCGCCAATGTACGCAGGATCGTGCAGTCTGGATGGCCTTCAGCGCGCCGCTTAATGGACCCTGGCGAGAGCAGAGAGAATTGTAGAGAAGGAGAGATAAACTGACGCATGCAGAAGTTGAGCCACTTCGGTGGCAAGACGGCTCGCATAAAGCGTTCACATACACATACATACATACATATGGTAACATTGTAGCGCATATTCCGAGTCGGCTGCCTCGACGTCATAGTTCGATTTGCTCAGTAGCTTTATTGCTGCACATATCGCCACGATGCTAATCACGATGATGTAATCAGTGTCTTTTCAAACAGTGCGTGCAGTGTAAACAAGATAAGGAGACTGGTAGTTACGTTCAAGTGATGCCGATGCTCCGGTGAGATGATTAGCGTACATCTCAAGAACAAGATACAGATACACGTAATGTACTAGCGCTAGTTGGGTTGACTGTTGTCACTGTGAATGCAATCTGCTGTCCATTCTTATAAACGACGCGCATCATAACAATCTCACCAGCGAGTTGCTACAAGTGAAGGAGTCGGCAAAACATCTCAAGGCACAAGTAAGGCAGCCGACACATTGCTACGGGCAATTAAAGTGGATGCACGTGCTCATACACTTCACATTGCAAGATTCCAAGTAAACATTTACGATCAGCTTTCATCAGCATGCTCGTCGTCATCAATCACGTCCCGTAGCTCGTTCCCTTGTTCTTTACGACCCCCTCCTCCGTCAGCCGCTTAGTGATCTGCTTCTCGACGTAAGCAAAGAGTTCTGGCACGTGATCGGGAAGCTGGCATGATACAAAGCATTGTCGTCCAGTACATCGCGCCAGTCGTTGCGCAATCTGCTGCTCCTCCATCTCCGGCAGTCCTACGATGGAAGTGATGAGTGGCATAGGGCTGAAGCGAGTAGCAATCGCTGTTGATAAGGATCCAAGGCGTGGCTTATCAGCTGCTGATCCTATCCATACGAAGACGCAGTTTCTCAATATCCACATTTGTACTACGTAGCTCTGGTCCAGTAGCGTCCCGGTCAAGTCAATGATACGCAGACCCTCGTTGTCATCGGGCTGGAGTTCCATCATCTATTTCTAAGCTTACTGGACAGGTTTTTACCGGCTATACCGGTAGACTCAAGGTACCACTATTGTATGATAGGCAAAGTAAAGCTTTTATGATTGGTCAAATTTTTCATCCAGTAGAAATACCTTACTATTCAAACATGTCGGCAAACGCAAGTCTAGAGGAGCTCGAGACGCGGCTCGTGGCTTTTACCGAGCAGCTTCAAAACATTCATGAGCTGCTTCAAAGTGATCCGGTCAACACTGAATTTTTGGGCATTGCCAAGGACCTCGTAGAGGTTATCCAGCTTACGAAAGAGACGGTAAAATCGATTACGTATTGCAAACCATTCCCTATTTATTTTATTTTCTTACTTTGCTGTTATATTACTATAGATTGATTTTAAAGTGAATGCTACATCTTTCAACCACGTTTCAGCACCACAGGAGACCCTGAAACGTTGTCAAGAGCCACAAGCACTTGGTATATAGCTTTGAAGCTGTTGCAAATTGAAAATGAATTGCTGACTAACTACGCCTTTTTGTAGGTGACTTAGAGATCAAGTTTGCACCTGGATCATCAGTTGAAGCACTGCAGCAAGGCGTTTGGTATCCAGCTCATGTGGATTCAGTAACAGATGACGGAAGTTACAATGTCACGTTCCTGGGCTTTGGCACAATAGCGGAGCTCCAACAGGATGCTGTGAGAGCTATTGACGTCGATGCAGAGCAAGCTGCAGAGTTGCCAGCTAAGGAAAAGATTACAGAGGGGTTTGAGTGCCGAGCCAAGTACTATGCCGATGCGGTGGTGTACTCGTGCTTGGTTACGAAGGTCACGGCGCTGGGGTTTCAGGTGTTGTTTGACGGCTATGGCAACTCGGAGGAGGTACCTTACGAGTATTTGAGTGCTGCGTTAAAGTCATCAGATGCGGAGGTAGGGACTGCTATTGGTCAGGTGAACTCTGCTGACGCAGTCGATGGTGATGGTACGCATGTTGCTGTTGCTGCTACAGAGCAGAAGGTGGCACCTGCGGTGATTCACAAACCCATTAAAATCCCTGAAAATCTGCAAATTTTGCCCTCAGACACAGAGGCTGAAAAGGAACGCAAGCGTAAACGCTTGCGCGCTATCAAGAGTTTGAACCGACACAAAAATATTGACAATGAGCGCAATATTAAGCAGCACGACTGGAAGGCTTTTCAATACAAGGCCAAGAAAAAAGGTATCAAGAAAGGTGTGAGCGGAGTGTTATCGAAACGAGGCTCGAGCATGTTTGCATCGCCTGAAACGGTCCATGGCCGCGTAGGTGTCGTAGGAAGCGACCAGGGTATGACGAACTTCTCAGATACACGGAACAAGAAGCTTAGACACGCGTAGAGCCAAGGTAGGCAAAAGGGCTTGTTATTTCGGGCTCTATCGGTGCTGTTTTCGTAGTCTATCGCAGTAGACGCAATTTGTAGAAACCCTTTATCAGTTTTTTGCTGTTCGTCTCGTTCTGCAGAAAATAATCGAGTTAGACGGCATGCACGGCGCGTGAAATAAGCAGGTATTGCGAGCTGCTTCTCATCTTCTTGTGCTAGTCATGGAGACACTGGAACTGGTAAGTGATCCATCGTGTTGTGCAAAGTGAGCATTAAAAGCTTGCTACCTGCCTCTGCAAAATGCTGGCTGGTCCGCATACAAGTCACCAATTCGCAGATGGAAAGCCAGCTCTGATCTTATCACTGCTATCAGAATACCTACCATCCTTGGCAGAGTTGTTGGTTTGCACAGACTAGAAACACCTGGTCGACCAAAGGTGTAACAATGCTATCACTCTGTGCCTCTATGCGGACATTCCTGTTATATGGCGTAGATTGTACTACAGTGTAGTTTCCACACAAAAACTAGTGCGTTGCTTTAGCAGCGACGTTGTAGATGCCAAACACAAGCAAATATCATCCTCATCAGCAATGAGTACACCTGATTTCTGAAGGCTGATGAAAGGCAGTCAGTCGATCCTAGCGGTTGGAAAAGAGCACCTACAGGGAAGCTGATCTACGCGCCAGAGGGTCTTGTTAATGTTTGGATAGTCCCGTCGTTGGAACTTGGATTGATCTTTTCAACGAATCAAATTCATGTTGCCTGCAATGGGTACAGTGTACCATTCCGCACTGCAATGTGTCAACAGGTGACGACGTATTCTCCCGTCTTCAATCTTGACGAAATTTGTATACATTTCACCCCATCCGTTCGTATGAAGAAGCTCGTGATTAAGCCATATCGGCAGACTATTGGCATGGATCAAGCACGTGCTCAAGAGATATGGACACTATTACGTACTGCTATCTATGAGATCTTTTCACACAATGCAAGTCTGCTTTCATTTGAAGAACTCTATCGTAATTCCTACAACTTGGTCTTGCATAAACATGGTGATGTGCTATATAATGGTGTTGTAGGTGTAATTACAGAGCATTTACAGACTGTAGCACATCAAGTAGCATCTGTTTCGGATGAATTATTACTTGTCACACTCAATGAACAATGGATTGATTATCAGGTTGTGATGACCATGGTACGAGATATTCTCATGTACATGGATCGCACGTATGTAACACAGAAGCGTAAACTTCCAGTCTATGATCATGGTCTATATATCTTTCGTGACGTTATTGTACGTCACGATAGCGTGCGTGATCGATTGCGTACGCGTCTATTGCTGAGTATTGAACGAGAAAGACACGGCGAACTGATTGACCGAGACTTGATTAAAAGTATATTACGTATGCTCATTGACCTTGGTGTACATTCAAATACAGTGTATGAAAAAGATTTTGAAAAGCATTTTCTTGATACGACGTTGGATTTTTACCGAGCTGAAGCACAAACAATGCTCGATGTTGCAACGTGTTCCGAGTACTTGGAGAAAGCAGAGCAACGGTTGAATGAAGAAGGAGCACGGGTGTTGCATTACTTGAACCCATCAACTGAACACAAGTTAAAGACAATTGTAGAGACGCAATTAATCAAGAATCAGGCCAAAGCTCTAGTCGAGATGGAACACTCTGGATGTATTGTGCTATTTCGTGACGGAAAGACACAGGCGCTGCGTAGGATGTACTCGCTTTTCCGACGAGTACCAAGCACACTACCTAAAATGAGTGACTGCGTGTTGCACTATATTAAAACTACTGGAGAGGAGGTGGTCAAAACACAGTCGAATCCCGAGACTGCATTGGATGCGTCGCAGTTTATGGAAAAGCTTCTTGCAGTGCGCGAAAAGTTTGTCGGTTATTTGTCGGATTGTTTTTTTGACGACCCGCAATTTCACAAATCCATTAAACAGGGATTTGAGGCATTTATGAACACCAGCACAGTCTGTGCTGGATATCTTGCACACTATCTGGACGAGTTACTGCGCTCGAAAAACAAATTTGAAGAGGAGATGGATGCTCGTGTAACTCAAGTAATTGCATTGTTCCGGTATCTACAGGACAAAGATGTTTTTGAGGAGTTCTACAAGGTTTTGCTCGCCAAGCGTCTTCTGAATAGCCGTGGCACCTCGGACGAGGCTGAGAAGCTTGTAATTTCGAAGCTTAAGGCCGAGTGTGGCTACCAGTTTACGTCCAAATTGGAGGGTATGTTCAAGGATATGAGTATATCGAAAGACCTGATGGAGCTTTACCGGAAATCAGGCTACGACGCCCGAGGTAGCAGTTTCAGTATTGACATGTCTGTCACACCGATGCCGTTATCGGTGCACGTATTGACAAGTGGATTCTGGCCCACGGAGATGGCTCCTATGTGTGCTTTTCCATTGGAGCTTGTCCAGCTGACACAGAGATTTGAGTCTTTCTATTACGCACGACACAATGGCCGTAAATTGGCGTGGATGGCAAATATGGGTACCGTTGATGTTCGTGCATCGTTTTCGGCGGGAGCAGAAGACATTCATCGTCGCCACGAGCTGAACGTGTCTACTTACCAAGCTGTCATTTTGATGCTGTTCAACCAGCGCTTGGAGTGGCACTTTCGGGAGTTAGTTGAGCGCACGCGTATTGATGTGAAGAATCTAAAGCGGCACTTGATATCTCTCTGTACGCCAAAGTACAAGATTTTGATCAAGAGCTCAAAAGGAAAACGTATTGATGAGGAAACTGACGTGTTCACAGTGAATGCCGCTTACAAGTCAAAACTACATCGCGTACGGATACCGCTTGTATCACAAAAGGAGACGTCTTTGTTACCTGCTGTGGTGTCAAGTTTAAGCAATCCAGCCGACGTGCTGCCACCTACCGTCGCTGAGGACCGCAAGCATCTTGTCGAGGCAGCAATCGTGCGTATCATGAAGACGCGCAAACAGATGCAACACAACCAGCTGATTGCCGAAGTCACTCGCCAAATGTCAGGTCGTTTCACGCCATCTCCACAGCTCATTAAGCTGCGCATCGAGAGCCTCATTGAGCGTGAATATCTTCACCGCAGCACGACGGACCGACGAATGTACAACTATTTAGCGTAAGAACAGTGACATACCAGACAACGAGACGGAAACAAATGCCAGACGAAAGCCAAGGAATTAGCCGCCAATGGTAACAAAATAAATGACACTGATCAAGGAGTTCAAGATGGACGAGCGCCGGGAAGGCACAAGCTACTTGTTTGAAGCCAGAACCCATCACAAAGAAATTGATGAAACGTTGTTGGCCTGCTATTCTCTATCGTTCCATGACATCTCACTGCGCTTATTACCTGAGTTTAATGACTATCTCCTAGACTAACTTCTCATACGATATTGTGTAACACAGTCGAATCCCATCGTCTCGCCTTGTTTACGAATCACTGTTTATTCATCCCGCCCAGTCGTGCTGAGTTATGACCAAGACGGAGCTGCTTGAGCTCTCAAAGCTGCACTCTGTGGTCGTGCAGCGCCAATGGCGAACAAATGTGTGGCTCCTATTGATACTGGGCTATATCTACTACCTAGGACGTCTTGAAGCCCATGCAGCCACCAGTTTATTCGCTAATGAACCACAGAGCAAAAATGACAATGCAGTGGCGACAAGTGTAAGCAACTTGTACGTTGTCTTAGTAAGCATCCCCGTGCTTGATAAGATGTTGCCCCTCAAGCATCTGGCCGAAACGCTGCTGTCCCGTGGCGTACGCGTGGGTTTTGCACTTCCCGAAACCAATCGCCAATGGATCAGTGACCTGGAAGGTCTTGAGTTTATCTCCCTAGGCAATATTGTGGGTACAGGTCAAGCAACTGCACAAGACTTGAACGAACTACAGCGTCTTGGAGTGTATGCGAGTTATGCCAGTACGCTGCGTTACTATGCATCGTTCCAACGGCCGATGCTTGGCGTATTGTTGAAAATGCTGACAAATGATCGACCCAATCTTGTAATTGTCGATCGCTATACCTTTGCAGGCTTTGACGTCTGCCATCGACTGCAATTGCCCTACGTCGTAAATGATCCACACTTATTATTTGACATTGACTCGCCTCCTGCATATATCCCCGCACCGTTCTCGAACTTTACCATGCACGTACGAAGCACAAACTATTGATCTATAGTGAAGCAATAACGTACTAACGTTGACCATGAGATGACGTTTTCCAACAGACTACAAGCGTGCTAGAGCGGTGTTTGAATAGCTACTATCGACTGCGCTTCCGATTGGTATTAGTGAATATCTATAAGGAGATTAATGCCGTGCGGCAAGAACATGGGCTTAAAGCCATTGATAGCAAACATCAAATGCACGGTCACTCGCTTGTACTAGTGAACTCGATTTTTGGCTTGGATGAGGCGCGTCCTATGACGGCTCAATTCCGAATGGTAGGCCTCTTGCAGTCTCAGAAGCTACAGCTTGAACGCGCACAAGCTGGTAGTTTGACTAGACGTAGCAGATTTCCAGCGGTGCTAACGACGTGGTTGGAGGCTCCGGAGTATCAAGAAAAACCGTTGGTCTTTATCAGCTTTCAAACCGATGTGCCCTTGTGCCCAGAGTTTATTATGACAATCGTAGGTCTATTGGGAGGGTTTTTGTTGGATCATGAATTAGCTCGTACTACAGTTGCTGACTGATACTGTGCTGATGTCAAAATGCATGTAGATCAAAGCACTTGAGACCGTGGATGCTAGACTGCTGTGGAAGATCACACTAGAAAAGGAAGCAGCGTTCAATCTGCGCTCACGTCCACATGACTCGGTCTTTTTCCTTGATAAAGAATTGGACGACATAACAGTGCTCGCACTTGTATCCGAGATAGACTTGTTGATCACTGCAGGAGACTTTCAGAGTATACAAACGGCTCTTGTCGTTGGAGTACCCATCTTGGGTCTTCCTTACTCGGCCGAGCAAATGGAAGGCGTGAATGCAGTTGTGCGAGCGGGTGCTGGTTATCTTCTGGATGGAAAATCTTTTTCCAAAGATAGTCTGCGCCATGCTGTAGAAAAGATGCTGTTCGACGATCGAGAGCACTTTCAAACTAATGCGAAGTACCTTGGTGAGCTGGTGAAAACTGGCGGAGGAGTGGAACGCGCCGTGGATGAGGTGTTGGCCGTTGCCAAATTCGGGTCTCATCACCTATTGCCAAGGCGTAACTTGCAGCCGCTGTACAAAACGTACCTCGTGGACGTGTACCTTGTTTACGGAGCTATTCTTTGTGGTGCGGCCGTTATCCTGCGCACATTTGTGTCGGTCGTGTCGTCCATTTTCCAGCCTCTGAGCACGCTTAAGGTGCTTGAAAGTTTGCATCCAAAGACCAACTAAGTCAAGTTGATGGAGGTGGATCACAAAACGGTGTTATACTTCACAACTCCGCGTACTGGATCATACCGTGCACAGGTGCAGCAGAGGCTATCGATAATTGCAACAATCGTTCTTGCCGCAGGTTCCACGTACACATCGACAACAAAGTCAGACAAATGTTTTGTCTCGTGGCAAATGAGTCAACTGCTTTTCTCTTGACACGTGCTCCATATTTTGGAAGATAAGACCAACTTTTATCCTGTCGACTGCGTGTTCAGCCTAGTTGCAAGTGAAGCGTTGCATTGATCCCAGTGGTACTGAATTTCCAGCCGGCTTGGCCCTATGCTTCACGGTGTATTTTTGCTTGCCTTTCATAAGAGGCAGACATACATGAATACAACATCACGTATGCTGCTACATGTAATCATTTCAAGCACAGCTTGCCGAACGTTAGTATTTTCCAGCAAGGTCAGTCAGTGGCTTATGAACAGAAAATGTTTTTGCGCCGTGTACCCAACACAACGAAATAATTAGACAATGGATCGGTTTATCCTCAAATGTTTGACGTAGTCAGTAGTCACCTCTATACGCCCATTTCTGTCAGTCTCAGCTGATGCGCATCAGGTTTCGTGTCTATTCGTAACGACTTTACAGCCAGTCAGTCATCAAGAAACTGCCTTCAGCTATCAAACACCTAGCCCTATAGTATCAAAACAAAATGTATCGCAGAATACAAACGCAATCCATTTATTGCGTCCGTCGAGTAGAGACAATACAATATCGAGAATGCGGGTTAACATACAACCTCCAAGTCATTGATAGTAATAAAATGGGAGCTAGTCAGAAAAAAAGAGAAAAAGAGCGCCTGACTATGTACTTTCTGACCCTTGTCCAGCTATTAACACAATCGACAGGGCTCCATATGCTATGTATAAAACAGACGATCTCAAAACTGTGACTTTGATCAAGTACGATCTCCACTCCAATATATTGACAATACAATACTGTCTACCGATCGACATAGATTTATACGTACGTATGGATGGATGTATGTATATGCATGTATGTATATGACCACTTTTCCACTTGACTCGTTTGTAGACAAGAGGAAGGAAGCCCTTTTGGGGCTCTTTCAAAGGTTTAAAGGTATTAAGAATATCTTGTTATTGTATTGTTGTCAACAGGTGACGATGGACTTGGTTACAACTCCATACGAACAAGACGATGATAATAAGCATGACATACCCACGATCCAGACGCAATATATCAAATTTGAGACACCCATGAAGATTCATTCAAACAAATCACTTACACGACAAGACACGTTTAATAGTGATATCGAGTCCGGATCATTCGCGTCGGACGCTACACGACAGCGTCATTATGATGGACAACAGGATTGTCCAAATGTAATTACGACTGCTACTTCAGGATTGAGCAGCAGTGGTGAGATGATTCAAGTGACACATGAGCTCCAAGTTGGATCCGAAACTAGTAGTAAATTTGAAAATGCGGATGAAATTCAAGTTGATGCACAGGGACAGACACAAGAAATGACAAAGGATATGGAAGACAGTGACAGTAAAGCTGGAGCTACGGAATACACGATGCATATGAGTTCGATTGATGTGAGAGACTCGGAGCTGCCGAAATTGCCAGAGAGATATCTCAATGGCCAGTTTCAGAGCAATTCGTACTTTTCTAGAAAACTGCTTCGATTGTCCCAGCTTATTGTGCTCGGAGACCTCATTGCTCTTGGTTTTTTTTACTTCTACGAACCAAATGCGGATGATGTTGGACATGGCAGGTTGAATGTGGGCTCTCCATTCAAGGTTTTAGTCTATAGTGACGTCCACTGCTACTCCACTTCATTGGCATTGGCAGCCCTAGTGTATCATTTGTTCCCGGCGGTATTTATATTGGGACTACCAGCTTCAGGTCTTCGAGTTTTTGAACCTTTTAGGAGAGAACAGCGGATTGATCGAGGTGGAAGACTGCAAAAAGTCAAGCGGACAGTTTGTTTACAAATTTGTGAACTCGTGGGCGTTGGTATTTTCTTGTATGAGGCGCTGATTCTCGGCTTTCTCGTCTACTACGTTGCGAGCGGGAAAATTTTTGTTGACTGCGACTCCAATATCCCGGCTTATTTGTTCTGCGGTTGTGCAACGATCATGTTCTGGCTGCTCTTTGTGCTCATGCGCGCCTTTGCTCGATTCCGGGAGCATTTAAAAATGCAATTGGGTGCGTTCAAAGAAAGCGATCAGACAGGTGATGTTAAAGCGCACATGTTGCGTTCCAAGTTGAATTGCAGAAAGATTCAGAAGCAAAAGAACGGCAATAGAGCTGAGACAACGCCGCCGCCTGCTCGATCGACCATCGTTAACGACATCCGAAAGAGGCTCTTTCGGGGCGCCCAGCTTGGTGATCTTCGGCTTATTCGTCGCTCCATTCGTATCGCAAGATTACACCTGGGTGAAAGCTTTGCACGAGAACTATATCCTGAACCAGTCATGGTGTTTGGTATTTTTGGGCTTGCTAAGAAGAACCCCATGCACGTGGCAGCATACCAAGGTAATATCGCCGCCATGAACCTGCTGTACAAGGCACATTTCAAGATCAATGCTTTTGACAAAGTCTCGCGTGTGAGATTTAGTACGGGTGATCTGTTCTGGTACCTTGCGAGCTATTTTATTCCGAAACCCGTCGTTTCTGCTGGTGAGGCTTACAGCTCCGTGTTTAAGACAACGCTCGTTACACCACTGCATTGTGCTGTGAGTACAGGCCGTTTGGCCGCTGTACGCTGGCTCATTGCTCACGGAGCTGACGTCAACCTTTGTTCCAAGTCGTCATACCGTTGCGAAGGCCGTTTGCCGCCTATTTTCTTGGCTGACCACCCCGAGATTGTGCATGTGCTGCTAAGGGCTGGCGCAAATCATCTCGCAATCCCTGATCCTGGTCACATGAACACTATTACAGTCTTGCAACTCGCGTATTTGCGAGGTAACTATGCCGTTGCACAGGTATTAGAGGACTGGGGTGGCGATGTGGCACTAACACCGCTGCACGCTGCTGCTGCCATGGATGATGTAGCGACGATCCGAAGTTTTTTGCGTAAGAAGGTAAACCCAGACGTTTTAGGTGAGTTGGGATACGTCGGACTCAATAAGCGTACACCACTGCATTGGGCAGCGATAAATGGTGCAGTAGGTGCTGTCGAGATTCTGCTTGCTGCTAAGGCCAATGCTAATTTCCAGGATGCGCATGGACGAACAGCGCTACATTGGGCTGCTCGAGTGAATCGTATTGATATTGTGAGGGTGCTCTTGGCACATGGCGCAGACCCGACGATTGTGGACGATGGTGGCATGACGCCCATCATGTGTGCGGCTTGTGCTGGTGGGACTACTGCGGACATGTTTAAAGCATTGGTTGCGAAAGGTGGTGATATCAATCATCAGCTTCGTTTGACAGGTGATACGGCATTGCACTTAGCTGTAAAACTGGACGACCAACAGACAGCGTTGGCATTGATGAGTGTGGGAGGTGATATCATGTGCACGAACAACGACGGCTTCCGGCCTATAGATTGTACTACGTCCACGAAGCTACAGTTTGAGATCAAGCGAGCGGCAGGTACTCGTGATGTGATGATTAGTTATACACACTCGCACATGGAGTTTGCTCTGAAGCTCCGTAAGTCACTTGAGGATGCAAACATCACTGTGTGGCTTGATCTCATGGATCCTAGTGGAATCGGTGGTGGGTCAGTGTGGCGAGAGGAAATTGCACGTGGTATCACTAGTGCTGCGGTCGTGCTCTGTATCCTAACAGAGGACTACGCGCAGTCTGAGTGGTGTTTAAAGGAGCTGGCATTAGCCAAACAAGTGGGCACGCCCATTATGGCTATTTCCACAGAGCATGCAAAGATTTCAGAGGAGTTTCAAGTATATCTGTACACACGACAGCTTGTGCCGTTTGAAAGCGCCATTGTGAGTGTGGAGCAGGTTAATGAAAAGAAAGTTCGATACGAATACGATGAAAATGCATACAAGAGCCAGCTGCGTATGTTGCTGGACGGCATGCGTGACGAGATTGAAAAACGGAAGGAGGACAATATCAAGCGCAACATGCGTCGTGCGGAGACGAATCCAATGACAGGATCAAGTCATGGGAGCAGCGGCATACGTGGCCGCCGCCTTAACCATGGAGCATTTGGTATGAACCCTACCAACGCGTACGGCATGGATTCTATGAAGTTTGATGAGCGTACGCTGGCATTGTCTGCGTTTGAAACCCCACAATACTACGCCTATGACTCGGGTAGCTCATCAATGAACGAAAGTGTTGATGATCCGGTGAGGCCCTTGGTTATCGGCCATAGCCGGGGTGTACCAGGATCTGGTCGGTCAATTGGTTCCAACGGTGTGTTTTCAGTCAGCCAACGCGGCATGCGGCTCAACAACAACTACGATCTCAACGGCGCAAATCTGAGCATTTTGAGCGGTACTAGCAGCTCCAACAGCTTTGTCGACGATTGTGGGGTCTCTGATAGTATTATTCTCGATACGGGTGGGTACTATTTTCACCAAACAGCCAACAAAGACAAGCACAAGCGCAGTGGACGCAGCAATACCATCTCTGAACGAGACTCGAACGATGTTGATGAACCAAGTACCAACGACAGTATTGTGGAAAATCTGCAAGAGCTTAAAACCGCAACAGCTAGTGGCGAACAATTTGTGTTCATCAGTCATGGAGACTACCACCAGCGGTTTGTGCGCAAGCTGTGCGGTGAAATGTGCCGTGAGGGGGGCCTCAGGTGCTACGTAGATCGCAAGCACATGGTGAAGCTGTCAACGGCTATTGCAGAGGACAAGGAAGAGGAAGTTGAGAAGTCGGAACCGAAGCGCTTGATGTTGTCAAGTGACGAGGATATGTCGTTGCGCATCCACGAAGCAAAGGAAGCCATTCTCAAATGCTCGGCTTTTGTTGTTCTCATATCTGAGAAGACATTAGCAAGTGAAATAGTGAAGGATCAGCTTGCGTTTGCAGAGGACAAAGGAAAGATAATTCTACCTGTGGTAGTGAACCGCATGAACTTTGGTCTCGATATTAAGTACAGTCTCTCACGCAGCGAATTTTTCCACTTCTTTACAAAGGGTGACATGATGGGCTTTCGTCAATCGCTACAACACCTGCTGGACGCGTTGCGAGAAGAGGTATATGGCATAAGTATTCAAGGTCCAATTACCAGTTTTGCCTCTGCATGTCAACCTTCCAGCTTTAACTACGGTGGAAAACTTCCTAAGGTTAACTCTGGTGGTCAAGGTTTAAGCTATGGTAGTGGCGGGTATGGTAATGGAAGCGAAGCACAAGTTCGGGGAGGGTTTGCGGATTTAAAACTGAGTGACAGCCATTTGTCATCTAGTGAATCGTACGCTCCATCCTTGCATAGCCTTAGCACCGAAGCTAGCAATTGCAGGCGTCGTCCAACTTCCCAAAGTTTTTTTATTCGCGAGTTCACGAAGCGAAACATCCAACTTCGGGTTGCCTTCTACGCGACTCTCGCAGACTTTTGTGGAGTCAACCGGTGTGAATCGTAGTTGGACATCGGACATGAGTCTGACTCAATCCATGATCGGAAATTTCGCGACACTAGTGGGCCGTATTACGGATGATCTCGAGGATGACGCGTTGTCATACGCTGGAATTCAGGACGACGAGTTTGATTTGAACGAGGAGTTAGAAGTGGAAAAAAATGGTGAGGTGCATGTAGTGGAAGAAGAAGGTCCTTCTGTAACACGAACAATGCAATGGCACCCTGTATTGGGTGCTCTTTCAAGTGATGGCAGCTTCAACAAGCACCAACGAGGATCCAACTCGTCCATTAGCATTCTGGAACTCACTGAGCCAAGCGACAGTGTGAAGATCAGCTTTGATGCAATGCTAGGTGACAAGCAGCCCAAACGGTAACTAGATATCTGAAAGCAATTTTGAGGCCCAAGATGGTGCCAAGGACGTATACTGTTGCGTTACAGTGCTCTCTTTCTATCAACATGGCTCAAGACGACGTTGTCATGGACATCGTCGTCATGTTCGTGAGCTGGAGAATCAAATTGATCGCAAAGGGTACCAGCGCAGATCCAGTGCATGAATTTTGCGCTACTTACTTGCTTCAGCATTTCTTGCTGAAGACTTCACTCGTACAAATGACAAGGATGCCAGGCTGTTATCATGATATCGCAATCAAAAGTGGATTCTTGAATTGCTCATAAACTCCTTCTTTGCTATGGGAATTGTTTCGGAAATATCTAGTGCTCTCGATCTGGCAGTGATACTTTACCGGTGGTAATTTATAGGCTGTGGTGATAGTTTACGTCCCGTTACGTTTTCATGAAAAAGTCGATTTTTTGTTGTTTTTTTTCACAGGTAAGTTAATATTTTGTTTATTGGAGAGATGTCGTTTAGAAATGAAATAGTGTTTATTGCCTTTTTTCTATCTACCTCTAGAAACGTATATTTCAAGCATGAAAACGACCTTTCAATCGAGCAACTACAGACGACTTATGGAGACCAACCAGTCAATAGGAAGTTGGGGGTCAGATTCGATCAAGGCTGGAAAGAGTATTACGGTTCATAGTTTCTTAACGAACCAACGTTGCAATCAAATGGATGAGCCAAGATCGATATCATTGACGATCGCTAAAATACAGGAACAGATTAACGCTCGAGACATTCCGTGCAATGTCAATAAAGATCAGCAACAACAGGAAGAGTGTGAGACAACTACAATCGTCCCATTGCGAGTACGAGTCGACGATGATATGCAAAGTGAGACTTTGCTAGAATTTGAATGCGACTGGACGCCAGGTATTGGCGGCTCTGTCTGGACTAGTGGCGAGCTTTTAGCAGCACATTTGGAGCTGCAACGAGAGTATTATCGGTCAATCTTTGATGGTGCCCGTATTGTGGAACTAGGCAGTGGAACAGGTTACGTTGGTCTTATGATTGCTTCCTGCTTTAAGCCAGCATACGTGTATCTGACAGATCTACAGACGCACATCCGTGGGTTATGTCGTAATGTCGAGCGCAACGCTGGGGCAGTGCGGTCTGGTGTACAGGTGCACGTCTTGGAGCTGAGCTGGGGATCGCTGGAGCAGGAGACGAATCTGCTGGAGTTGTTCACTAGTACGGATCATGACTCGGACAACCATAAAGCTGCACAGATAGATGTCATCCTGGGTACTGACGTGGCGTACCAGCAAGAACTGTACGACCCCTTGCTGCACACGATGAACCGCTTGGCGACATCGCGCACGTTAATTCTTTTAGGCTTGAATCGTGCCGATACCGAGTTTACGTTCTTTCGACAACTTGAGCGCCATGGCTTTGAGTACTACAGGATCCCGGATTTTAAGCTACCGAAGGAGTATTGGGGCCACGAGTTCGGGCTGTTTGAGATCCGCCGCCGACCTGACCAAGCAAGTTGATGGCATTACACCCGACTGTTTCTTGACCGTTCGTGTACGACAGCGGGTAGAATTCGGCATGTGTGTCATCGTAGGCGAGCACGGGACGGGCAATACGCACCACCCCATTCAAATTTCAACTGAACTCAGGACTGTATTGAAAGCAGTAAGTTACGTGATCGACCATCCCATAATAGAACTATCGATGCGTATCTTGCAATTGTTAACGTTTGCCCACAAGCATGAATGATTGACACTATTCTACACAATCTCAGCTGGTAAAGCAGACCAGTGTTAGTTGACTTGCGACTGTATTACGACGCAAATCGTCCCTCCAGTCCGAACCTTCACTTTTTTTTCTCCAGATCGGTTTTGGTCTAAATCACACCTACTGTGATTGTCATGTAGAGCTAAAATATCTAATATTAGAACAAAGCTAGGTAAGCAACAAACAGGTTGAGGTTCCAAGTAACGTGGGTTAAAGTGGTTTGATTAATATACTTGAACAAGTTCAATGTCTAAACTACTGCGGCTGCGCTTTCAAAGGCGATCGGATCGGGTTTGTACTACAACGCGACGGCAATGTCCCACCCCTTCCTATCTTGACACATTTACACCTTGACCGTCACAACGACCTCCATCCTATAAGATTCTTGCGCGCGCATTCCGCGCATCCCTCGAATAGGATTTTTTTTCTTTCTTAGCTTGTCCACACAACCGCAAGTTGCAAGATACTTGAAGCAAGAAGGACTGCCTATATGGTCCGTCGTACCTGTCTTCTCTACACTGTGCATTTCTCACTCCAGTAAAACCAACTGGACCCACAAGTGCCCATTTCTTTCCATATATCACTTGGAAAAACCCCACACGTAACTTGACGATTGGGCTTTTCTTTGGTATTTTTGGGTATCTTTTGGTCCTAAATTCGGTAGGTTTGTGTATATAAAATACCCCTAAGCCCAATCGATTGCAAAAAAACGACTTGGAAGCTTTAATTCCAAAAAGGCTTTTAGCACACATAAGGAATCACGCTACAGTAGCAACAGGTCGATTTTAGAACAGTGTGACTTTGCCGTATATTAAAGCAATTCGTTTTAGGTGCAATCAAAACCTTATCATGAGTAGCTCAATTCCAACCATAAATACGCCTACTTCATGGCGAAAACGCGTTGGGCGTCAAAAACAACAGACCACGAGTACATTTGGGTCATGGTTTGTGAATAAATTCATTAGCAGTGGAAAAAGTAAGAGCAAATTGCTACGTGAACACGACGAAGAGACGGCACAGAATCTTCGACGACGACCTGTGGGTACACTTAGTGCCGTGACGAATCAACAACAAGCAAATTTGGCACGACGTGAGGAATTTGGTCGTCCGAAGCCCATGCGTCAAAAGAGTTTTCTACGTCAACAGCTCCAGGAAATGAAGCGACAATCGGCTGAGACGTTGAATCTTGTTCAGAAGAGAATGGACGGAGAAAAAGTAGACGAGGAGGACGAGAAGGATGAAGAGGAAGAGAAAGTATCATCATCATCATCTGAATCTGAAAATCAAGAGGAAGAACTTCATGTGATTGACAACTCTGAAGAAGCACTAAGGGAAAGTTTAAGCAGCAATCCTGCGCGATCTCGAAGCTCGTCGTCTCGACGATCAAGCACTTCGTCACGTCGTCGAAGTGCGGCAGAGGAACAACAGGAACGAGACGATGAATTTATGGCTCATGATGCTCAAAGAGATGAGTACTCAAAGGAGGCGAATCGACGCATGAGTCAAGCTACACAACTCTATGCTGAAGCGATTAGTGCGTTGGACTATGCGTTGCATCCAGAACGTTTACGTCAACCGGATAATGAACCATCACCAAAGCCATTGTTCCTTGGAGTGAGGAAAGGAAGCGCGAATATGCCCAAGAGCGAGTGGATTTGATTGAAGAATTGACATGCAGAAAACAGTTTTTGGAAAACTAGGGGACACAGAATTGTCGGAAGAAGGCAGTTCCAAGACGTCTTGATGAATGAAAATGGCGTAAAGGTAGGTGAAATGGCGGTGTATATCAAGATTTTCTTCGTTAAGAGAAGGACGTAGCAGTAATTTGGCATAAAAGACGATGGCGGTATTTTATTTTTGAAGGAAACAGGATAAGGAACAAGTACTTAGGATGAGCGCTTATGACAGAAAGTAAGAGAGTATGAACGGTGAATAGCAAGGAATGAAGCTACGTGAATTGATAGTTATTATGTAGATTGTTATTTCTTTGGTAATGTCTCGGATTTTCAAGTAGAGAACAAATACGCGACGGACTGAGTATCTTCTAGACAGTATTTCTCCATATGATCATAGCTATTACACGTCACATGGCTGTTTTCAAATCAGCAAACAGCTTAACTAACATTCGATCTTGACATGAAACAGCGACACAGTCGTACTAAACGCATGTTTCGTCGACAAAAGTTTCAGTCAAAGATGTTCAAATACCAGCAGCATACTTGATCAATAAAGATAAGCAAGGGCAACGTCGAGGAACGTGGTTGTTAGCAACTTCAATCACTTTTATATTGTTTCAGACGAGATTGTCTGCGTGATGAACACACGTTCTTGCTATCATTTACAAAACACCAAGCAGCATTTCGGCTATTGATTCATCTGTTTGTTCCCTAATGATCAATCCCTAGCGCTTTATGCAAAAAAGCATAGAAAAAGAAGTTGAGTCCAGTGCGGTTGATACTACTACCGTCATCTGTCTAAACGATATGAACGTCGCACAAGTGTCTTGTTGTGATGAGGGAATTGGTGCTGAGCACTTTCTGAGCCTTACGTGCTGATTAAGAAATGTCCCGCACCAAGTGACTACAATTCACGAAAATCGCCTTGCACGGGTGGGTCTTATTCGTGCATGGCGCTGTAGCAACATTGTCTTGGACATGCCTCATAAATCTACTGCAGAGTAAGAAAATGTTCGATAGTTGTCAAAGTCACCTCATCACATTGCTGGTGAGCACCTTCACGTCACTTGACCTTTGCAGCGAAGATCCAGAATGTCGTGACAAATGACACGACTAAGCGTTATAATCGCATGTGCAGATGCTGCTTATGCACAACGATGGACGACAAAGCCTCCGGCTATGGCTTGCTATTCAACGCTTTTGTGCTTCACTGAACTGGTCAGTTGTCGCTCTCGTTTATGGGAATGCTTCTTTCGCGCTGTCTCATATTGAAAGTCTGAACTTTGCACAGCGGCTTGTCTTTTAGTGTGATTGATTTGTTTTGAGCTCGTGTTGCTTGATTTGTTCAGCGTTCTGGACGTCTTGGGAGCAAGTCTATCATGCACAAGTTTTACCACATTTGCAACTAAAAAAATTACTCGGCAAGTCGTTTGGACCAGTTACCACCCCAACCACATGAAGACTCGAGCTCGGTTCTTGAAATTGTCACCGTCAAGTAGCGTACACTGTACTTGCGACGCTTCTCAGTGTGGCGACCGACATACATACTAAAGCAGCTTTGCCCGACTGGACCCATTCAGTCTTTTGCTAGCCATCGCGCAGGTCACGCGTCTGACAAGCTGAAACCAAACACATAACATGCAGAACCCGGCTTCTATCGAGACGGCCATCGTGCACCCAGTTACATACCGCTGGACAAGCGGTTGCCAATCTACCAACGAAGCTCGTTGCAACCTCAGTGTGATGTGCTCGCAGAAGAACTTTCGTCGCCGCCGGTTGTCTTGGGACGAAGCTGCTGCTCGCGGCGCAATCGACAATGTCTGTGACATCCCCCGCCGCCCTAGCACGACTAAAGCTTGCTCGTCAGCCGCCTCGCCCGCTCGAGTTCGGTTTATATACGAGGACGAAGATGCCAAGGCTCGTGTGTGTGGAAACGTGCAACAAATACTCAACGTCGTGCAAGAAGACCCTCAAGCCATATCTGCCAACGCGCAGGTAGCGCGTAAAGTACTTAAGTACCGCCGCATCATGGAGAGGCTAGACAACGTGAACGTAGAAGACCCAGACTTCGACGTGTCTGCCTTTTTTGGTATTGAGTGGTGCCACGTGGATACACCCTCAAGCTGAAGTCGGCAGATATTGCATTCATGTGAATTGTTCTCTGCTGAATGACGATTCTCGGTCTACGTAGCACTAACAAAAGCTTCCTCGAAGCAGAGGCCAAATATAATTGTATAAGATTTTTAAGAAATGACCTTGCTGTTTCCTGCTTGCAAACTCACTCAGATGCTCAGCTGTGGGCACGTACAAGATGCCTACCGTAAGCAAAGTTAGCGCAAGATATTGCGCTTGGCTGACGCGTAAGAAAGTCTTGGCAGTTTCCTCATTAATCTGGAAAAGCTGAAAGAGCGCAAGGCACGACAGCGAATTGTATGTCTCGTGGAGGAAGCTAAGCGAAACGCTTACTGTTTTACATCACTCTACGACGAGCATGAAAACCAGCTTTACGCCATCATATAACATCATGAGAAAGTATTCGGTTCACAGCTTTAGTAATAGACTCAGCACTTTGCTGCATGCACTATTTACCCGTGCAACAAATGCTACGACGTTGTTTTCGAATCGTATGCCGTCTTTTCAATCCGTCGCCGTGCAGTGGGTGGCCATGCAGTGCATGATGCACGTTCTTATATCGAAGCAAAGGCAGCGCGTGTGTAGCATGCTACTGTGCCCTCTCGTCAAAGGACAAGCGTGACGCGGGTGCGGTGACGTACCTGCAGTTAAGCTTTTGTTTACAGCCCGCTCTTTTCATCTCCACGCGAATCGTGCCTGGTCCGTAAGAATGCTTGCTATGAACACGACGACTTGTCTCTGGCACTTTCACTGCCAAGCATTAAACTGTTGCCAAGCGCGGACGAGTTACTATCTGGCTTTTCGCTTGGACATTACTCACTCCTATGGACAGAGGCAAGAGCTATTCGCCACGCCACGTCAATGCTAGGATGCTTTCTGTGTCCATCTTTGTATTCTTCATTACTCTATAAAAAATGTCTACGATAGGACTCACTCACCGTGCGTACACTTCAACGTACACTGTCACTTCCCCGTCGCTAAAAAGGGCTTTGCAGAGAGGACAGAAAACGCAAATGTACGTCTTCATGATTCATAGAGACGCTAATAGTGCGTTTGAACGTAGACGTTCCGAAAGCAAAGTTACTGCAATGCACCAAGCGATGAAAGCTATGTTCGAGCGTAAGGGCATCAAGAGGTATATTGATTCAACAAATGTGTTATACGTCTTGCTACAGTTGTCTAGTAGACTCAACAAAGTCTTGGTTGATGTAAATGAGACTGATCGTCGTGATACCTCGTAGTACACGATATTAGCAACGCAAGAAGCGCGTATCACTGCTGGTATTCTTTACCAACAAGTTGGCGAATATGTCGCTCTCCGAGACCAACAAAGAAAAGCCGTGGCAAAAGCGTCGTGATGAAGGGTGGGCGGACCTTTAGGATACAAACGTCGTTCCTTTCCGTCCCTCATTTGCAGTTGCGAGCTGTCTAACGAAACTCGTGCTGAAGGGCGAAACCGCCCATTGCCATCCCTTTGATCTCTCCGCTGCAATTTGCATTCCCTCTTTCAAACGAAGCGGTCAACCGTAGTGACAACCAAGACAGTAGTCGCCAGAAATTAGCGATTGCTCAACGGGTTCCGCCTAGGGAATCGTAAGCTCATCTCATTGCACGTCACGGTACTTTCAGGTTCAGAGTAGTTCACGAAGCAACATTGGTGTGGGACATCATTGAAAAAAAAACGCAACAGGGAAGACAACAAGTGCACATAAGCGCAGCAACACGCCTGCAATCGATACCACTTGCAAAAGACGGAATACAGTGCCGACTTCTTCGTCATTTTCGAGATATCTCGTTTTGACATCGATCTCAGATCGATACAAGCTAGCTCGCTGGACACCTCAATCGCAGACGTCGTCAGAGCATTCGTCAATTCTCCTTTGACGACGACAGACTGGCATCAAATCGTTTCTGCTGTGCAACGAGGTCTAAAGTTGCCTATTACAACCTCCTTACCCTGTAAATGCCAACGTGGCGCCGAGCTCACAGGGCCAACACTATCTGACGTTACTACAACCAAGTATCCGGGCAGCTTGAAAGAAGATAATCGTCGACTGCGGCGTCAAAGACGTCGTGATTTGATCTTGCATTTCCTTATGGACAATTTGGGAGTCTACACCTTGCCCGAGTTTGACCGTGAATCATCAGCTCAAGCCAGGTTACAAGGCGCTGTATCAGCTCCATGTGAGCAACACCACCCCACATTTGCACCGCTTTCGATAATCACCGTTGACCGTTTCCATGCAAACGCCACGCGGCCACCCGCAAAAGCAAGTTCCCTTGAAACAAGTCCACCTCGCTTCAGTTCTGACACTCGACGACACACTGGTTGGCGCCGAGCTTCGGGTGAGGGGATGACCGACTACAAAGCAGAGTCTCAAACAATGCAAGCGACCATCCCACAGGGCCAAGGAGATACGACTTGCTGTCCAAATCTTCTAGAGGGTGCAGTCGTTCCATCTGCAGTGCATTCTAACAGTGCTCAAGAATTGGAGACGCCTCAAAAGCAATTGCGACAGGAAAACGAAGACCATTCGCAGGCTTTCGCTGTCTTGCCTCTACGAATGTCAACTCGACGGACTAAAATGACGACGAGATGGTCTCCATCTGTAGCTCGTGACCAACACCAGAGCTCTCATCGGGCGTCAAAAGTACCAGGAAGTCAACGATCGCAGGACTCCTCTGCAAGTCTCAAATTGGCAGTAACACTGCCCACTCGTCCTATCTCAAATGCCACGCAAAATATCAACTTTGACATGTTGCAGCCACATTTCGAGCGGCCATTACAGCAAGCAGCTGATAGCTTCTGTGTGTGTACGACTTTGCTGAAAAAGATATGTCGACGGAACGGTATCAACAATTGGCCGTATCGAAAGATCTGCGGACTTCGCAAGAGCGTTGCCTCCATGACGAAGCAGGTGAAATACTTTGAAGGAGAGCAAAGACGTGCTTACGCGAATCAACTAAAAACGCTCGAGCACGAGCTACAGGCATATTTACGCACAGGAAACAAGCCCTTGAAAGAGCCCTTGTGCAACTTAGAAGCAGAGACTGAGGCAAAGCAGTTCAAGGAGGACATATCGGAAACAAGCAGCAAAATCGAGAGAAAAGAAGTACAGGTGGTCCCCGCGTGGTCAAATGCACTAAGTCTTAACCTGCCTTACTACAGCAACAACCAGATTGTTCACGAGTTGTCTAGCAGGCCCACAACAGCTGGAGACAGCGGTGCCACGTGGGGTGGTGCGCACTTTCGTCTGCTTGAGTTGCAGCAACGAACAACAGCTTTCCCCACTCCTACACATTACCGAGCACTTCCGTCGATTGTGTCCATTCTACAGCACCAAAACTATTCCAGCTCGAGCCGTGCAGCATCAACGCCGAGTACAACTGCACCTGGTGCTTGGCACATCGAAAGGTATCAATATCAAGAACCATAGTGGCGATACTTTGCTTCGGCAAACGTCAATACTACATGGTAGCCAAAATCTCAAAGAGATTGAAAGGCGCGATCGAGTATATTATTTATCACTACATCGAAAGAGGACGTCCTTGATTTTTCTAAACCAAATCTTTGAAAACAGGAAGGGTGCTATGCAAGAAGGTTATATCGAACCAACTTCCTCAAAAGGACCGGTCAATGACGCTAATACATATGACGTGGACGTCTGAGCCCAGCAGTACGGGTGCAATGGAACGCTGGATATTTTTAGATAGATAGAACATTCAGAAACGTATCCATGTTTACAGAACTGATGTCTCTCCTTTGATGTTCGCAAAGACAGCATTCTGTCCCCGCGGGTTGAATATCGAAGCTTGTCATGGACGTTTGATGTGAAAGGTCTTGTTCGTATATGGCTCGGCTCACCATCCCAGGAAGTACACATTGCTTTAGTGTACAGACATAGCGTGATGAGGCCCACTTCATGTGGTAAAGGGATTCTAGATTGCTCAACATAGCAGAAGGATGCTTGCTACAAGTGTATGTAGACGTACATTTTCTATGATACGAATGTTTATGATGAGCAGGGGGATGCAATCATTATCGGACTATCCTTGCGACGAGGGGTTCCCTTGCCCAGGAATAGAAGAACTTCCTCCGATGGAAGCCTTTCTCGTCTGTTACAGATATCACGGGTAGTAGTCAGTTATGCACATCAAAATGTACTATCAATCATAAAGGACGTTGCGGGAACATGCATTAGCTTGGCATAGTAAAACGTGTTGGCTTCATCCATAACTTCAGGATCAAGTTTAGCGATTCATATTGGAATTTACAACTGATTCCTACCACGAAGTGACCTTACTATTTGTACATGACGTTCTGCGAATGGTATCGTCTCATATGCTATTGACTCGTGTCTTTAGACACTATGGATTTGAGCTTGAGGAGCTTGGCTGTCCATGTAACATGTACAGTTTACACCACCGTAATATGGTTCGACTGGATCTCGAAATTTCGATTAGAGGGCACACCTCGGACACAGCACAATGCGTATCGATTCTTTTAGAAGGAAGTAATCGACCAGTGCAACCACAACTAGTTCATTATGATGTGGAAGCTGGATAGAAAAAAGGCGTGGTCGTGCCTTGTCTTCGCCATAGTCAGTCATGATGGAGCTTCCATCAGATTTTAGCTGTACCAAGACTGCTAGCTAGGTTCTAGCTGCCGGTGGAGATGTTCTCCATACCAGTATGATCAACCCAACAATGCTACTCGCGTCTGAAACTTGAAAAGCAGTTAAGTGACGTCAGGAGCAGACCGTACGGTGTCATGCTTCCGTGTCTGCAACGAAAAGATTTCCTCGGTGATGAAAAGTTCGAGAACTGGACAAAAACTGGGAAGGGTTGCAGCTTCTAAGCAAAGCACGGCGCAGCGGGCACCTAGCTACCTACCCACCTACACGTTGCGCAACATGATGCTGTAAATCGTGGCTTCTGAAGGCTCGGCATCACATCATCCACCGTAATCATTGTATGGAGAGGGTGGAATATATTCATGGATGGATGGATGCCCATTTCTCTGATGTCTTGATTACATTGCTTATCAGCTTTGTCGCAGCTTATGAGGGATACATGCCGTCTCTGTAATATAATGGATGATAAACGTGGTGGATGCATTCGTCATGTTTACCCATCATGAACTAATTGAAGACGAGGGAATCTCGATGAGGGCAAATGATGCATGTACGTCAAAAGATTGAAAGACAGGGAGAGAACGAACATTCGGCTGTTCGACGGCAAACAAAGCTCGTTTTTTATCGTCGCTGCCATTCGCAGTTGATCGATCAAATTTTCTGCCGTCATAAGGTACAGTTGCATCGTGGGAGACAGCTCTCGATCTTCCGTTGCAGATTTGAGCCAATGTCGGCTGTCGAAGCGCGAGGAAGCAAGCCATGTCTCGATCCTGTCCTCCTCACATTCTTTTTGAAGTGGTTTTTTAGATAGGTGGTCCATTTGGACGGATGTTCTCAAAGCTTCCAGCTCGCTTTGCACTATCTCGACGCCGACAGGCTCTAACTCTGTTCACAGCAGCTTGACGATTGTTTGCGCTAAGCGAGCTGTCACAGACACTATCATACACTACTTATCGCGACAAAAACGTAGACGCTCCATCCTCTTGTACACTCTTCTGCTGCTGAATAGACGTAGCAAGACCGGACTCAACAAAATTTCCGCTTCAAATCCAGCGCCCCCAGTCAATCCACGAACGGCGTTTGCCACCACGTGCCTTCTGCCGCAGCAGCGTCTCGTTGCTTTGTCACCTCTCGTTTTACTCACTCGACGACAAGTGACCAAGTAGTTCATACAGCAATGGACACCTTCGCTCTTCCAGGAGACACCGTCATCTCCGCTAACTCAACCGCCGTACCAATGTCCTTACCACCCTTGATACACAAACGCCGTCTCTATAGCATCACCACTCGCTCACCAGTTAAGCGCCGCAAACTGTCGGTGCCCGTCTCATCGCCTCGATCAACGATGTCAACATCATCGGTCAGGCCAGCCACTCCATCGAGTTTGTCACGTACCAACATGACGGCTTCAAACAGTATCACGCTAGACATGTTGCGTCCACACTTCGAAGAGCCTTTAACCAAGGTCGCTGCAGGCTTTGGAATCTGTGTAACGTTGCTGAAGAAAATCTGTCGACGACATGGTATCGCTCGCTGGCCACACCGCCAGATCACGGGCTTGCGTAAAAGTATTGCTTCTATGGAACATGCTATTGGCTACTTCGACGGCGCACGACGCGATTCGTATGCGCAGCAGTTGTTGAAGCAGAAGAACAAACTCGCAGCGTTGTTAAAAGATCCGACGTCTAACAACCCGCTTCTCGCGTCAGAAGAAGATCACCGCGACCAGAACGTTAAGAAGCAGACCGATCTTTCACTCTTGCATGGTACTGACAATGCGTACAAGATGATGCCTGCTCTACCAGCCCGTGCTTCGTCGCCCACTGGTCCATTGTTACTGGAGTCTCCATACCATGACGTTTCATCTGGGGCTGTGCATTTGCCGGGATCGCCGATGTGGCTTCCACCTCTCGAATCTAGCTGCACTCACCCGTATCAAGAACTCTATCCTTCGTCAGTACTAAAGCAATCTCATCGAGAACTTTATCCGACTACAAACTACTGGCCGTCCAGCTATAATAGTCCGACGTCACCGATATATTTGCCTCCACTACGACCTGATCCAAGAGGAGTGCTGCCACCCATTTCGTCACTTGTGGTTAGCAAAAACAAAATGTATACACCGTCTATGCCGACGGTAAGCTGGTGATTTCGATGATCGTAAGGCATGTAGATAATAAAGCTGCTAATTATTGACTTCACGACACCTCCTTAAGCATTGCAACTGTTTGAATTAGAACCTCTAGACACTTGAAGCAATAGAAGCATACTATCAATTGACCCGTACGGCGATTGCTATCATCACCTTTAACCTCGGAGCTTTTCTTCCTGGTCGTTGAGTGCATCCAAAGCCAAGAAAATTGATGTCTACGCAATCTTCCCAAATTGAATCTAGATAGGCAAAGCACTTTCAAATGCCACACATTTTTTTTGGTATAACTTTGCTCATAACTTTCCACGGCAGGTTTCGTTGATGACAACAACGACGATCATTAGAATCCGTCGTCTCGTTCAAAAGTGTGTCATATTTACTGAGAACTACACTAACATTGTCACGATGCAAACGCAGACAAGTCGAGGACAAACGGCACTGCAAAACTTTAAGCAACGTGAATTGAATTTGACAATCCCCAACTCAAGCTGGCAGCTTAAATCATGTGCTCTGCCATACCTTGCACCCGTTCGTCGCCGCTGTTCTCCCCGTCGGATGAGGATTCGTCGTCCATGTCGGCTTCTGACTCGAAAGAAAACTTGGGGAAAAAATTCTCCTCTGCCAAAATCTCGGTGTTGCGTGCCTCAGCGTCACGCATTGTGAGGGGATCAACGATATCGTAGTCGCTCCTCATACTACTAGCTGTAGACAGACCAAAAATTTGGGGTTGTCTGTGGCTTTGAGGCATAGCAGAATCGTACGCTGTAGGCTGCACGTGCCCGTATTGAATCGATCCAGGTTTTTGTCGAACAGCATATGCTTTGTTTCGACATTTGCCGCCAACAGCTGTAGGCATCAGCTGACTCACCGTTAAAGGAAGTTCTGTGTGCATCGAGTCAAGCTCTAGAGGCCTGTTGTTTCTCAAAGGTGCCGTCACGTCCACGAAGCTCTGTCCTGCTTTCGTTAATGGAAGAGGCAGTTTGTTGTTTGCGTAGAGATTTTGAGGCCCTGTGCTCACACTGAAATACTGCGAATCCTCAGAATACAGAGAATCTCCATCGTAATTGGAAAAGTCAGCCATTGACCTTGGAGACGCCCCAATGTGGCTTAGTTGGTCGTTGTAGTCGGGACCGTAGGTGCTGCTAGCTTGTGAGTCAGACAGCATCGTGATGCCATTATCCTTGGTAGCTCCACTCGTATAGCCGTAGGTCGAGTAGATGTTTTCGGAAGAGACTCCTGAAGTATGTGTCCTGTTGGACCGTTGGCTACCTTGTGTTGACGCTGTATTCTCCAGCTTATGGGCCATTTTCTTCTTTTTCGTCATTCGACGAGCTATGAACGCAATCAAGATTAACGCAAGCACCACTGCGGCAATAATTAGAGCCAAGTTGGTTGTTGATAGCGAACTGGACGTGTCGTCAGTGTTGGCTATCGGAATTGGTACGGAACTACTTTCGGACACGTCACTGGGTGGTTTAATTGGTGGTTGGGTCGGTTTTGAATCATCTAATGTCGGAGAAGTGGCCGTAGGCAAAGACGAAGTTGTGTCAGAGTTGATATCGTTCGATCTAGCTTCATCGATTGTAGAGTCCGTGTCGGAAGTCGGCATCTCTGGCGCTGTAACGCTATCAGTCGTCACTGATACCTCCTTAGACTTGTCCTTCGTCTCCTCCGGTGTCTTATCACTATTGCTATCGGATGCGCTCTTGTTAGAAGTTGAGGTCGACTTATCACATTCAGCAAAAGTCTCCGCAAAGGGGCAGTCTCCCTTCTTGTCTCGAGTATAGCACGAGTAGTCACCACCTGCGAGCGCATAAACGCATGGAGGGCACTTCTGCGAAGTGGGGTTACATAAGGTGGAACCCTCGGCTAAACAGGTCTTTACGACTGAACAAGTTACCATGGCTTCAAGAGACTTATGTGTGTATAATTAATGCCTGTGGAAGGAAGTCTAGCTCGTGAAGAAGATGTTGGATTGAACACCAAAGACGATCGAGACCTGTGTTCGTGTTCTACTTGTTGTACTACCCTGGGCTCTGGTCAGATAGAACGATACACGAGTCCGAGATTGTAAACCCCACCAAAGGCACAGTCAAAGCTGAGGGAATGGGAATGAGAAACTGTAGGTGCGAGCGCAGGCTTTCCACAAATCCGCTGATCTCACCGATTAGCCTAAATCGTTATGACGTCGTCCTTACGTGCTTTGTAAGGTCTCACGCACACTAAATCATGCGATCGACCTACCGTAGTGTTGGTGCATCTTGCACGGTCTCTGTTTCATCAAGATAAAAGTGAGATTAGAGACACGATAGGCTTAAGAGTATCTTAAGCTCACAAAACGTCTGTCTTGCCCAGAGTCGCGCCTGTTTGTTCATTAGTTCCAAGCGTAGCAACATAAATCATAATCAGCACGGACAACAAGAATGTGCTTGCAATAGGAGGCTTTTGATTCACTTGTATCGTGCCTGAGGTTACACTGATGGCCTTAACCATCTACTACTTGTCACCAAAACATACCTACAACCTATTGGTCTCTAAAAATGTCATTTAGTGGTTACAAGCATACGCAATGCAAGCAGAATCGGTGTCAATACGTGATCTTGCTATGCATTACAAATATGCGCCTTTTAACGTGCATGAATATGTATCTTGAGCATCTTGACTGAATTTATGTGCCTCTTGACGGTCTTGTCTTCAAGTAATGTCGACATGTGTGTCATACCAAGTACAGTGAGCAAGAGCCGTTAATTTGTAATGTGCTAAAAACAGGTGGAATGTAGTAATGATCGAACTTGGAGCTCAATTCAAGTCAAACATGGTTCTACTTCTTTGACTTACTCATGTGTAGTAGTTGTCTTCTCAGGTTGTCACATTTTCTTTACTGCTAAGCCGCATTGCACAAGTATATTCACGTGAGCACTAGTGATATTACACCAAGTCAAGTTGTTATCCTTTGGTAGATAGATGGGTATTGTACATCACTAAAATTCAACGACATACTACAGAACGCTCTACCCTGCAAGATGTAGAGACGTAGACTGGATAGAGGAGTACTTACTACCCGTGTACAACTTGTGTATTTAAAGCATCTCTACCTCGATAATCGATACCTTCAACTTTCTAGCCCTGTTTCGGACAACTTGCTTTCTTTGTGCCTTGGAGTGCCACCGGCTACAGGTACGACAGCATCTACGCCTACTGCATCTGGTTAGTCTACCTCCACATTGCGGACCTTCTCAGTATCTGCATAAGAAGACGTTGTGCCACTCCTGTCACGTTGGTGTGGACTACTTGCCGAGAGCTGCATGAGATTCTGAAGCTGATCAAGGTTTTCCTGCTGCAATCGCTCGCAACGCATGACGGTCTCCGTAAGCAATAAAATAATGTCGCTGTGCATCTCTTCCTGCTCTCTGCACCAGATTTCAAGATCATCGGACAGTGTCCATGACGATGACTGCACGGACGTTATAGTACTACGATCAAAAGCCGTCGCCTCGCCACTACTTGATCGAAATTTACTCTTCAAGTCACCATAGCCTGAATGGTCTAATGTCCGACGCACCACTTCACTGCTCTCATCACCGTCACAAGACTTGCTTCCATTCGTATAATTGTCTCCACTCATCAAACATCTGTCTGCAACTGGTAATGACAATGTCTTCTTAATCGTCTTTGACTCTACAGGGCCTCCACGTGAAAAAAAATGATTCGATCTTGATTCTCCCGTTGTATTCTGAACCTTAGTCGACGATGACGGTGCATTTCTTGGTGATGTCTGCATATTAGCATTTGTTCGAAAACCCAAGGAAATAGGACGTCTTGTTGTTTTAAGCATATCGATAATCTGACTAAATCTCAATGCATCCACTCGTTCCGTATTAATCGTGATCAATTGATCACCCAATCGACAATTGCTAATACCGGTCGTCACTCCATCTGCATGTTGCAAGACTGCAATTTGTGCACCAACTTTATTCTCATTTCTTGAAAAATTACGAAGTGAAATACCACATTCACCACAGACCCATATGACTGTATATTGTTCAGGTACCATCTTCCATCGCATGGACATGTTATTATTATCATGACTATGACTCATAGAATACGATGCAGCACGTATTTGCGATCGATGTTTTGTCAATGGTTGTTGATGGTGCTGCTGGTGCTGCTGGTGCTGCTGCTGATGATGATGCTTGGGATACGTTTCTTGTTCCTGATGTCGTCTCATCATGGAAGATTGACGACTCGTTCTTGTATGCGCATACTGTTTCGACGTATTATCATTCAATACTGCATTTAATGATGATAATTCGTCAAGTGTCATTTGACTTGCACGTGGATCCACTTGAACATTCGAATAAGGTGTGGAAATACTCCCACGTTCATTGTTTTCAGTCATTTCAAACGATACTGATGATGATGATGATGATGATAATGGTGATGGTGATGGAAGTGGTGGTGGTGGGACTGTTTGCAAGACATTACAAGGACTAGATCCTACTGTACTATTGACGGTATTTAATAATGATTCATAAAGCTTTGACTTTTGTTTCATATCTTCACGTAAACCTTTTAATTGTATTACTAGTGATGGTAAATTCTTGACAAGTTCCATACCTCCTGACATTTTGTCGGTGGACTCAATTATTTTCATCGTCTTGTGCTTTGTGACTTTTAAAAAATCTGATTGAGCAAAAAGAATTGAATTAGAAAAGACTAAAGAAATGTGGTAGAGAAAAAGTAGTTTGTTCAGAAGTGAGACATGTGAAAATACTTGTTCTTTAATTTTAGAATAAAACCTAATCAGTTGCAACGATTATATATTTCAAGCCTTTAACGTAAATTTAAACCTTAAAAAGTAGCTTTACTAGAATAGAATGTAACGATACGAACGAAGAGTTATCGTTAGTGGAAATTAGGCTAGGGATAAGGGCATCGAATAATGGGTAACGAAGTAACTGATACACGAATGCTATTATAGGATCAGTTTGAACGATTCCACTTCCTATAATGATCAGGTTTCATTTAGATCAAGTTTCATTGAGAGGTTTATATTAACCTTGCATGCCTTGTAAAAATATCACTTTTGCATTACACGATGTGATTGCGTCAGTGCGCTGTACTGATTGCCAGTTACTTGTCTTTAATATCGTAACGAGTGTAAAATACTTGACACATTGCAGGATACAGTTGAGGCAGTTAAGGTTTGTGAAGATACACACGTTGAGATAAACAAATGATCCTGCATTTCCTTGTCTACTGAACTGTACGGCTGTGAAAATAGGCTACCAGTAAATTATCACAGAAATTGTACTACTACTGTTTTGTTGTGTACCTAAACTTTGGAACAAATTTAAAATGGATCTCTTACAGTAGGCTACCCAAAATAAAAATTGAGTTTATGACATTTTGCCGCTTAAATTTCATGAAACGACTTGATTAACGATGAAGTTTAGGGAAGTAAAATTGGATGACGTACACGTCATGTAATAAATGCCTTTTGCCAATATAATAATGCATGATGCAACATACTGTGTCATTTATCAATAGCAACATTGGCAGGGGTAAATGAACCGAAGAGCGATATGATTATAGAGGAGAAATCAACGAGACTCCATTATTGCGTTGTCTCCTAGTGCGAACTGCAGTGAATTTTTAAATCTCATAGATATTACCCAAAATAAGTGGTGAGTACAAAAATGCTATCAGTTATACTGATCACCCTAAACTAGCAATTACAGGCATTGTTTCGATCAGATAAACTACATCCAGACTGTTCTCACATTCACTCATGATTGCGTTATTGCCCGTTATCATTTGCTACTGAAAAACTGTAATTTGGATAATATCCAACGTATCTCTTACTGCGTCATGCTGTCTATATCATTAATAGCATTTATTCCAATATCAAAGGAATTATGATAGTAGTACATCTACTTCATTGACAGTAGAAATGTTTCTATTTTAAGTATCCATGAAGTGGCAATAAGAAAATGTATGGCTTCCATAGAGCTGATACCTCTTATCTTAGTATGAATTTTCTTCATGTAAAGCCAATGGAATTGACGTGATGTTTCATAAATAACCTGAAGATCCACGTCCAGATGTTTCTATCTACTTATTCGCTTGATATTTTTTTGTGCTGAAGAGCATAAGTGCATTGTCTAGTAGCAATAGTGTATTGCGCTCAAGAGTTTGCTACAAATTCTATCCATGTGGTGTTTGCAGACGTCTACCGAGGTTATGGCGAACTGAGCCTTACTAACATTGTGGAATTGAGTTGCTTGAGTGGGTATGATACTGGCAATGAAAGTAGCAGCAAAAAAATGGGCGATCGATCATGTGCTTGCTGGAAAAACATTAACAGAAACCAGCGACATAGCAGTCGGATACGATGGGATCCATGTGCTTCATGTATGCATCGATTTACGTGCTTCTCTTGTGTGTATTGAATGACTATGATCGATCAAAGTTGCATGACAAATTAAATTTACTTGTTGCGTGTGGAATGCTACTCCAAGTTTGGTTTTCTGACAGCTGATTTAAAGCATTGGGTAGATATGTGGAATATATCATTGATTTCACGTCAGAAATAGCGGCTGCAAGGGGTAGCTAGTTTGTTAGTCCACTTGAGCTGTCGCCATTATCATGGACTGTATGATTGTGCTGCTGATAATTATTGCATGGGTTATGCGCTGGTTTTCGTGTCCGAAGTACATAAACAGCGAGCTCAAGGCATTTGCAAGAGCTATATCTCGACCAGCACTACGCCCAACTTACGATAAATGGTGACCGATGCTGATGCTGTCTTTTCACAACCGTGATGCTGTGACTATATGGTTGGTCATGTTCAAGTGACGATACTGTCAATGCGCGTGATACAATTGCGGTTTTACGTGGTCGTAGATTGCTCGACTGGGAATCGGCAATGTCAATCATGACCATGACTACGACTTGAATGATTGATACGGTACGACAAGACGAAGGGAAACAAAATTGTCTGCATTGGTGCTTTATCGCATCTAGTGAAACATGTGCAGCATATGCAAGTGCGTTTGAACACAGACTTAATATGCGAGCACAATGAAGAAGTGTAAGGCGTATCAATTCTCGCTGCATGTCTAGACGAAGTAATGTGGAGCTGTTTACACGCGCAAGCTACGGAGTTATCTATTTTGCAAGACTGGATATAGGCTTTGTACGCTTCATGAACACGTCATTTGGAAACGATTTACATACAATTGCAGAGGCAGAGGATTACAACTCAGAGACAGTCAAGCCGTTTTCAGGATTCGAGAATGTGATCAGGAGATTGCGTTATGTCGGCTGCAGACCAACGGCTTTTGCAGCTGTAAAAGAGCACCAACGTCTCACCATGACGGCGCAAGTCGCAACATGATGCTACTTGAATTGCTTCAAGGTCTGAAGGCCCGCAACACGTACGAGATGGTATTGGCACGATGGTACGAAATTGATGGCTAGCGCGAACGCTACGATCCAAGCGCTACGGCTGCTTCAGATCAGTGAGTTGACCATTGGGTATCACTTTCAAGCGATGCAATTGTCATGGCAGGCGGTTACACTGGTCAAGTCAAAATGGTACTGTAGTATCACCTCATGAAAAATTCGTAAGCCGGGAGTTGCAGGTTATTATTACCAACATTCGCCATATTCCACAGCTTCGTTCAGTATGTGCTGCTTTCGGGGCTGACAACACTTCGGTCAACACGAAAGCAAACGTTCTTGTTTGGATTCCAGCAACTGGTGCGGCATGTTGAACGTCCGAGCATCCTATCTTCAATGGATATTCAGCTGCATTATCCACTAGTGTGGGAGCTGCTGGTTTTGCATTTTGTCAGCAAGTTCGAGCATGTGATGCAGTTGTCAGCCGACAAAGAATGAGCTTGCTTGATATCACATGCGCAGCTGAACTGCTGCATGAAAAGATTTGATTCCCGAGCCCTCTAGCTGATAAATCTACTTGAGACTTTAGTTTCCAGCTTGAAGTTGCACGAACGTGACAAACTTGCTGTTTAACGTCTGCTGCTTGCAGGTGGGGGATTTGCTGATACGCTATGAGTCGAATTACAGTCATCTTCCATATATGATAGCAAAAAATTCACGTAACAACCATCTTAACTCAGCAATTTGCAGACAATATGTAGCAGTCTCTTTTCTATAGCGTGGTGCAGGAAAGGCGTGCTTGCGTGGTAATGTTGCCGTCAGAGCTGAGCTCGTTTATGGTCATACAAAAACTAAGCTCAGCTCCGACGGCAACATTACCACGTACCACATGACCATTCTTCTTGCAGTTTGTAAAGCACATAGAGCGTCCAGCGTGGTACTTGTCCATTGTGTGGCTACATGTTATGGTCATAGAAGATCCAGCGGCCTAGTGAAATTACCTTTCAATGTCGATCAATTGAAACGCAATAGAATGCAAAGTTCAACGTACTGCTTCTCCCCATCATTTCATGGTCAACTTTTTCATAGAGAATTATACATGACGACCTATTTGTGTGGTAGTAAAAGCAGGTGAATTTACGGCGTAGCTACTGCTGACCGCATGCTTATATAACCTTCTTATCATTATACTTGACGATGTATTTTACATTCGGTTGCCTTCTTCATGGCCGTACAAAAATGTGGCATATTCTCCGCCTTTATTGCCCGGCTCATGAGTTATTTGAAAACTTAAAGGTATCAAATATTACAATAAAAAGGTTTTTCATTCAATCTCAACTCTGTAACAATCAATAAAAAACCGGTACAAAACTAAGTACGATAACACATACCTTATCCCGCCAATAGACGCGACAGCAACTGATCGACTTGCTCTTGAGCCTTCATTTCTCAATTTACTCGCTACCACGCAAAGAGTTGACAACGCAATAAAAAGGGGAGAAATTCTCAACGAATGTGTGACGTGCTTCAATTGCAACCCGCAGGTGCTTTTTTACGTCACGTTGAGAAACTTGAGACCTTTGTCCCTTTATGGCGTCGTTCGGACCCCATCACCGTCGTCGGCAGCTGTACTGACATTGACATAGTGTTACAGCTTCAACTTGAATGTGATGAGGACGACAGGATGAGGTTTAACAATGCAGCAGTGTGTTCAATGGGTGAGCGACAACAGGACGAACCTTTGGATTTCCTAACGTCCATTCGTCGCGGTCTAGACGAACTCGTAGCTGATGTGTCAGAGGATGAGGATGAGAGCGACGAGGATGGCGAATATTATCAGGCAAGCAAGGAGAATACGTACTACAGTCCAGGCCAAAAGTTATCGTGTAGCTATCAATTGGACGATGTACTGGACTTTTCGAACACGTCGACAGCTTCTTCGTCGTTGTTTACACCGTGGGCTCAACAAGAGTCCGATGATGAGACAGACGAACTCATTTTTCAACTCGAGTTGTGAAAAACCACACGTACCTGTAGTCTAGATGTCCTAACCGTATATTTATTTGATATTGATTGAAAAAACGAATAGAAAAAAGTCTTTGCGGGCCTTTTGTGTCATGGGGGAGAGATATTGCATAACAAACACAGACATGGAACAGATGTGGTTTGTAGGATTCTTATGCTATCCAATGAAATATTCCTGCCACTGCGTCTTCAAAAGCAGATGAAGAACAATGACAGTACTCATAGCAAAAGGTCAGCGACATTCAACATGATTACTCTATAATTCTACCACCACAAGCTCCACGCAAACTACATCTCAATCTTACTCATGTGAAGATTACCTTTGATCTACTTTACATGAAGCAATTGGAAATACGCGATGCATGACGTTTTGACACGCACTCACGCATTTGTCGTACATTTTGTTGATTCAGAATTCATCGACTTCGACTCTATCTACATGCGAACATGCGTGCTAGAGAGATCCAACTGGACTTCACTAATGCTTGAGATCGACTCAAAGTTACGCGTGGCAGTGCTAGATTCGCTATTCTTCTGATCGCTACTGCTAGCTCGAAGAAAATCGTCACTTTCATGCAGCACATCTCCTTCCTGGATCATGGGGTCACCCGTAGTGTCGTGATTGTTGTCTTTCGTACCGATTTCACTAAAGGTGAATGACACAAAGGAAGTATTCACACTAGCGGAACGTGAACCGTTATCCAACATTGTATCAAATTTATCGTCGTAAATCGAGTAATGACGACGCAGTCCTTGGATCAGATGATCGGCACTATGTTTGAAACTCATGCCGTTGCCCATAAAGTGAAACACCTCATTGCGAGCAAGCGAGTAGCGCTTGTCAAGACCAGGCTCCAAATCATTCAAGGCAATAGGAAAAATTGATCGGCCCTTGTCCTCTGCAAATGCCAACTGATCCCGTACCAACTCACTGCCGATTGTCTGCTTTGACAAAATGACCAGAAAACAAGTGCAACGTAGAATAGCCTCCCGCGTAGCTTGAATACGGTCCTCAAAGCCTTGACCCTCCACATTACGGTCACCATAGCACGTGACACCAGCATTTGTGAGTTCAGAGTATAGCCGCTGCACAAAACCTGCGTGCTTGTCTCCATGCGAAAGAAAGACAAATTGATTGTGTGCGCTCATCGCCTCTGGATTCCATTTCGCAAAAAGTTGAGAAAAACCGTCACCGGAAGCCGCTAACATTGTTCCAACCGAAGTCTTCTTCAGTTCATTGTCACGGCTACTACTCGCAATATTCTTCAGTTGAACAGCTTTACGGTTCTTTTCAATCTCATCGCGCACTCCATCAAGCAATAACCGAAACTGCGACTTGAACTTAGTCTCGTCGTAGTCATACTCAATCTGCCGCGTATTCGTACTATTACGCCTAGTCTGGGTGATAGCAGGTTCAAACGGAATAAGCTGGCGAGTATACAAATACACCTGCAAATCCTCACCAATGCTCACACCCTCAGTAGATACTGCCAATATGGGAGTGCCGACTTGTTTCGCCAGTGCCAATTCTTTCAGGCACCACTCAGATTGTGCGTAGTCCTCAGTGAGAAGACACAACACCACAGCAGCATTTGTAATACCCCGTGCAATCTCCTCACGCCAAACAGACCCACCACCGATACCACTTGGATCCATCAAGTCCAGCCACGTTGTCACATTTGCGTCTTCAAGATTCTTGCGAATTTTTTTGGCAAACTCAGCGTGCGAGTGCGTGTAGCTAATCATCACATCTCGCTGTCCAGCAGCTCGCTTTATTTCAAATAGCAATCGTGTGGACGTTGTGCAGTCTAGCGGCCGTAAACCCTCCATATTCATCTTCATGAGGTTGCCACCATTTGCCAGAATCGCAAGCGCCGACTGCTCATTATTCTCCCTCACAGCAACATGCAATGCTGTGTCACCTGTGGGAGGTAACTGATAATTAATATCGGCACCTGCAGACGTAAGAATGCCAAAGAGCTCGCGTGTTGCATCAAGACCAACCGCAGCACACATTAACGGAGTCATGAAGTCCAAGTCTACCAATTTAGGATCGGCCCCACCTTCAAGAAGTGAGCGCACCACATCAGTTTTGTTGAGCCGTGCCGCCCAATGCAGCGGTGAACGTCCACGAGCATCCTGAAAATTTGGATCAGCACCAGCATCTAGTAATAGGTCTACCGCCTCCAGCGCACCATTCACAGCTGCCCAGTGCAAAGGAGTTCGTCGATTGAGACCAACATAGCCCATTTCACCGAGACAATCGACATCCGTCTTTTTCCGCAAGTATTTCCGCACGGCTGCCACATCATTTCGACCAGCAGCCAAGTGAAATGGAGTAAGTGCCACATCGCCACCCCATTCTTCTAGTTCTTGTACTACGGCGTAATTGCCTCGTAGGTACGCAAGTTGCAAAGCTGTCAACGTGTTCACAAATCCTGGGTCCGGAACAACTAAAGGGTCAGCACCATGCACAAGCAGTTCACGAACAATATCAGGGTGCTCTGCCAGAAAAAGTGGTGGTACCCGATCCGAACGGTACGATGATTGTGCTAGAGTACAAGCTGATACTCCACGTGAAAGCAACCATCTTACTGTCTCTAGCTGACCCGTGGACACGGCACAATGCAACGGAGTTACTAGTGTTGTCCGAAATATTGACGCGGCCGATTCTTCATCGCTGCCTCTTCCATCGATTCCAGGGCGCACCACGAAAAAACGAGCAAAGTACCAGAAAAGGTCTCCAGTTGAGAACCGTACCCGGTTAAACTTATCCATCGACGTAACATCAAACCCCCGAGCCTCTAGCAGCTCCAATGCGCGAATATTACCATGGTAAGCTGCTACATGCACCGGATTCTTTCGAGACTGCGCAAAAAAACCGAATACAAGAGAAGCTGCAGCGTAGCTCTTGCGTGGGAATCCTTGCTTCTCGCTAGTCAAACCTGATGCTTCCGCGTAGTCCAAAATATCTCGCATTTCACGCAGATCACCCAAACGAGTTGCCTTGTAAAGCCGTTTTCGCACAACCGCTAAAGCCTTGTCGGACTGAGTCATAAGTTGATCAACACCTGGATCCATGACATGGTTGCGAACATCACCAGTCTGATCGCTCTCTTGGAATGCTCCCAAAAGCATTTTGACGTGCTCACGGAAGCGCGCAAAGTGCTGTAGCTCGGTAAAAATCCAAACAAAGCACACAACACTGACAAGACCAAATAGCTGCACTGCTAGCTTATTGCACTTGAAGACACCTCCCTTAAAAAACATGTAAAGGAAAAACATCACCACTATCGCTTGGAAAAGAACCAACATGACCGCAACTAACTCACAAAATTGAAACACCAATCGGCGCTTAATCTTCGTGAGACTAATATCACTCTCTACATCTTCATCTAGAGCCACCCCGCCATTTCCCCTTTCAATATCCGTCTTGTTCGTTGGTGTTCCCGAAACACCAGTAGCTGTAGTTGTAGCTGTAGTTGTAGGTTCATCTCGCTTAAAGGGTTCAAAGAGACGCCAGCCTGAACCTGGCAAAAACAACAAAATCACTGCCGGCAGAGTATGGTAAATCAACGCGGAAAATCCCACGACGTTTTCACAGCTCGAAGCTTGGAACGTGTATACCAAGCTAGGTGATTGAAGCATAAAGCCGTAATGATGTGGTCCAGAAGTTGTGTTCAATACGATCCAGCGAGGTTTGAAAAAGTAGTAAAACCATAATCCAGTAGCTAGTACACACGCTAAGGGTAATCCAGTGTGCAGTAAACGTCGAGCAAAAAAAGTATTGTGTCGAAAACGTGCATTGAGCCAGTAACGAGGCACATGAGGCATTTTTCCTCGTAATGGAACACTGGGGTAGACATTGTAAAAGGACTTTTTCTTGCTGGTAAACACGGTAGTAGGTAGACGTCTTCGTAATTGTCCAGTATGAGATGGACCCAATTGGTTAAATGACATGTGTGAACCAACACTCAAGCGTGGGACAATACTCGACGATGAACATGATTTTGCAGCTCCATGGCTCAGACGTGACGGAATCATGGGGATATGTTGAGCAGTATCCAATTGATCATCTTCTCGTGGTGCACCATGTCCATCAATAGCCATGGAAAATTGCTGAGTTTCATCAAATGTTGTTGTGGTTTTGACCTCGAATTCCGACATTCGAGGACATGAGGTCGTGAGCTTTTTGTCGTAAGGTGGGGTAGACATCCCTTTGTACATTCCCGTTCGACCTTGTTTTTCAATTACTTGTCTATCTATCCTACGTGGTCACTGTAATCAAGTAGTAAGAGTGTGGTATATTATTGAGGTAGGTGGGACAACTATCGATCTTGTCTCTAGATAAGGACTTGGAAGCAAATTCGAATCACGAAAGACACGTGTGATGGATGATAGATAATAAATACTACAGGGACCAAGAATAGCAGAATGAGTCTTTTCAAAAGACTTAATTTACCATAGGATTTAGTGCCCCCGACCCCTGGTGTCTGTCAGTGTATACATGCGGCTTTTGGTCTTTTTCTTTACCCTATTACAGACTTTTACAAATAGGGTCAAGAGGAAAGACTCAAAACAATAACGCTACAATGATAATATCAGGTTGTTTCAATGAAAACCAAGTGAACTTTACGTTTGATAAAGTATTCAGACAAGTAGCATAACGTAAGATCGATATTTTTAACGCTATTTCCTACTGTAAAATAGATCCGCCCCGTAACCCTTCTTTTCGTATCGCTCTAGTTATCAGACTAGCCAGTATTGCGTGCTTTTATTTTCCGCACGTCAGGTGCCACATGGCAGCAAGACATCCAATCAACGCATTAAACTCTAGCGTTTACTCGAATGTTTTGGACTTGACGGGTACTGCTAAACCAACGATCGGTTCGTAAACCTGTTACAAATGGAGGTTTGTTCGCAGAGCTTTTCAAGAAAACTACGAAATGAATTGAGCCTGGACTGAAAAATTGACGGCTAAGTTTTGACGACTACGTGTTGACGTGTACTGACGACTGATCCAATGGTATCAGATTCTACACATGAATTGCAGACCACAAACGCAAGAAGGCAACTTGATCCAATGGTATCGGATTCTACACACGAATTGCAGACCACAAACGCAAGAAGGCAACTTGTTGCCTCTTATTTTAGCTTGCAGGTTAGTGTCGTGATAGTTACATGATAAGAGGTAAAACCTTGGGCCAGCAGCTCACCGACTTTTGCATCAAGAACGTGCTAGATGCGACATCTTGCAAACTGACGAACGTGGGCACTAGAACATTTAGATTATAGTCGACAATTTGTAGCAGATTATGTGACTCGTGAGCTGTCGCTATCCGGTCTTTCTGCTACCAACTCACTGCTGCAAGATCGGGCAACCTTGATTTGACATGACGCGATGTATTGCTGTCGCTGGAAAGATCAAGGTCAGAAACTTAAGCGAGGCTGCAACGTATGCCCAAGTGAGGTCGTACGAAGTAAGAAAAAAATCGACAACAAAGCAATGCACGGTCGATCCTGCCACTGTAACGAGGTGTTTATGCCGGGGCTGATGCATTGCTCTTCGATACTGCGTTGTAGTGGCTGAATATGAGCCCTGTGCAGAGCAATCTCATGATCAAGTTCATTCTTGATCATAGAAGAACATGCGTCTACTCCCAGTACTTGCACTAGGCGGCAATCCACTAAGCAACACGGCCGTAGGACGTTGATACACGCTGCTGCCTATGCAGATAACAAAAAGGCGTCAGTTGATTATTCCTTAACGAGTGCAACCTTGACGCCTCCGCCACGGTTGACAGATCATTTGATCAAGAAAATTCACTCGAGCTATGATCGGCATATTGAGATTTCATACGCGCACAGTGACACGTCAACTGCTGCAAACAAGGAGCGCTTGAAACGACAACAACTTCACAGCTCGATATAATTTGTAAGACTTTATCATTGTCCCACATAGTCACCAACTCTGTAAACGCATGTCAGTGAGGCATGATAAAGCGTATTGGAGCTTGAATTAGGTGGATAACCACCCGGATGCCAAACGGCTGGTGCTTAGGAGAAGTAATGAAGACGAACACTTAATTGTATGCAGTAACGCTGGCGGAAGAGGTATCCCTTCCCTCCCGATGCAATGCTATGACATTGCGCTGTCGAATGGCTTTTTGTCGCGCATGGACAACCATGGATCGGTATAACATTCACACTGGATTACAGCGTTAAGTGAAGTGTAAAATGCAACGTACTTCTATATGCACACAATAAGCACACAATGCTGTGCACGTATTGTTAACACGGAACAGTGTAGTTGGTAGACTGATGACCAGCATTGGAACCGAACATCAAAACGGTCGCATTCGGAGTTGACGGCTTGACTTTAGATGACCGCCCAAACTGACTCCCTGTACGCCCATCCGAGGATTTGAAGTCACATATTAGATCGCCACACCGACATGATCCACCCCAAAAACGTTTACCAGCTTGGACATCATGTGCGATTAGATGTAGAAGCAAACACGGGTGTCAAAATTTACGCATGAGGTTAATACCAGCTTATTTGAACGGACACGGATAAGAACAGCTTTGCACAGCACTTACGATATCTTTGGAGCATCAGCGTTAGGGTCCATAGCTCCTTGCGCATAGCCCTTAGCGCTTGCTTTGCTGTAGCTGTTATCCTTCTAAGGGCCAGCTGGTTTCAACGAGACAACGGGGTCAATTTTTTGTTGGCCGATCCAGACCAGTGAGCTGAAAATTTTGAGTCTCGGCGGCATGCATTCTGGATTGACCAAAGAATCCTACAGGCTGGAATTCATGCCCTATTCAATGACAATGAATGCCTGTGAGCGCGCATATCATCTCTACAAAACCTTTTGATAACTAAGGACTGACATCTGGTCTTTGGTGGAGCCAGTGTCCTTTGACTGACCAGACGGCTAGGCTAGAATTTGCAGTGGTCCGATCTGGACACCGAGACTCTCCAATCGAGAGGCACGTCGCTTTGCTTGCAGTTACACACGAAGCGATAGCCACCCAAAATGGTTGATTTATTGCAATGAAGGACTTGGTAATCGACATCTGTGGCTACTCCACGCACTTTGGCTTTCCCAGCAGGCACTTTTGTCGTGTCGTGGTCCGTCCTCGCCCGACTCTGTCTTGCTTTACGATGACGCTTCTGACTGCTGTTGATTAAACGTAGCGTCGTGAGTGGCGACATCCGAGCGTGCTCGTGCGCTTTCTTACCCATGCGTTGCAATTTCGTTCAGTAAAAGTGTCCTTGTCGTGTAAAAAAGGCAGTGCTTGTATACGGCTTCTCAGTCTGTTACGTTGACGGTTGGGACTGTAAGAACTGTTTTGCTTGTGTCTTTATAGAGCTCCGAGCATAGCACATCATGGCATTGTATGTATCGTAATTGCCTTCGTTGTTGGAAATACCGCTGTTCCAATCACACAATTGACGTCATTGGCATCGTAGGCGTAGTACACGTTCGTGATTGCGATGACGCTTCAATCGTTTGACATTGAAGAAACGTTATGTCTCGATTCGCGTCGACGCTGTCCTTTACATACTGATAGCCGGCATCCACCTGGAAACCATCTGCACTAAGGTGTCAAGAGGCCGGTCTGTCAACCATACGAATTGGACACGACTTCTTGAAGCATGTGGATCGGACCTCTGTCCCTGCCTTTCCAGTTACTGCTTGCAAATGCTCGACGAGAAAGAGCCACTAGGCTGCGTGCTTTCTGGTCCGGAAACTAATAGCAAGCATGATACGGCTTTCGCATGCTCTACCTCATTATTCATTTGGTCGGCTAGTTGACACTCCACAGGTACAATGTCCACTTTCTCTACAGTTCGCTTGCCGCATATTTTGACGACCGAGTCGTTCCAGATGCACTCTCAGCAGTATCCATGCCAGGGTTTCGGTGGCATGCCGCATGCTGCCAACTACTCGACTTCAGCCATGATTCCGTCGCAGGAACGCATGGCACTGCCTCCACTCAATACCCTACCTTCACGCGCGTTTACATCTTCAAAGTGCTCAAAGAGTGTGGTATCCTCTCCAGCCGCGACGCTGTCGCACCAGCCTGCTCAATCACCATCAAAGAAGCGCGTGCGTGCACTGCCTAACGCGTCCAAGTGCATTACGCTGGACATGCTACGTCCTCTTTTTTGAGAAGCCGTTGGCGGAGGCGGCCAGTATTTTCGGCATCTGTATGACGCTAATGAAGAAGATTTGCCGTAAGAATGGCGTACCACGTTGGCCACACCGTCAGATCCGAGGTCTACGAAAGAGCATCTGGTCCATCGAGAAAGCTCTGCGTTGCTGCGAATCGGAAGCTCAACGCAATTCATACAACGATCACCTCCAGAAGCAGCGAATGAAGCTGATGACGATTCTCAAAGGTCCCACTTGCCCGAGCAGCAAAGCTGCTTTCGAGCTTGTACTGTCTGAACCGTGCTCTCCTATAAGTGAGCTGGCCACCCCTATTGCAGCCGAGAAGACTAGAGGTGTGCAGACTTCGCCAGTGGTCAACTTCTCTGCTGCCAGTCCAGTGTTTCTACTACCGACAGCGTACTCGCAAACGCCGCAGAACTTGTACTCAGCGCAGCAGTCCGAGACTAGTAACAAGTCACCGAAGCTGCCGGCGATTGCTTCGCTTTTGATAAAGAACGAGGAGCAGCGCACCATCTTCAGCTACAAGTTATAAGTATGGTGATTGTCTTTGTTTAGTCCAAGTCTAGTATGTGTGTCAATACAGTGAGTGTTTGTAGTATGCAATGTGTCTTGGGTGTTCATATTGTCGTTTGTGTTAGGTGGACAATGCCCATATACAGTATACCTTTTGTATGTTTCCGCTAAGCCCAAACTTGTTTTGAACATCTTTACTTCACGATGGCTACAGCACATATGTCCTCGCTGTTACTGCAACAGCTTTTCATATTTTGATATCATAATCATAGCATATGTGATTGCTGGATTCAAGCTAATGATCTGGTCCGTCGCGCAAAACCAACGTCCGACGTGCACGCAGTAAACCTGTTATAGACATGGAATAGCAGACAGGCTGGAGTCCTAGGAGACTGATCTCGATCAGCACGACCCTTCCGTTCCTAAAATTAAGTCACCATGTCGGGATCCGCCACGCAGCACGATACTTCTACGTCTGATGAACAGTAACAACACGGCTGCAAATCTGAGGGCCCTGCCACCGTCGATCGCTCAGCGCACTGACCAAGTTGCTGCTTCACAAGTGTGTGGCGCGTAGTATGTACTCCCTCTTTCAGAATCACCAAGCCGCGAGGTAAGTCCATGGACGGATCCAGAGACTGCATCAAACATACGGGAGAGCTTGACCCAGTGAGGCGGGTACTTGAACCTGGATACATCCATGAGCAGTACCATGTCTCTCTCAGCATGGTATCCTCCAATGGGTGAAAAGTGACCGTCACCAGTCTGTCCCAGTACTTGACGACTATAATTCAGCACTACAATCTCTGAGCTCGAGGCACAGCTACGCTTGACAAGATCCCTGACTTGCTCGAGTGAAAACTCACTTGTTGCTCGATAATCCTCAACCAAGACGCCATAGCAGCGTGAAAGACAGATAAATTCGGATAAATTAATGCCCTTCTCCTTGGCTACACCAAGTGACATGCAGCAATCAAATAGCTCTTCACTGAACCACCTCCACGGTCCTTTCCATAGACGACCAGGGTCAATCTGTAGAGCATTCAAGGACATGGTAAGAGTAGCTAAACCACAGAATGCTGGCTCCGTTTGTGTCGTAAACTGCTTTGCCAATGGAAAGTAAATCTGCATGTAATTCTTGCGACTATTGATAGCTTCCATGAAAAGCTTTTGCGTCCTTCTCGACTTGAGAAAGCGATACAGTCCTGGGGCAAACGACGACGATGAAAACTGCTCTGTACACTGCTAGTATTGATGGCTATGGATTTTCTCATTATTGCAGGTTGTTTCACTTCCTGTGGATCATGCTCAACCAATTCTAGTGCCTTAATCTCTTGCTTCTTCTTCTTCTCGCAGTCCATGTCCATTGATTGTATGCACCTTTTGTCCTCTTTTTGGCTTGAATTCATATTAGAAACGGCTTTATAAAGTGTACCCAGTAGAATGGGTTTAGAAATTATAACGTGGGTCAAGTTGCCTGACAGTAGTTGGACCCGTGCATGAAAACGGGTTGGGTGAAGTGGACCGCGGGTACGATGGTTGGGTTTGAGACCCGTATTGTCGCAGTTTGGACAGCCCTTGGCAATGTTGTTGTTGCGGCATTTAGATGCTGTCTGTCCTTGTGCAATAACATCTTCCATTGAGTTATCGGTGCATAACAGGTTGGTAACTCAAAACTCCGTGACCACATTGTCTGTTGGTTACGAGACTTTGTTGGATCTTTTCAACGTCAAATTAGCCTTGCGAACTCGAGACGATTCCAACTTTAAAAATTGTAGAGCTGTGCCTTGGAGTGAAAGAGATAGTAGTATCCTCCTACACACTTGGATTGAAGAGACAATAGCGTGTTTGTCAACACCTGCACCCTGCAAATAGTTAAATACAAAGAGGAGAGTTGTTGCTACTCTTACGTTGATTAATAAATAGACTGTCGTCACTAATCGCGAGATCAATTCAGAAATGCCCAATTGTTTTGATCCGAAGATGGTACATGTTACCGTATGTAAGCTGATCCTGAACAGGAAGCTTAGTTGATAATATGTGCGTAAAAGTAGCGATTTGTTAGTATGCGTGACGCATATTTGGTGTGGCGTGAAAAGAATGATTTGAACATTGCGTGAACCGATCAAAGCTTTCCAGTGGACAGAGCCACGCGCGTCAGACAAGTACAATGGATATTGGAGAGCAAAACATGCTCAACTCAGACGGCTATATGTCTGCCCATGACATGTCACCGCATGTATGATCCAAACTATAAGAGTGTTCATCCGATTCAGACCAGAGGCTACCAAATAATATTGTCGTTCAAATCATCCACAGACCAGGACATTTCTCACTCGACGGATGTGACGAGTGTGGCCTGCGCCTCGAGCATTTGTCGCCAGTGGATCGCTAAGATGAGCACATCTTTATTTAAGGCGTGTAAAACCCTATGAAGAAAGCGCGTATCACTTTCTTGCACAACTACGGCGTCGCTGGTGTGAATTCTTATGTCGAAACAGAGCTCGTGTAGGTAAACATTAGACGCTTGTATCAACGATTGGGACCTGTCTATCTAAGGTCGGTCCACTCAGGTATGACCAGTATCCTATTGCAGTTGAAGCAGCAGTTTATCCGTTGTTGTAGTCATTGACGAAAGGATAGACGCAACAGCAGAGTATTCGAGGTGCGTCAATACTACCAAGAAATTGATTCTCCATCCAATTCTGGTTCCAAATTAGAATTAGACTTGATATTTGTAAGGTCACTTCACAGAAGCGACACGAATGGAGAAGGAGTCTGAACCAACCGTCACTAAATTCGCGTGCAAGAAATGTCGTTGCGTCTTGTTCCAAAGTACCGATCTGATGCCGCATGAACCCGAGCGACACCAAATTGCAACGTATAAACGACTCAAGGATCTTAAGCACCACTTTGGTGGTCATGTCGAATGCTCTTCGTATTTCCTGGATGAGACACTGTCCTGGATGGACGAGGCCCTCCTAGCCAAAGGCAAGATTCGTTGCCCCACAGCCAAGTGCCAGTCGCGTCTCGGTGGGTTGCAATGGTCAGGCTCTCAGTGCTCATGTGGCACGTGGGTCACACCAAGCATCAAAATCACCAAGAGCAGAGTGGACACTGTCGTCAAGCAAACCAACTTGAATATCGTCACGGGTGTCATGCTGCCGAATGCCGTGGAGGTTAACGGAGCGGAGATGACTTCGACAGGTGGTTAAGTAGGTACAATGTGATTTGACTCGTCTGCTCACGACTGGTTCATTGCTGCATGCGGTCACATTCCAAAGCACTAAATGCCTTCGGCTTGCAGGGTGTATAGGAGTTTAGCCTTAGTGTACGTGACATTGAGAAAGAGGTTGAGCTAAGAATGAAAAAGAAGTAGAGCTAACAACAACATTCATTCGATGTCCATTCAGTTGTCTCTTGATTCAATAAATGACCTTGCCTTCGTGCCAAATTATTGCACACGAGAGTTGACAACAAGTCGCTGCAAGGTTTGCATCAAGTCAGGGAGATAGCTAGAGCAGATTGAATTGTCTGAGTCATTCCAGCGCTTACGTCTGTGGAGGCCATACTCCAAAAAGTCATTATACAACTTATCAAAGTGCTCAAACCGACTTATGATATAACAAGTTGCTCTCGCTGTTTAGCGCGTTCAATCTTCAGCCTCTATAGCTGACGTATGGAGAATATCAGTCCTAATGATCGACTCCGGCAGCGGTATCTCCAGGTATTCCACAGCATTGACACGGCATTGTTTCAGCAGACCATGGTCTTCGAGACACTTTACGGAATTCTTCATTGCCAATGGCGTAGAATGTAGAAGTTTCTTGCGACAGGCTTCATAGACCGATTGGTAAGGTGCAAGCTTGTCTTGGCGTTTTTGACCGCGTTTCTTTGATGTAACCGAAGCTGCAAGCTGCTGGTGCGCAAGCTCTTGCAGTGTAGCTACATCTGTTGGGGTAAGACTTTGAAGAATAAACTTGACTCCATTACTTGAAGCATCTGCTCTCTTTGTCCGCGTTGTCAACCTTAGTTCAATCTCGTCCGTATACGGCTCAAAGGTGTCAACATTTTGACAAAGCCACTCAAAGCGAAGCGAATCTTCCTCTTTCCAAATGGAAGGACCATTAATGTGGTCCATGGACGCGATAACAGCAATAAATGGTGCTTTTGCTAGCCAGCTCAAGCACGTTTGGGCCTCGGGATTCCGGAGTGCAAGGCCGTCAATTGAATGCACAAGCAAGTAGATCTGAATCGTGTGTTTTGTTGATAATTTTGTCTTGGCAATGTCTCGGCACTAAAATGGTATTGCCACAACACAATCAAGATGAGCGGACACACATTCGGATACACCCACAAACTACATATATCGAGCGTCGTCATGAAAACCTGATGAACAAGTGACTGGTTGGGCTTTACTTCAGTTTGTAAGATCTAAACCACCAGCAAATCATGTCAAACAACATCACATCAAATTCGTATCACAAAAGAGTGAGATCCTACAGCTCAAGCCCAACTTTACCTTTTCTTGAATTGTCTCGGTCATATATTTCAACGAGACAACAGGTAAATACCCATGTACCTGTATCACGACACTATCGTTCAGAAAAATGGATGCAAATTTCTAGGACATACACACAAACAAACAACAAACACACGAAAGAACAAGCAATGTATCAGGGTGTGTGATTTGCGTTGTTTCCTCATAAAAGAGAGCACTAAGACGTACTTGTAGTAATGTTAATTTCGAGCCTAAACCATAGAAGAGTAAATTGTAACCAGCTAGCAGTTCACTCTTCCAAGCAGGAAAATACGTATCATAGCATTGATTCTTCTGTCTTTCTCCTACATGTTTATTATCTACAATTCGTAGATCATCTAGTACTTGTTTACGTGTTGGAAACTCTAGTCGTTGATGTGCTTCATTATCATTATGTTGTGTCTCATTCTCATATTGTTTGATATCGTCATGGTTTGAACAAGGATTCCATGGTTCATTTCGACCATTGGAAGTAGCGTGCGGGTGTTTATTATTATGTGCAGCATACGGTTTCTTCTTCCTACGACATGCACGTTGATGTATCTGTTTTGAAGTAAAATAAGCATTTGCACTAGATGTACCCAACTCGATATTATTACGTGGCTCGAGTTCACGTTGTCGAAAGCGTTCGCGGAGACCATTGGAAGTCATGGGAATGTCATTATGACGCGGGAATCGAATGACTCATTGGCCACTACATTAAGTTGCTGTATCGGCTATTTGAAAAGACAATATCTTTTATTGGTTACTGGGACACAATATATATTGTTGCGAATATATTTTTTATTACTTGCAATTGATATTGTCTGACTCTAACAACCCAGGAGATTGTGATGCTGTGCTGATTTTAGTTGTCAAGTACTGGGGATAGACTGGCGACGGTCACTTTTTCGCCCATTGGACGCAACTGAGAGAGAAACATGGTACTGCTCATGGATGTAGCCAGGTTCAAGTACTCGCTGCAATGGGTGAAACTCTCCCGAATGTTTGATGCTATGCAGTCTCTGGAATTGTCCATGGACTTTTGTCACGGTTTGTGACTCTGAAAGCGGAAGTACATGCTACGTGACACACACCTGCCAAGCAACAGCTTGTCCAATATGATGAGCGAGTGACGGTGCTAGTGACCTCAGATTCGCAGCCGTGCTGCTACTGCTGTCTGCGACATGGCGACGTATTTCTTAAAGCGGGGAATGCGGCGATCACATGTTATGATTTTTGACTGATGCGGCTGTGATGATGACAATCGAAAACTAGCAGTTCAATAGTCGCAATTATAACAACTATGTGTATTTAAAGTTGCAAAGTTTCACTGTTATATCTATTCAAACTTACTTCATGTATATGTACATCGTCGGCTCACTTGGGCAACACGCGCCACAACTTACAGCACTATCGTTTCTCCTCGCTCCTTCTCTGTGGCCGGCGGCGTTTCATGAATTTGACAGTGAAGACCACGCCGAACAGCTCGCGAACAATTCGGATAATCACATCGCTTACCACCACCGTGTGAGATACAAAAGCCGTTGCCACGGTCCTTCTTTTCACAAGTGCCGTATTGGCACTTGCGGATGCCACCATGGACATAACACCGACCTTTGCGTTGTTGTCCACGCGTGCAGCCCGGGAACTCGCAGCGTTTACCACCTCCATGAGCTCGACAAAAGCCACCACCTTGACTACTCCGGGTGCAGCCACCAGGTCCTGCATACTGACACCTAGCACCACCTCCATGAGCCTTACATCGACTATTAGACTGAGCACGTCGTGTACAGCCAATCTCGACACACTTTTTCCCCTTGGTAGATTTGTCCGTAGCTTTAGGTGTGTTGTTACTCAGCTGACCAACAGGCGACGTCATTCGAGCTGTCTTAGCTCTCGAGTACTCCGTGTCGTGTTGACGATGATACGTTCGCGCTCGCTTTTGTCGAGACGACGTCGGCGATCCAAAGTCAGCAGACACAATGAGTTCCTTCAATGCTTTATCAGTCAAAGAAGCCGGTGGCGAGATTGTCAAGGATAATGGAGAACGTTCCACTGGCATTTTCATACCATCAAGTGAGTGTTTCATCATGTTACGCTCTCCAGAAATCGATACATCAAGTGAAGAATTTCTTGACGTTGAAATCCAAAGTTCAGGAGATGACGGATGGTGAGAGCTTAACATCACGGAATGATGAAACATGTCGACAGATCCAGGACTTGGTTGTTGAGGTATCATACCAACTCCAGCCATTGTCATCATGTGTTTCATCGTATGTACTCGCTGGTAATTGACATTACTAGACGTTGACACATTATGCGTGTGTTCTTCTTGTATCCACGAGTGAGGAGAAGTTGGTGGAAAGTTGGAATACTCACCCGTTCCAAAATATACGGGAGCATTTGAGCCAAGAGGATACACTGACATTATGTTAGTGTTGCTGCTATCAACAGCAAAACCATTCATGGTATGACTAGCGGCTGATGCTGATGCTGCTGTGGCTGATGATGACAAGATTCCACTCCTCGTAGGAGCCCCGGCATTTCGAAACGATTGTTGAAAGGTCGTTGAGTCGTTATATATCGTGTCCTTTAGACAGTGATGATCATCATGTCCTCGAGGTAATTCTAATGGCTCCAAGAGCAATGGATTTGTACTTAAATGAGGTCTGGCCCCACCTTCGTGTTCTTTTTTCAAGCTCTTGTTGTTGCTATTATTGCTGCTGCTGTTGTTATTGTTGTTGTTGTTGGTCGTGGTATGATGTCCATGGTGAAAATCAGCAAAATCTTGATCATTGAGCATTTGATTAAACATATCGTCTTCATTCAGACGTACAAACAAAGGCGGATCGTCGGAAATTGATGGCTGGAAAGGCGTCTGGAGGTGTGCGAGTGCAATCCCGCCACCCAATAGTGAATTAGGAGGTGGTGGCACAGGACTGTTACTACTTCCAAAAGGTGTACTACGCTCTCCCATACGTGTCTTGACTCTCCCACAAGACGACAATGACGACAACGATGCTGCTGCTGCTGCTGACGACGATGATGATGATGGATAAAGACTCGTTGTCGTAAAAGTTGATCGCATCTCGGGTGAAAAGAGCGATTCTACAAATGCGACCTCATCCATCGTATTGAAAGTAAAAAAAATCCTGAAAGAAGGAGCAAGGGATGGACAGTAGTAATAGTAGTAGTAGTAGTAGTAGCAGCAGCGGTTTCCTGTTGAACTTACTTCTTAGCGATGAAAAATGTTGAGCTACATGGAATGGATGGTGGTTATCTTAGTATTAGTATAGAAAGAACGATAAGAAAAAAGGAACCAATTTTGCTCACGCACCTGATTTTTTCGTTTGCAGGTACAGACAGACAGACACGACAAGAAGTCCACCTCTTTTTTTCTAGACGTGTTTTGTATGTGGGAGAGAGAGAGAGAGAAAAGAGTAAGAGAGAAAGAAAGAAAGATGAAATAGACGACGTAGTCAATAGGTCTTGTTTCTTCTTTGCTCTTGTTTACAAAGCAGAAAGCTCTGGTTGTCAATTTAGATGATGACTTTGTGTTGTTTCCGTGGATGAACGAAGTATGGGTCTGTCAAGGGTCAAAAAGTGCAGGACGCTGAACTCTACTCTTCTTTTCACACCCTCCCCATTCCCCTTTGTTCGACGAGCAAAGAAAGCTGGCGCAACTGGTTCAAACCATCTGGCCCAAGCACATGGCTTAGAAGCTTTTAATAAATTCCAGGCTGAGGAGGAGCTTGAAAAGCACATGGTATACATTCATCATGGCAATGGAATTGGTTTCATGACTGGTCTTCCTCATCAAAAACAGACTCGAGGGTCAAAACTTCGAATCATGAGCAAGAAATCATTTGCTTGCGACTCTTCACAGAAGGCAACAAGCAATAAGTGACCGTAAATGTGGTTCTATGTCATCAAAAAGAGGTGCAGCTTACTGTTTGAGTTGACACGTGAATGCTCTCATCTAAAGCACTGGCTTCCTTTTATCATGATGGCTTCATTTGCGTTAGCATTGAAGTCATGAGTCATCGTTGGTTGCCAGAAGTTCAGTATGTGACGACCAGCTGTGTCCTTGTTTGTGCTTGCTTACCAGACACCCTAAATTGCATGGAAGGACCTTGACCATTTTGATCGATAGGCTTCGGGAAGTTGCAGTTTCGTTCTGACCCCTTGAACAAGTTTACGCCTTTCGCGTCTGCAGTCCCTTGTCAGTTACTATAAACAAAGATAAATGAGAGCCCTTCGAACATGTCAAATACGTGTACTTCTAGCCATCTTTCTAGCGTAGGACGATATACACTAGAGATAAACAATTTCACTGTGTCCTTGCCACATGGCGCAAATTGAAGATAGCCTTTCAGCATGTCGAACGCATGGAAGAAGTTAGAATCATCTTGATAAGGCTGTCAACATGTCTACTAATATATGAGGAAAGAAATACAGATTTAACGTGAGATCTATTCGTCGCTATTATCGCATTACGCACCGTGTTTAGAAGAAAAGTGCGACGTCGGCAATCCTTTAAACCCAAGAAACAGAGGATATTCCTAAATGTACACTGCCGTGCTAATGAGCCAGTGCTGGAAGCCTTTTTAATACGACTCGGCGTCTTGTATTGTGGCCAATGTCGGCCTTTCCAGACAGGTCTGCCCATCAGAGTGGACCGAACGCACTGTGCACTGCGGCTTTTGTTTGAAAAGGTTTTTTTACGACACCATGTCCTGCAATCAAAGATGTAGTGTAAAGTTTAGACTGGACTTGTTAAGACGTCTATCCCTAAGTTGAAGAGAGGACGTAGAAACTTGATGGCATTAGTCACCCGTAGCAGCAAGTTTTTCTCGGCGATATAAGTCATGTCTTTATTAACGGGAACCATGAACTTCAGTCCATTTAAAAATAAGTTCTGTTTCTGTTGTTGTTGTCAAATATTATATACTCCTATGTTTTTTTTCTCCGTATCAGTAGTACATGTAACGCGTCGAAATGACTGCTTACGACTTGGCCCCAGCTTTTCGTGCATTCGTAAATTGAAGAAAGACACATCTGTCGGGTTTTTCTTGTTTTTTAGGACCCAACGTGCAACGCATTTGCGTATGCAAGTCGTCAGTATCTTCGTTCACAGACCGACGAGCTTTGCTGCTGGAGTTTTATATGATCGATGACGTTTGGCCACGTAACCAACTAGTTTTGCAAACGATATGCTAAATCTTGCTATTGTTAGTTAAATGCCATTTCCAGATCTTTTTGGAGACTTCAAGTGCAAAACATCTCAGTTCTTATTTGCTGAACACATGATGACATCTGGTGGATAGCATAGCGTTTCATTATTGTACAACTGCATGCTGCAAACTCCATGACTTCCATGTCCTTCGACGAAATGCATCGAGCTCATATATATGCTCTTCATTTCTATCTATTTATATAATACTTTACCAACCGTATAAAAATGACATTGACTGCTCCTGTCTTGACCATCTTGTAGCTTAGTAAAACTTGTGTGAGCCTTTCCGATGCACTTTATGTGCTAGCAAAGCTGTGAGTAACGATGGAAATACAACTCCCAGCAAATAACCGTCAACCATTGACTCAAGGATTTGAAGTTTGCATGTCACGCCGTTTACAAAAAAAGTTTCACCACTTGCCAGCGGCAGTCAATAACCTATACGGTTGATGCATCTACTGTAGTCTCGTCGTACAAATGGCGATGTGCACGTCTCTACGCTGGACTTACCATGACTTACCCAGTTCGCTACTGTTTACAAGTCGCACATTCATTGTAAGTCCCTAAACGACGATCTTAACTGAGATCGTGAATACATATGTAGCTTTGGTTCTTCCACAGCATATTCTAGCTACCACTTTCGTGCGCTTCGTTATTCGTTAACAAAGAAAGATCCGACTATCCTCATACTTGCTTTAGCTTAGTGAGTCGTTGTAAGAAGCTATGAATTTGCCGCGGCCTTCCACATCCATACATCTCGTGATTTCTTATAATATATGAAACCGGTGTCAGGGATAAGAGCAATTGGCGCGTGGACGGCCCCCCCCTTGCGTCTGACCCTCCTTTTCATACCGCTTCCACTTTGCATCAAGTTTGAATGCCTGAGAATTGCGTCTTGTGCTAATTTTCTGACATATAAAACGCATCACTTGAAAATCCCAGCACATTTTCATACAAAAAGCAAGATATTTTTGGCCATAGTGCGTCTTACGACAAAACAATCCCACAACAACAATTTACAAACAAAAAACACTAATGCTAACTACCTCTGCCGTCTGCCCGAAAGACAAGTTGCCAGTTCGAAACTCAACGGATCAGCCAGCCAGCCGACGTCTTGTTGTAGGTACTATACTCGGCGGATGTACAGCTCCTGGCTCACATGGTGCCATAAAGCAGGTGCGTTTGTCTCCACGTGGCAAAGAGTCTCGTTTGGTCATTAGTAAATTTCCTATTCAAAAGGAACAAGTTTAAAGTCTCGTCATCTGCTGGTGGCAACACGATCACTCTCTTTGAGTCTCGTCCACGTCCATCTCCTCTTCCCACCCTCAAACCTCTTTGGGGGTCATACAGACAGCCGACAGACAGCCGACAGACAGCCGACAGACAGTCAGTCACTCACTTGGACCATTTCCAAATCCGGCGAGCGCTTAGCACGACAGATTATCAAAGTACCTCACGTTTTGCTTTTATTAGCATTCGTACTTCCACATCTCTTCAGCTCCCCCCATAGAATGTTCGACCCTCGTTTGTGCACGCCTGCCTCTCCCGTTGATTCCGCTATGTTCCCACCCGTGTACAACCGTTCATCTTCTTCGTCGTCGACGGCCTCCATGTCTTCAGACACTCCACTTACTACTGTCAATACGAATGGAGCTAAATCACCTATCGTCATTTTTAAAGATGAACTCGAGCCGTTTGAGTTTCAAGCACGTCCTAATTTGGTCCCGACGCCTCGGTCCCAGGCTGCCACGTCCCTCGGTTCCGTCTTTGGAGATCAAGATCTGATCGATGCTATCATGTGCAGTCTTAATACGGAGCAACATACCAATTCAAACGTCAACAATCTTCATGTCTCCACCATCCCCGCGTTTAGCACAGGCATGTCCATGCCTAGACAAGTTCAGCATATTCAGGTTCTGCAGCCACAGTCGTTCACTGCATTAATGCAGCAGCGGCCGATCAATGTCCCAATGGCTGACGGTCGGATGAAATCGACCATGGTTGGTCCATGTCTTCGAAAGCCAGGTACTTTTCTCAATAAAGATGGTCGATGGATTAAGGGCAAACCTTGCCGAATGGAAGGCTGTGACAAGCGCGCACAATCAAACGGGCTATGCAAGGGCCATGGAGGTGGTGCTCGATGCAGCTTTATGGGTTGCAGCAAGTCGTCGCAGGGCGGGGGGTTTCTGCCGTGCACATGGCGGAGGCAAGCGGTGTATGCACGAAGGATGTGAAAAGGGCACCCAACGCAACGGTTTCTGCTACCTACATGGTGGTGTCCGGTCCTGCAGCGTGGAAGGTTGCGATAAGAAGGACCGAGGTAATGGCAAGTGCTTTTCACACGGAGGAGGACGCAAATGCCAAGCACATATGTGCTTCAACATGATCCGACGGGGTGCCTTTTGTGACTTGCACAATGGCAAACATGGCCAGTCATAAGAGAGAAAAAAGAGGGCAACAAACTTCAAGGAGAGCACGCCACGTACAGACACTTAAGTTAAGAGCCAAGAGATTGTTCAGAAAGCCATGGCGAGATCGTGATCATATAACGCCATTTTCATTTCAATATACATATCAACGGTGTCGAAGGTAATGCCGCATACTTTCGTTCATTTACAGCGTCATCTTAACTATATCCTGTAACGTGAGGTAGCGTGATCTCGTCGCGCGGGACCAGGTGAGCTGAAAATCTTATCGGACAAGAAAAATTCACACATAAAGCGATGTCGAGCATGGGTGGCATAACAGCACATTCAATCGATTGGGTGCAAGCATACGAAATGCCGTTCTGCAAGATCTGCCTAAGCAATTGACAAGACCAGATGGTGTATATGTGAAGCAAAGTGTATCTGTGACAGTGCAACGTAATTTCTTTACCTTAGATAAATTATGTGAATGCAAGACTATGTTAACAAATGATTTCTCATGTCTTTGAAAAGAGTAGTAAGCTGATACTTGGTGACGACAGTCGTTGCGACTTGTAAGCTCTTTCTCCGACCGAGTAAAGTCGTAGCAAACGTTGCAGTCTCAACATGAATCGTTTTTGAACACCGTGATTGTTATCATAGCTTCGTTATAGCTACGACCTTTACAGATAAATCGACGCAAAGTCGATATTGCAAATTCCAGGCGTCAATTGTATACAAGCAAAGTACAAGACTTTGGCGGAAGTAGCAGCGGGATGTGCTAAGACCAGCGCTCGCCCACTCCGCTTGTCTACTCTTTTTGACTCCGTTCAACTCTGGTTCAAGAAAACAAAGTATTGTCGCCTCAGCCGGTCGGTTGTTCCAAAGAGTTGATTTCAAAGCGTATTGATCTTTCGCCTCAGCTGGTCGGTTACGCTGTTGCTTTTTTGCAGAGGATCGTCACCTCAAGGCAACGACGCGTTCGTCATGAAGCCGGACGGACATGTCACGGGATTGGGAGAACGAGGCCTGTCCTTATTTCATTGATCACCTGTCCTCGGACGACGACGCTGCACCGCGGGCATGTGCAATGCTTTGCATCACTGGGCGTGTGTCATGATTCACCAATCAAGCGGATGGTACAGTGGATGCTCCATCACGCAAAGTCGAGCGCAATGCCGTCAAAAAAACATCAGTTGAATGCAACGTGATACGTTCAAGGCTGCGCTAAGGCATATCTGTCTCATCAGTAATCATGATCGCGGTCGTCAGAATTGCCTTTTCGATTGGTCGTTTGCGGCGTTATATGACTCGGCCCTAATCTTGTCGCGCGTGATACGACTCGGCCCTGATCTTGTCGCGCGTGATGCGACTCGGCCCTATCTTGTCGCACATGATGCGGCCGTATGTCGCCAGCAAGCCTTCCCTCCTGTCTGATCGACCATTTGAACAAACAACAGTTATATCAAGCAGAGATGCCTCCATTTGACTCAGCCGGCTCCGACAGTGTGGGTCAGGTCTTTGCAACATGAATGGTTTGAGCTATCTCACGCAAGACAGAATGACTTGCAACGCATTTGCACATGGAATTAAAGTCAGCCGCGTGCTGCATCGTGCTATTTTTGTCATTCAGCTGCTGATTTTGCACAGTCTGCGATGCATATTTAAGCAATCTGTCATGGATTTAGCACAATCATGTCGCGCAGAATGGATAGATTGCTCGACCATATCGCTGGAAATGGAAATTAACGTTGTCACTGAGGATGCACAGAATTGTCTTTCACACCACCAACATTGTTGGACTTGCAACAATAAAGCAAAGCCTTTTATGGTTGGTTCGATCGCGTACAAGCTTAGCTATTTACCATCGAACATGATGCTATGTGAATCGCACAGATCAGTATGCGAAATTGCGTTGCGCATGAGCACGTTTCATCGATTGAAGTGGTCATGCCTTCTTCAGTCACAAATGGATATCAGATTATTCTGAGCAATAGCATACCAACTCGACCCCTCGTTCATGCTCAGACTATCTACTTCGCGCCGCGAACTAGGCAACTCAATCGCAACATGGCAGAATGTAGCCGACTTCTTGCGTAACATTGTTGTTGTTAGCATTGTTTGCAGCTCGCAACATCCCAGTATCAAAACTTACGGCCGGATCTGAGGCCAAACGTGACAACGAAACAAAAAGAAGAAAGAAGACTTTGGTCAGCCAAACTCCAAGAAAAAGACAAATGGTCATCGATCTTAGTTCAAAAGCGCTGAGCTGCAAGAAGCTAACAGTATAATCAAGGTTACAACAACTTGCGAATCGAGATTTTGTCTTCAACTTGCTTCAAATTGGTCAAAGATCCAGCATCTCATGGAATATGGAAGACGATGTCATCATTGACGTCGTGCCTGGGCGTCTCTCTAGCCACCTCAGCCTGCTTCTTATCAAACTGCGGCATCCGAGGCTAGCGGCCTGATGGCTTGGTCGCGTACCGCCTTACAAGCAGAAGTTCTTTTAACTGCTTCAGGGGACTGGACGCTTCGCATTGTAGACTCAAGCTAATAATGCCAAACCAACAAGTTCTCCAACTGAGTATCTGTCGCCGTGTAGACCTGAAGGATCATTCATCATGGCAAGCATTGTCATACAGCGCAGTGATATCGCCTACAAGACATCACGCACTCAACTAAACACAGTTCTTGCACAGTGCATCCATCTAATCCACCTCTGACGAACCTAGAGCAACTACCCTACTCATGCAAGCCAGTACTCTCCAATATCCTACATGTATCACTGGGGCTTTTGCAGACCATTCAACGTGCAGCTCCACGCTTATTTCACCGATCAACGTTTGCGTCAACCATTGAAGCAAAAGACCAAGTATATATGTTTCCAGAAAACCCTGTATATTCAGTCAAAGCTCATGTTCAGCACGCTACGCCTCGATCTGTACGCGCCCGACCCTCGAGCTCACAACATCCGATCAAACTATTCCATGGAACGCTACGAGAATTGTTACGTCGCATTCACTTCGTCTACTTATGTGCAATGTTTTTCGTGCAAATTGAAAATGTTCACTGGCTTTTGACGTCCACAAGATTGAACACTAGAGTAGACAAAATGCATGTATTCCTTTCGTGCCGATACATTTGAATCTATAGATTGAAATAAACTTGGTCCAAGTTCAATCTAAGATCAGTTCATTACGATTGCTCCTTTCCAAAAACGGCATCTAAAAATATAAATCTTTCTGTGACTGCTCTTTCGTTAGGTCTCATTTTTTTTCCTGGAAATAACTTTTACTTGACCGTTGACGTGCTGCGCATTGTAAAGATTGCAGATTCCTCAGAGTTAAAGCTGCCTGTAAAAAAATTGGAGCCTTCGAAAGTTACATTCATCTAGGGACACGCACAACAAATCGTAGGATCCGACGCAACACGAAGTGCCACGGTTGGTTCACGTTTGTAGTCGAGACCAAAGGTGCATTGGTCTTCATGTACAGGTCCTAATATCTCAAGGACAACGTTTCTTAAATCATCTGTTACTTTCTCTCTCACTCTAATTGCAACGTCCTGCGCACCGACGCAAAAAATGAGATAAAGCTTTGAAAGACCACACAGTGTGTTTGTGCTGTAGATTTTTTCGCTTTTAACAGCCACGTTTATACTTTGTGGTGTGCACAAGTGCATATTTGACTACAAAAAAGAAAATATATTAAGCTATCAACACGAATCGAGAACAAAACTTTAACGCCATGTCTTCACACATGAGGCCAAACGTTTGTGTCAAAGAAAATGAGATTGCTATCATAACTAGCCACCATGTTTTTTTGTTTGAAAAAGTCACATCGCGGATGAGTCGTAAGAAATTTCTGCCTTTCTTCTTTTCTTAACTCAGCTGCATAGGCTCGCTGGTACAACAGAAAAGCTGAAGTGACTTGGCCCCACTAGACGTCCTTGGCTGCCACGACGGATGTGACTGACTCACTTCACTCGGAAATTTACCCGACACAGCCAAGAGCTAAAGTAGTCCGTCTAATTAAGTGCGATCTCATGTCATCTTACTCGCACCGCCGTTCCTTATCGGAGAACAGTAGCCTCAACTTATCAACGTTAGAGATGGAAGAAGATCCATCTTACACAATGTTGCCTAAAGAGCTTATGGACAAGAACGACCTGTTTTTGCTGGGCGACGAGAGGTTTGGAGCGATGGAGCAGCGTTCCAAGTCCGAGAGCTTTATTTGCACAGCGCAGGGCATTGTGTTCCAGGACACCAAGTGTCAAAAGTACTGGAGCAAAATTAACGACCTTGTGGCCTTAGCCGCTGACTCGTCAAGTTCTGAGAGCAATGTGGTGTTGGCCAAGAAGGCTCTAAGATATCGCAAAGTGCTTGAACGTCACCGTTTTATAGTGTAAAACGGTGGGAAGGAAGTGATGGTGGTCAGTCATCTGTGACTCAGACGCAGCTGACTAAGAAGCTGAAGAAGATGGCAGCTGTTGTGTAGAAATATGAATCCTATGATATTGTAGAAACAAGAATTAATGTTGACTAGTAATGAATGACATGACTTTGATGCTATCTAAATTCTTATGTTTTCATTAATGAGTGTTGAGGATTGCGTTAGGTTTCATAGCATGAAAAAATGGTCATCCAACATGCGGACACGTAGCGCAAGGCATAGAAAAGGCTACTGCAGTACCACCAAAGTCATATCAGCTGTTCTCACCATAAGATGACAAGTTTGTACGGATGGATGCTGCAATAAACAAGGTTTAACGGCTCTCTAGTGCAAAGTTACAAAAATCTTGTGTGGTAGTGCGGATGACGTTGAACCCAACCAAGATGACACAACATATTATCTTATGCATCAAGATGTAGCCCAAAGCTCGCGAACATGAGCAGCTCAACACATTAAGTATGCTATGCTTATACTTACTGTACGCAACTAGCAGTCAGTTCTTTAAGAACCACCGACCTTGTTGACCTTCACCGTCCTCATTGCGTAATTTCTATGAATACCATCGACAAAAATTAGACTGAGATGTAGTCTTGGCCTTGCCTCATTCCAATATTGAAAAACATATTGTATGTAGCCGTATGATTGCTAGACTCGCAACATGGATCGAACCAAAGCGTTAAAACGGATACATTAGTTACCTGCATTTTGCACGAATATTCGATTGACGACGATGCGCTAAAGCTCTGCATCTTATTCTATGGATCCGATTGAGTAAAACTGCCCACTATCAGTCATTGTATCCATCTTGTATTAGCCAATCCATCGCTTTGTCTTTTCGACACCAACCATGGAAGCTTGGGTCAGCAATAAGGTGTTGTGCTTGAACCTTGATGCATCCGTTTACGTCGAGTATGCATTCGGTCTTCTTCAAGATGAAGACATGGAAATATCGGAGCGTGTCGACAGCGTCATTGCAGTCTTCAGCGGCGCCGCGGACGGCCTTGTAGCTCAAGATATTATGGACAGCATTTTGAACAAGTCACAAATGATGCAAGACGTTAAGACTCTCCTTCAGACTGAACAGCAACAGTTGCAAGAGCAAGAAGAGCTGAAGTTGGCAGAGATAAAGCTTAAGGACCTTCAGATTCGTGAGAAACAATGCCAAGAGGCTGAAGAAGCTGCAAAACGCGAGAAGCAGAAGGCTGCGGACCGCCTCAAGAATATGTCGCGTGAAGAAATTGCTGCACGGGAGCAGCTATTAAATGAATATGGATTTACAGTCATGTCAGAATTTGATGAAGAAGGTAATGTAGTGAAAATTAAGAACAAGGAGAAGAGTTCAGAAGATGTGGGACCAATGAACTCAAACAGACAGCGAGTGGAAGAGGCACAACACGCTATGAGGGACAAGATGAAGAAAGAACATGAGAAAAAGGTCAAGTATGAAAAGGAGCTACTTGCAAAAGATAAAGCCCGAAAGGACAAAGCAAAGAAGAGAACAATGAAACGAGAAAAGCAGCGTGGCTGTGGTTAGACAGAGAGGATAGAAGAGATGAGGTTGAAGAGTGAGGTGGTACCATTAAGTATGTGCGATGATTTAACAATGCGACATACTACAATACAGTGAACTGGCTGTGTAAGAACGACATTTGGAGTAATCAAGATGATGTGTTGAAAGAAATGACGTGCATATATTTATTATACGAGGATACGGTGCACTCTAAAAATGTTCAAGGACATTGGTGCAACGATCCCAAAAAAATTGTTTATCGGTTGTTGAAATGCTACTCAATTGCTCGTATGTAAACGTTTCAGCGTCTTGCTGCGGTATCGAAGTGCTTTCCTAGCCAGCAGTGTATTGCTACTCTCAGAGCTGCACGGATTGACCGCTAGGACAATAAGGTTCTCTAGTCTGGTCGAATATTTTTGAGACTTGTCGTGGAACTTGATACCTTGGGCGGTACAAAAAGTGCTCTCGGACTTGGAACGCTGAGCTACCACTGATGGAACTTGGCATTCATCCTTTGTTGGCTGAGTGGGAAAGTGATTGACAATGCCTTTCGGTTGCGTATAGAGAGATTCGCCTTCTGTAATTGCAGCCAGGAGGTGCAAATTAGAGCCTTCAGACAATGATCGACGTCTTAATACTCGTGTGCATGGCTCATTCAAGCAGAACATATTGTGTTGAAACATCGTGAAAGTGGTGTGTTGAGGTTGATGCAAAAAGTGCAATGGTATGTATGAAGGACTGTCACAAGTAGACAGTGACAATCTTGTGTTTGGTGTAGCTAAACAACTCCAGATAGGGCCACTGCGTGACGTTTTTTTCAAGGTTTTTTTTAGCATGCAGGTCAGCATTTTTGCGGATAGAGTATGTATGAATGACTCATTTAGCTTTGGTTGCGGCACCGCATGTCTGAACAAGAAAACGGTCATGGCCCAACGGCTCGTCGTTCTAATCACTGGTTTCACGGGGCCATGCAAACATGAAATAGTGCCATAATTATTTGCCCGCAATCACCTTCATACTTGCGTTTACTGGGTGCATAAGCTATTAGGTCCTCACGGCAGTTGGTTGAAGCAATATACACAGCCACATTTGAACAAGGAAGATTGCTCTGTTTGGTTCCGTTTTGACTGTGTAAGTACGCATCTGCCGTACATGGAAGCGTTGATATACTTGGCTAGGTGTTTTGTAATGGCATATAATGCATCTGAACGAAGCTGCAGTAACCTGTACACTATGGAAGCGTCGGACATGTCAAAGATTGAGTGCAATGTCACTGCAATATGATGAGCATTGTTTTCATACATAGCTACGTACTATTTGACTACTAGACACAACATTTTATCTTTCACGTCACGTGAGTTATCTTGAGTTTCGTACGTTGATTGCATCTAGTTTACATCACAAACAGCTACCCACAGATTCATGAGAGGATCTTAGGCGGATGACGTCTTGTCCGTTCATTAATTTTCGAGTTATGTGAACTGCAGTGATGAAAATGCAGACAACCTTTTTTCAACCGTAATTTGGAAGGTTCACGCGACAATACGTCGACCTTCCATCGCCTTGCGATATCGGAGTGCCTTCTTGGCAAGCAATACATTGCTCTGAGTACCAAGAGGATTGGCGTTAGAAGCTACAAGCTTGGTGAGCTTGCTGTGGTATTGTCTCTTAGCATCCTCAAAGACGATGCCTTGGAGAGTGCAGACAAAAGCCTCCGACGTGGAACGGCGCTTCAACGCCATTATGATCTCGCTGGGGCTCACGGCCATGACCAGCGTATGACCATACTCCAGAGGTTGATGAATCGGTAATAGGGAAGAATCTTCTTCTACGTTTTTGCTCGAGGTGGCCAAGTACTTGAGCTTTTGGTTCTCGGACAGCACAAGACGATAAGTATCAGGTGAGAGCGTCGTCATGGAGAGTAGTAGTAGATTTACGTGAAGTGTTGACGACCTTGATTGTAATCTGTCACAGTCGACGAGAATCTTAAAATGGAAGCGAGGCATGGGTTTACTAGAGAGGCAAGTGGGTTGGAGGGACACTTGCAGCCGATAGGAATTCCACGGAAGATTCTAGCGACGACTCATCACTTTGCGTCATGAAGTTCGTCGAAACATTTTTTTGAAAAGTCAGACAGTTGTAACACAGCAGCCGAAATTGAAGAGAATGAAATATTCTAGGGTACAATGAACGATACATAGGAGTAACGTGCTCAGTGTCGGCTGCACTTAAAGCACTCGGTAAGACTTGGTACATATTTGACCAAGTTGATGATAATATATCAAGTCTTAGGAATATGTAGGACCCGACCTGCAATTGATCATCTGACGTTATTATCCTTAACGCTTGTCGACACGGCTGCAACAATACAAGCTGTTGTTGTCAAGAATAAATCGAGCACGTGTTGTCAGCATGGACGGAATGGAGTAGCGACACACGAATTGAGGATGCAATGAACGTTGCTGAAATATCATTTGATGGACAGTTAAAAGCATGACAATCCGCTGCGAGGTACTTGAGCGTTCAAGGACAAGACACTCGAGTTGACGATAATGGTTACCGTGGACTGTATTCATGACATGACGTGTTCGTCGGCTTATTGCTAAGTGACACAAACAAACACCAAAGTAGTTTAACCAAAACAATTTTGATACTACATTCATCAATTGAATAGACCCTTACAGCACAACACCGCGTTTACCTCGCCCCTTTATGTGTAAAATGCATCAGTTTCAACAGGAGTCTCGTGTACGGGTTTAGCTTCATGAGCAACGTATTTTTTTCTGTATGTATCCTTGAGCGACGCATATTTACCCGAAATTTCCTACATACAAAAAAACAGGTTAGTCAAACAAATCCACGTACAACACACGATCCCGTAAATGTTCAGCTTATACCTTTTCCTTTTTAACGGCCAATAGATCATCATCCAAGTCACGGAGCGTACTTAACTGTCGGTACTGATATTTACGATGACGTCGTGCTCGATACAGTCCGCTACTGCAGCAGAATCTCAGCACTTCCATCAAAAAGAGCGTCACCAATCCGTACGCAGGAATGAATTTATTGTTTTCAAGACGACGAAGCTGTTCATCGCTAGAAAACATCAAGCCACAATTCATCAAGTTAGCCACAATGTTGTTCCCAAACAATCACAATCTACAACTTCCTACAATTCGAACCAAATATCTCAACGCACGTAAGTTTCAGTTCGTCTTGATGATGACGTAGGAATTGATCAATACTTGATCCATTCGTGAAAATGATTACTCCCAGTATCAATTCTGCTAAAGCCAGTAAGATCAAGAGATACGACGAGCACGAGAGACACATGGAGCAGCTATGATTAGACGCTCCACACCAGCTCATGAAAGCTGACAAGATCAGGAGACTTCCGACGACTAATATTGGCACGTAGAGCCACTCTGGAGCGTATTCATTGAGTCCTAGCGTTACAATAAGACATAATTCAAGAAATTCAGACATTGTGTAGTAATACATACGACCAAATACAATGTTTATACACGACAACATACCAATATAAAGACTGTAGACAGTTAGTGCTACACCACAGACCAAGTCCACACCGTTAAACACGAATAGTGCACTGCCAGAGCACCATTCACTCCAGGAATCACCGCCCATTAGTATTATATTTTTTTATTATTTTTAAACTGAACGTTTGTATTGAATTGTTGTTTCTTATAATCAGAAACTACAAAACCGCCAAATCGCATGAACAAAAAATTGAGCTTACAATATGTATTCTTGCAGTCTACATGTACGCTGTCTCAAGCTATATTGCTACAACCACTAATATTCTGTGAACGATAATGTAAATGTAGTAAACTTTCAGTGTGCTGATAATGAGCAAGACGTGGTCAGAGCTTCTCGCAAGCGCAGGTCTCTTTATCTTCAATGGCGTCGATCTAGTTGCGGGTATTGTTCTATGTATCTATAGCCTTTACATTGGTGTCAATCGCTATGCTCCCGTATGGCTTTATGGTACGTTCCATGCAGTCTATCGCTGAAATATGCACGACCTCATTTTATATGTATCATAGTGCCATTGCTTACAATTGGCAGCATTCTAGTCGTCACATCACTTATGAGCAGCTGTGGATTGGTATTCCAAAGCTGTTCATTCTGCATGGAGCTTTCATCGGGTATACTTGGATGGGTATCACTAGCTGAACTGGGACTAGCAATTGTCATTTTCACACAGGGAGGAAGTATTGACAAGTTCCTCCATCAACACAGTAAGGAGCTCAAACTCAGGTTCGAATCATTGTGAACGAATGAATACAATAGGAAGAATAATGACGCTCACCTAGTTGTTGTGTTCTCTCTTTTCCTTTTCGTTTGTATTGTGTAGTGGTGACCAATTAGCACGATTCGAGTATCACAAGTTTTATCCGGCCTATGCATTATTAGCATTGAGTTTGATGGAAGCTCTGCGTCAACGCTACAGTGTAACATTACATCATGCTCGATTACGTCGCCAATATCAATACGATATGCTGGCATGAGATACAATTCTCTTCTACCATCATACTGATTAGAAGAATTGATATAACCAAGAGTATCGACTTCAGAAGGCCAAGAAATAAATCTCGATTTGATTCGCATCAATTGTGTGTATCGATGTTCAAGCATCAACAAATTAGTAATCTTATGAATCGTGACTTTTACCGAGACTTTAAGTTCTTGGTCTTGACAAAGAGAAGTCAATACGACAAGAACGTGCAGATTTTTGCGCTGTAAGTTCAAGCCCCTTCACATACCCATTCCTTTTACAATAACATAGTCACCACACCTCGGACAAGGAATAACTCACGGTAGCATTGGGAACTGGTAAAATAAGACCAAAAGCGTACTATTGGCAAGGAAAATCAACACAAGTTTGTAGCGTAACAGCAGTCATACTTCCATGACACAATAACAGGATTGTTTTGGAATATACAAGGTTACGCACCATTTAGATTTCCGCTACCCCATCGACGAAGTGATATTTGACTGCGTAATAGGCTCGCATACACAACAGTTTGTCTGCTAGCATAATATTTATTACTCGAGTATCGGGCACAATGTCGCCAAGATATCGTTGCTTAGCTGCATTTTGCCATCGCATATGCTAGATAAGCACCAAGACGTTGCATAGCCATAAGTATCATGGACTACACGGCTTGCAGTTGAGTGCGTAAGAGAGCTCATAGAACGCTATTTGCAAGCCATGCCACTGAGTTTCCAAGCTGATTCGATTACAACATGATCGATAGGTTTTTTCTACAGTAGTTGACTTCTTTCCATACAACATTGAGCTTGAATGTCACGAGATACACCATCGCGAACGGTCTGATAATAACATTATTCGCAATCGATAAAATCATGACACAACCAAACCCTTGCACCCCAACATCAGAATAGACAGCTCCAATAGACGGCGCCAAATTCACGCATCAGTCGTTTACGCAAGTACCTTTGCCGCAACTAACGGGTCAAAGCACGATTTCGTACTAACGGTTGTCCTGCAGGTGTATTTTAGGTCTTGCATTGTGGAAGCGGCGCTAGCGCAGAAGTTATTGATCTACAACTGCTGCGGTAGAATACTTGAGCATTAGATGCATGCATTTAACCTTCTAAATGACATAACAGGTATAGACAACGACGTAATTGTCAATGTCGATAGAGTCTACGCCCATACGTTGCTATTCAGATCACTGTGCTCTCCATTAGCATATCATTATACTAGAAAAGCACAGATCGACTTCGTTCAACCTTCTCTAGAGTATGCAATCATTTGACTGCTGCTTCATCATACGTCCAACGCCCTCATGACCAGATAACTACATCGTTCAGGAGGGTTCACATTCGTCGGAATTCTCACACGTCACACATTATTGCTTGGAATGTACCAAATAATGGGTACATCATGGGAACATCCTACCCACTAATTCTTGACAAATGGCACGACAAGATACCATCGTCGTATCGGCGTCTAATGCTGTGACTGCACGCATGTGGATACGATTTCTAGCGCCATACTACGTTTTTAATGCTGTGGCATTGCTTATGTATGTACCGATCCGGTACCAACAGTCTAGTGAGGCACTCACGGAGCGAGATAACTTTCTTCACATGCCATTGGTACTATTTTTTTATTATACGAATCAGAAAATAGTACTATGTTTTAGTATTAAAGTTAATATCACTGTGACTACTTTATGTATCAATTCATACTATGTTGGAGCAGGAATATGAGATTTTCTTGCTTGCATTGGGTTCTTGGCTGATAAATTACCGTAAAAAAGCAACCACAGACGGTGTTATTTCCCTCTTTTTCTTCTATAGCAAACTGGCAGTCTTGGCGTCACTTTACTATCTGGATATCACTCTTTTTGGGTGGTACGCAATTGTTTGTCTAGGTATTACTTGACTGTTATGCTGGTCTGTAGTGAAGTATAAGCAGGTCATACCGGTACTTTTAACGTATTACTAATCGTTATTGCAATGTTATAAAGTACTGTTCGCAGCGGTAGGGCAGCCCAAATATGAAGGTCCATCCAAGATAATTGAGCTGAACCCAGCAATGATGGAAAAACTCATGAAAAAATCTTCTAACTCGAGGAACAAAGGACCATCCAACTCATGGCTCGTTTTCTTCTACGCAGACTGGAGTGACTCTTGCGTGGAGCACGAGCCGATGCTTGCTGAAATATCACTCAGGTTTGTATGGAGCAGTACTGTAGATGGCGTTGAAAAGTTAGAGAGCACTTATATGACGCCATCTTTGTATCGTATGGGAATGCTATGGAGTAGATATTCGTCCAGCTTACTACAATTTGGCAAGATTGATGTGAACAAATGGTCTGATCTAGCTGTGGAGAACCGTATTAGTGTCTCGACGTCGTCGTTACAGCTACCGACTTTGATCCTATTCCAGGATGGCGAGGAAGTTATGCGCTTGCCGCCAATTGATGAGAAGGGAAAAGTTGCTAGAACAATTCTTGATCGGGTAAACAAGTGTGACGTGCTACTAAACTAGATACGAAGCAACCCATTGACGACATGTTACATACTCATTTGTGCATTGTTGAAAAATGTTTGCAGGCAGGACTTATTGCTGGTTTTAAGCTTGAGGAGCTAAAGATTGGTAAATCAGCTGTGTTCAAGCCAAAAATCAGCTAAGTGCGGACTCGACGTTCCTGGCGTTAGTTTAGTTCTATTTGCTCTTTTGTGACAAGAACGAGATATGTTTCGAGTAAACGTTTTATGTTCGGTTGGCCATAACATTCTGTAAAACATTCAGAGATTGATCTTGGAACAGCAGCTTGTACTATATCGTCCCACTTTTGTGGTATATGGCCCGTATCTAGCAAAAGGGTCAGGTGCGCTAAATTTGCTGTCGACAGCGTACTATATGGGAACAGACAATCCTGTGGTCTTCATCATGTCGGGCATTTATGACGACTTACATCTAGCTTAACCCACGTGATAGTACCTTAGCGGTCTCAGGTCGGTGTTGACGCAACCAAGTCGGTCGGTCCGTTCCAAGTAGGGTGGTACAGCAAGTATCCTACTTTGTGTGCTTTTTTATTTGTCCATGAAACTGTCAGCTTTTTTCCCATACAAATTGTAAATACAACTCTTCCGACATGCAGATGTACGATATCTGCTGCTGAGACTCTAGTCAATCGTAATGAGAATGCCAAGCCGGCCACTTTAGTCACTAATGCTCGAAAAACCTTGATACAGGTGGATCTTAGTTACGCTAAAGGCATTTGCTACTAGCAACAGCCACAAGGTCAAGAGAGCATATGGAGATTGTGGAAGAATTCACACGTCCACCGTGACGGTACGTGTCGCATGCCTTAGATCATACGCGATCCAAAACTCAGCACTGGCCATTGCTGACGATTCGTCTCATGATCACGGCAGGACCGACTGCATCGCCGTTTGATTCTAACCTTGAGTGGCCGCTCGTCTCGTGTTCTCTCCAATAATCATCTTCCCTTCCTTGATTCGCAGGAAAATTCTACAGCCTTTCGCTTGGGTAACGCCCTTCACGGCAGCCGACAGCACTTGTGCGTTCAGCAGCCGCGTAGGATCACTATCGGATTTACAAGTTACAACACAGAGCACGAACAAAAAAACAATATGGTCGGCACCACTACGAGTCCAAACCACTCGAGCATGCTAACTCGACGACGCTCACGCTCGGAAGGATCCGCAAAAGCTGTTGCGGAGGAGCTCCAAGCGTCGCCGATACAGTCGCAGGTCGTCTCACATACACGCTGCTCCATGACAGAGCTGTACGTGCGAACTTCCGACGGCGTTGTGTTCCAGGACGAGGAATTCCAACGTGAGATCGTCGCAAAGACAGAGCGTCTGATTGAGATTGCAATGAGTCCAGAGAGCTCGGAGCGCAATGCGCTTATTGCCAAGAAAGCACTCAAGTACCGCGAAATGCGCTCACGTCGACCTAATGAGTTAGAACGCCGGGCTGTCTTGTCCCCCGTGACGACATATGATAAAAGAAGACTGATGGCGAAGTAGCTTCTTTATAGCTGATAGACCCTCCTCCCCATCTTTTACATGTCAACATGAAGTATTGTATCAAAATATCAGCGATATCGCCTAATAACAAGTCTATGAACGTAAACAAATCGCATAATGTTCGTATTCTTCTTGTGTAAATGTAACAAGGACCGACTTACTGTCGCATTAGCAAACAGGAACAGGCTACGCCTGTCAGATTCAGATCGAATAGCACACGCTCGAAAGTTTGGTATTTCTTTAATATCGGCAAAGCACGAAAGCTGTCAGTCTGATACTTAATTGACACGCTACTTCTAAAAAGGCAGCTCTCCCGAGACAACGTCGGCGCGGCCGATAACGTACACCTTTGCACCCAAATCGGCGATCTTGTCGTACGGTAGGACATTGCGGCCATCGAAAAAGAAGGCGGGCTTGGTCATTCCCGTATAGATCTTAGCATAGTCCAGTGTCTTGAACTCATCCCATTCAGTAAGCACAGCGATGGCATGAGAATTCATGGCAGCCTCATAAGGATCGTTGTACACCGTAAGCAGCTTGTCCATCATAGGATGGCTAGTGCTATTCACACCCTGGTACTCGAGCTCGTGCATCATATCTTCGATCTTAATCTGCGGGTCATAAACCGCCACGTTTGCCTTCTCCTCCAACAGATACTTCAGAATCGTGGCAGCAGGTGTCTCACGCACGTCACCCGTGTCCTTCTTGAAGGCAAAACCAAAGATGCAGATCTTTTTGTTCGTTACCGTGTTAAACATCCGACTGATCATCGTAGTCGCGAAACGAGTCTTTTGATACTCGTTCATCGTCACAACTTGGCGCCAGTACTCAGCCACCTCAGGCAGATGGAAGCTCTGAGCTAGATACACAAGGTTCAGATATATCCTTCTGAAAGCACGATCCTCCAAATCCCACTGAGCAGTTGAGAAACTTGGCACCAATGCGGTCGTCAGCACCAACAGCTCGCGCCACTTCGTGTACATTGGCACCGGTCGCTTCACACAAGGCGGAAATCGAATTAATGCTAGAGATACGCTGCGCCAAGAAAGCATTGGCCACAAGTTTCGACAGCTCCGACGACCAGACATTGGTCGTGATGATCCGTTCACGAGGTACCCAATAGGCATAAACACTTACGAGTTTCTCCACAGCGGCGTGTCCTTCTGGTGTCTCTGCTCCTCCAATTAAAATGCGGCTTGGATTTTGCAAGTCCTTGATAGCTGTTCCTTCAGCCAAGAACTCAGGGTTGGACAGTACTTCAAATTTAAGTCCCTTGGAATTAGCACGTAACACAGCCTTAATACTCTCGGACGTACGCACAGGGACTGTCGATTTTTCCACCACAATTTTATCCTCAGTCGCTACTTCTGCAATCTTACGGGCGCAAGCTTCACAGTTCTTTGTATCAGCAGCACTCCCTGCTCCAATGCCACTTGTCTTTGTGGGTGTATTCACACATACAAAAATAATGGCAGCCTCCTGGATATATTTGTCCACATCTGTAGAAAAGAAGAGATTCTTGTGGCGCTGGGCGTCAACAAGTTCCTTAAGTCCAGGCTCATAGATAGGAATATCATCAGGTGTATTCCACTTGGCAATCTGCGCTGCAGACACATCCACAACAACTACTTTAATATCCGGACAAGCTGCTGCTATCACAGCCATGGTCGGGCCACCTACGTAACCGGCCCCCATGCAGCATATGGTCATCTTAAACTCAGACATTGGATCTTAGTATCAGTAGCGTTTCACAAGACAGGAATTGATTCTTGGTGTTTTGAGACAGGGTTTGAATCTCGACGACGCGTCGCAAATTGAATTATGATACAACATGGAACCATTCAAGCGACGCCGTATGGATAAGTTTGTTCCAAGCGTGAAAGGGCGAAGATACTGGATTGGTCAATGTTTTCACGAATGAAAATGACTGATCCGTGACTATGGCATCTAGTTTTAACATGCAAAAGATAAAGATGTATGTAGTATGATTACATTTGTGGTCATTCATTCACTCAGAGCGTAAGCATTACAAATACTGTCACAAGCAAGGTATTAAGTATAACACTTCGCACGTTTGGACAGGATACAATAACCTTTGAAGGCAAGTGAATGGTTTTGATCTAATAGCCTGCACACAGTCGCTCGATTGGTGTGGGTGGCGGTCAAATGAGCAGAAGCCTAACCAGAAGGCAAACCTTACTTGTACACACCGTCTAACTAACAACTTCTTACAGCTGCTAAAGAAGGATAGCAAATAATGCTATGGCGGGATATATGACCACTGTACAACAAAAAGCCTCATGCTGCGCTGGACGTGACGTCGCATCATTTTCAAGTGGCTTGATGGGTTGTAGCAAGCGTACGACCGAATGAATCAACTGTCACGCTTTGTCACTGGAAACCAAGTGCTACATGCTAACGAGGTTGAAAATGCAGCGATGGAGTTTGTGTGCGGACCCAATGGTCCAATGGTCAAATGAACGAATGGTCAAACTTAATAAGTTTACGAGGTCTTGGTTAACGAAGAACAAAAGAACTGCAATTGACTCATCTAATCGCTAAAGACATAGTTCTTTAATTGCGTTTCCTGTGTTGTGTCTGTGATGACAGCAGAATGCGACAGTCTATGATCCCAATAGCGGACTGTTGTGGATTCGTAGGGCTCACATCTCTGAACCCATTTACTTCTCTAATGCTTCGCGCTGGTTATTACAAAATGTAACGGGGTTGCACGAACCCTGCCGTACTTTGGGTACAGAAGTAGGTGATGTGACCGTACCTGAAGTACGAAGGGTCGCATCGTGGGCAGAGAGCCATGTTATGGTCACTATACTTATTTGAAGTATAGTGACTATGCATATTTGCATAATAATAGGATATAGAGCCAGTAAATAGTGACTAGCACGAGTTATAGACTATGTGCTTCTAAATTTAGTGCTAGAAATAAACATTACATGTACAGTTTCAAACTCTGGCAGACGTGCTTAGAGCATTAGTCCTTCTTTAAAGTAAGTTTTATTTCTAATACTGGTACCTTGGAGACGTGGTTATTCATAACTAAAAAGCCAAGCTTGTAAAGCTAGCTTTAAATGGGTCAAGAGCCCTAAGACACACAGCACTTAGAGCTAGCCTTCCTCTGCACATAGTGCATAAGTAGCTTTGCTACAGCGGGGCTCGACTACACCTGGTAGCACTTGTAGCCAATTTCACTTGGGTTTGCGACTACTTCTCTGTGTGAGTATGGATATCGAAGAGATGTCTGCGGTTGGCTTGTCGCAAACACAAGAGGAAGGGTTATAATAGCTGCTCCCTATTCTTGGCGCTAAGGGCGTCGATTACCTCATCGCCCAAGGCGAAGAAGAGGTTAAGAAGCGTATTCATATGCTTGATGAATATAAAAACGCTATAATCGAGCATGTAAAGGCACAGATGCCTTCTTCTGCGCCTTCGCCCATATCGACTATGATGCAAAAAGTTGGCCGCAGACCATAACCCATACATATGGAAGTCGATAAGCTCGACGGCAAAGAAGGTGATAGAGAGCCTAATGATGTGGTACCAACAGCCTGATTCGGCTAACTTTAGAGCCTACACCAACTATAAACCGTAACGTGTTGGCTTTGCCACAGTTAAGATGGGTGGCTTAGCCTAATGTGGTGTAGCGGGTTCTCAAAACTGCGTAATGAGACCCCAAACCACTCGCTGGGCCGGACTGCCGACTATCGTAGGGGGTGTAGGACTGTCGACTGTCGTAGGGGGTACCCCTATGCCGCATATAGACCTTCTCTTACCTTGTGTACCCGTCGACTGGCGGGTTGCACTCTTCAAAAGACTTGGTGGAGATCAGATGTCGGCCTTGAAGGAGGTCGACTTTGGGTCGCCTGAAGTGGATTTACTTCACTCAGAAGGTAGTAGGTGGGTCTATAAAAGAAGGAGTGCGTAAAAAGGACACAGTTACGGCTTGCATAGCTACGGGTACCCGTGTTACGGTACTCAAAGTCCCGATGGACTTAAATGTAACGTTCTTGGACTTTAACAGCATGGAACGCTGTTTGGTCTTAGACTTGGATGCGAGGTATGACTTCATCCTAGGCATGGCATGGCTAGCACGTCATGAGCCATGGATTGATTGGAGGTCGAAGACCTTGGGCGCAACGCGCAATGCTCCTTGTGGGGCTCTGGGGAGTCATGAATCCACCTCTGCTAGGAAGCAACAGCGCTTTTGGCGCGGACATTGAACCAAGTAGGTCATATGTTGAATTTCTGGTTATCCGACTTTATAGACACTGCAAGCTTCGAGGACAATAGTCCTGGGCGAGGCCCAAGAACTGTCGATAGTGTGGTTGAAAAACCAGTTATGCACGTGTCATGAGAATGTTGCTATATCATTAAACACCATGAGTGGTGTTGGCGGCTGTAAGCCCAGATGTCAGTACAAGAGTCCAAGTGACATAGGTGACGAGGTACAGACCCTGGCTCAGGTATATTTACAAATGGATGTTGTCTTTGAAAACAACGAGGTGGAAGCACCCTACGACGAGGTACTGGTCAAAAAGGTGAGTGAAGATATAGAGGAAGATTCTATATTACGTTGGAAGGGCTATATGTGAATTTAGTTTAAAGATCGTGGGTTGAGTGGACAAGATCGTGATCGAAACGTGAGCGATCACGGGTAATTGTGCCTGATCGCGATTATAAAGAAAAATAAGGTTAAACAAAAAGATAATGCGCTGTATGTTCAAAGGCCTGTATATAATGTCAAGCTACATGTTCAAGAATTCACTAATTTATCGCGGAATTACTGATCCAAGTGATCGGCGATCAAAGATCGACATTGGGTTCGACACGGTCCAAACTATTTGTCTTTTACACGTCGTGAATAGATTGGTCTTTTACATCCCAATTCAGGATACCACATCTTCTGCTTTGGTGTCCGAGAAAGTTTAAAAAAATAGGTACAGCAAGATATCCAGATCACAATGGCCTGCATTCATCCCTTGATGTATGAAACGCAAAATGTTTTTTGTACTGGGGTCCCATCGATTGGCGATGTTTTCTCTTGTTACAATTTTGTACCAGATCTGGATCAAGCCGCCACTGTTCAATACAAAATGATAATACACCACTACGAGACGGCTTAAGTGGTCAGAAGATCGACTAGACGGCTAAAGAGGACAATTAAGAAATCGGAAGGTAAGATATAAAATGGATCGAGCGGCTATTAGCGCCAGCAGATACCGCGATCGTGCAAAGAATATATCCACGCGATTCACCACCTTCTATCCAGACCCCATCACAGTAAAGATCGGAGCAAGTCTACCGGATTGAATGCGAAGCTCTCAGTGGACGGGTACACCAGGTAGGAATAAAATTCAATGCCTAATATTCGCCAATTAGCGGAGTGTAGCCAGCTTTCGTGGTAAACAAGCACCTGAGCTTTTATCCTCACTTTTATCCCTTTAGATATCATTATTTCACAATGGTAACGAATAAGACAATACATTTACATTGACACCAATGACGGTGTCGGTGCTATGTAACGGTCTCGCCTCGTTTCAGCGTTACGTCAATACGACGGACCTTGTAATATGCTTGTAGACGATCAGATGTGACCGAGTGAGGCGGTCATTACGCGTATTTATATGACTGGGATACCGCTCTATCGTTTTGAATCCAGATGATTCCGCTCAAATGGAATGTATACCGGCTGTATAATAAATAGGATTTGTCGACTTTCCAATTTGCTAAGAACCGACCAAGTAAAATTCACTCCGGAACCTTTTAGCTTATGGTCTTTGCCGTCGTCTCGTCTTTGTGTCAACCGCCCCTTCTTCACTTCAACCAGAATTTAGCCGTCCTCAATCACCCGGTCGCGGCTCGCCCACGTCCGGATCTCGTTGCGGACTAGCGTCAATCGTAACAGGTATTATATAATATGGCCGTTCCACGTGGCACGTTCCAACTGATAAGTCTTTAGCCGATATTATGGAAGCTTGCGCGCGCCAAGCTCCTGCTCAAGAGCTTTGCCTTGTCGCGCTTCGGGAGGTCCAGTGTTCCCGTGTCGCCCCGGATGACAAGGTCGCCCTGACCATTCCTGCGCCGCGCATCGCCGGCGTGTTTGGAATCGAGGATATCTTTCACGCAATCAACCGTGAGCCCCAAACGGCTACCTGGAACCAGGCGGTCAACTTGCTCTGCAACTTTGTCTGCGTTCGCAATCACGGCATCCGCTTCACGTGCACCAAGCGTGACCTCGCTATCAAAGTGAGAGGCACGGCTGTGTCCTGAATGGGACAGAAGGTCGTGGCCAAGCTCTACAGCGCCTACGAACGCATTTACTACGTCAAACTTACGCGGATTCTTTCACACCTGAAAGAGGACGTTCATTTATGACTACTTTGCCGGCTTGGGTCTTCTTCCGATCGTCGCTCCAAACAATCAAGCGGGTCAACCCATGTCAAGGGACCGCACGGTGTTGGACCCGAAGCACGATGTCCCTTCGGCTCTTATGCTTCCTAATGGCCAGCCGTTGCGGCAAATCGTCTTCCTCGGCTTTGTCGCTCCGGTCTACGTTCAGCACAAGAAGCGCTCCTTCAACAAGGTTGTGCCGCCTTCCATTGTCGCCCGGCAAGCGGCGAGAACGGCATCTGATTCTTTTTTTGCCTCAGCGGCAGGTGAGGCTGCCCCGACGCCTCGTGCAGGCCGTCGTGGCCCCTCTCCATCTCTTGTCGTCTCTTCTTCTTCTCTCGTCCGCGATGGCACAGCGATTCTCGAACGGCCCGCTGCCTTCGCTTCAGTGCAGAAGTGTGGACAGGTCACTCGCCTAGTCCTTTGCCCGTCGTTGAACTCCCCTCTTGCGGCCACGGAGGTTGCCGTGACCTCTTCTGCGGCGACTGGCGGCCGCTTAGTAATTGGCTTCCCTGTGACGCCTAAGTCATTCAAACTTGCTTTTAGCGACCATGACTTGGAAGATCCGACCGCAGGTGATGCTGATTGCGTGGCGTACGAGGACACTCAGGTGGTCGCCTGTGTAGCCGAGCATATGTAGCGTAGCTACTAATGTACTATGGTGCAGATGCACTGTGTGCAGATGAAGTAGTCAGACTACTGTAGCAAAGCTACTTATGCACTATGTGCAGAGGAAGACAAACTCAGAGAGCTTCTACGTCTTAGGGTTCTTAACCCTCCTAGGCTAGCTCGTAAGCTTGTGCCTATCGGTCGTTGTAACCGCGTCTCAAAGAGACTACTATCAATGATACGATTCCTCAGGAGGAATAGAAAGCTCAAGCAGTGATGCTTATAGAGCAGGTTTGAAACTGATTTATATGTATGTCTATCTTCTAACACTAAATATAGAAGCACCTACTCTATACTTAGTGCTAGTCACTATTTACTGGCTCTATAGCTTTTTTTTTCCCTGTTACTATTATGCAAACATGCATAGTCACTATACTTTAAATAAGTATAGTGACCACGTGGCTCTCTGCCACGATGTGACCCTTCGCATCACCTATTTTTGTACCCAAGGTACAGCCACACCACATTAGTGTAGCAGGTGTGTATATAAAATACACACCTTCCCCGTTACAGTGCTTATAGAACTACGAAATCTCTCTTGCGCTTTCTGCCGCTCCAATATTGCTCATACGTGCTCAGTTTTTTCATTCCAGCAATTGAAAAAATGGGTTGTTGACAAAACTCGGCGTCAAAAAAGCGCAAAATGGACAATCTTGTATCGACGTGTATGATGTGGCGCTTAAATGTTTCGATGTGATCCTTGTGTATTGCAGATCACTTTTGGTATGGACTCGTATGTCTCATCAAATCGTTCCTACTTCGCTGTTTATATCGTTATCACAGTTATTGGTTGTAAGTTTGACGCGACATTACCGCGTAGCATGCTTGGCCTTCTTGGCTCTACTTTCTACACAATTCTCAGCAGACTCATCAATCACCCAAGGAAAGCTCGCTAATTTACATGGGATGGCAAAGCTTAGTGGCGTAGGATCCTTGCGTCGAGATGTAATCTTTTCTCTTGAGTACTGCGCGTAGAACGCACGGCGAAAACCATCCGAGTCATTACTCGATGAGCAATGCCACACATTTGACAAGAAAAATATGACGTCCCCCGCTTCACCAGTCACTGGACCACTTGCATGACGCTGCATGTTGTCATTATTGTCCTCATTCGATCTCGGGGACACACTTAGCGACACGAACTGTAGTGCACCATTCTCTCTCGTCACATCGTCTAAAGCACACCACGCTGAGATATATGCTCGGATTGACTCTCGATGCACGCACATGGTAAGTTGCTCGTCATCGTCTCGATGCCAGCGAAATTTCACGAGACTCCTCGGAGGTTTTACTACATAGTGCTCGTTAAAAAAGAATATGTTTGGTGCTGTCTTGGACTTATCACAAGCTGCCAACATCTGACCCGCAATGGTCGGCAATTTCTCAAACAGCAACGAGGCAAACACTTGCTGATTGTCAACGTCTTTGCTTTTGAATCGAGCTCTTAGATAACAGCACGAATCGACTTGCGCTGTATCGGAATCTCCCATCTGTTGAAAAGTTGATCTGTAATTAGTACAGATTCTAAGCCAAATCATACCACAACAATTGCTGCAAACGCACCGGATAGTGGGCTAACGCGTCCATGACGCAACCCTGGGAAACTATAGATTCGGTGGATTCACAAGAGTAGAGATGATTGCTTTCAGTTTGTAGCATGCGCAACTCAGGCGGTGATAAGAGGTTGCGGATACAGACCCAGCCATGCGTTACAAAGTGGTCGACGACGGGTGAGGTAATGGTACCAGACGATCGAGATACCAATGGAGAGCGTTCACGCTTTATCGACATTATACTGTGCTGTTAATTATCGCACCAAATGCGCTTTTAATCTGGACTTTGAGTTATCAAGAAATTATACTCTTATGACTACACATCAAATTTGTAGGATGAATTCTTTATCGCGATAATTTGGTCGCCTGTAGGACAAGAACAAGTGACAACAACGCTATTTGCTTATCAGTCGCTTGAAAGAAGGTGACTTTTTATCTTCAGTTTGTCGTGTTAGTTTAACGTTCGAAACACTGTTGAATAAACCGGGTGACCCATATATGCTGCTTTTAGAATACTTTGCTGCACCCGTGAGGGGGTACGTGAAAAAACGTTTTGAAATAAATATAGCATGAGCTTTGTTTGTGTAATGAGGCGGGCGAGTTGTTGTAAACTGAGGGTCTTGCAGGTGATTGCATGGATGCTTTTTAGTTCTTCAACTACCAATTCTTAAGAGTAAATCATTAATGCAGACAAGTACAACCATCAATGCAGACAGGTACAAGTACAATTATAGAGACGTGTTTTTCTTCACCTAGCAACATGCACTGCCTTAATGTGAACGAGACTAAAAGCTTTCGTCCAAAATACTATTATCAATGATCGTCAAAGAAGCTTGAAATTCGTTGTTGTATACGATTGCATACACCTAATGGTTTCCTACATTCCATTCGGATTAAATTACTCAAGGCTAATCCATGCTTTTTCGTGCGACATCACGCTGGAATATCCTAATTTAGGCGTCTACAACTACCACAAGTGGATCGATTTACTGGCGTACGTTCATTCACTTTTACGCGTAAATACTGTCGTTTTGACGTTTGGTAGATTCGTTTGGCAAGTTTTATCCTAATATTACAGGAACATAAAACTGATGACTAGTTAATTTTTATGATTTCGCTATTGACTTTCTCCCGTTTGGCGCCGTCTCATTGGTCAAAACGGGATTAATCAACTGAGCCAGTCCGAACAGCCCATCCCCCAGCCGTTGCAATGAAAGATTTTGCGCCTTTTCCCTGCTATAAAATCAAAATCATTACCCATCACTATAATACGTCGTCGTGTACGACTGTATAGCATTGCACGTACAGATATAAAGACCGCCATGACACAAATTATCGATCCCAAGCGCAATCCAAAAACATTCTTTATGCGTAGAATGTTTGGCTCATTAGAAGGGGGTTTTAGACAGAACCTTTTTTTGAAGATAAAGGGGATAGGGTTGTCGAAGTAATTTTTAGGTATCTCAATTGACGCCCTCGTCTCAATGCAGCTCCCGCCTCAACGGTAGGGGCGACACCCCTATAATAAAGTAAAAGCTAATGTAATCCATACTCTCCACAACCATTCCATCCGTCCATTTCTACTTACACATTTAGACAACGCTTTTCAACCATTCTGTAACTCACGCTCAATAGCACAAGTCCGTATAGTCAATGATGCTAATGACAACCAGAAGAGCGTCGCGTTACACTCCGCCGCGCTACAACTCACCGATTCCACAGACAGAGACAATCTCCATTTCCCTTGGTTTGGGTAATAATGACCACTCCTCCTCGATCGTGCTGCCACGCGGCCACGCCCTGGTCAAGCACTTGGAGCAGCTAATTCCGGCCACCGCCGTACCACAGTATCAGACACAGCAGATGCAGCCACCCTTCTTCCCACGCCAGTCTGAGACGGAGGACGCCACTGCCGCTGCTGCACGCTTCGATGCTGTGCGCGCGCTCTCCTCTCTACCTTACCAGCAGTCACCGCAGCTTGAGACGCAATCCTCCACTTCTGCTCTGTTCAAATGTATTAAAGCCAACTCGCTCAATGAGACGTCTCCAGTCCAGGAATCAAGAACGTCAATGAGCCTCCCAAGCTCTCCACTTTACCCCTCGGACGAGTCCAACAACAGCAACGCCCATGCTTTCCAATACACACAGGAATGTTGGAGGCCTACCAGTGAGCCCAACATCTCACGCACGCGGTGTCGTCGTAGTGCCAGCAACGGCAACAGCAAACGTTGCCAGGTTGTGAACTGCGACAAGATTTCGGTGAGTCGAGGTCTGTGCCGCGGTCACGGCGGAGGCCGTCGCTGCCAACACATGGGGTGCTGCAAGGGCGCTCAGAGCCGCAGCGACTTTTGCTGGGCTCATGGCGGTGGACAACGCTGCCAGGTCAAAGGTTGTATGCGCAGCCGCAAGTCCAAGCTGTACTGTGTGGCTCATCTGAATTGGGAGAACTCAGCGTCGACGTTACCGGCTCCAACTCATTCCCAGTACGAGACCCCACACTATCACATGGAGTTGCCGATGCCCAGGATCGCGTCGTCTGCAACGTCCACTGTACAGACAAGTCCTCCACGTCTCCCGAGTCTTTTGCAAGCGCTGCGTACCCATACACGAAGCAACCTTCAATAGCTGCACCGCAAAGTCACGGAAGTGAATCTGTAGTAGAAAATCACATTGTTGGCCAAGTGTCCACACGTCAAATTAATATAAAACACGTCGCCAGTTTTACAATTAAACGTCAAATGTTTCTCGTAGCAATCAGTTCTTGTTGGTTGTTGCATCGGTCTATTGTTCATGGATTGGAGCTCTGCAATATATGCAAACGTGCTGGAAGTGAGATGACAAATTTGCATCGATGACTTTTTGGACCGAGAGATTCCGGATACAATTATTTTGAAACAAGGCTGATAATGATTTATTTCTTTTGTGGCTTAAAATTTGGACCGTGAGGTGAACTTGCATGATACAAATAAATTCAGTTAATGCACTTTCAGGCGACATTACACTTGAGCCTCAGCAATTCTTGGCGCAATTTGTTTCTTGCGAGGTAACAATTGACTTGATCTCATCCGTCACTTGCTGCTTTTTGTCCATATTCATAGCGTGTGTTATGTGCTTTGCAAGCTGTCAGTATCCTCATACGCCTATTGTATTACCCTTGCAAGGTTTAAATATGCTGAGAGCACAAACGTTTCGAATAGTGTTCGCTTCAAAAACAAGAATGCCGGGCAAGGTGATCAGACTAGTAAACGTTGGAAAGGCGCAAACTTGGTACGTGTGTGCTATGAAAGTGAATTAGGAGTTATAGTGCTGAGACTCTTCTTGGTTCTCAAATGATCACGAGCAGATTATCAAGGTAATATAGTGTCACTGGTAAGGTCGAGTGGTCTCGTATATTTTAGAGCAATAAATCCATTTTCATCCTTGCCGAGCAGTCTAGTGCCATTTCAACGGTAAAGCCGAGCGTATCAGAGAAGAGATGTATAAGCAGAATAGCGACCAATTCCTTTTAACCCAATCAACAATTGCTTAAGCAAAAAACATCGAAAAAAAGAGTGTATTTATAAAATGTTGGCAAGAAATAGTCTACTCTTTTTCAAAAACACAGACTCAAAACAAGTAATTACAAATATAACCATCCCCTTACAAGATTGCAAACTGCATTTTGTCGTCGCCTGCGTCACGATTGCACTTGCTCGACTCAAGATTTTAACATTCGGCTTAACCATCATTCCGTTCCCATCTTCTTCAATGATCATAATCACACTCTGTCACTTTTCATTTTGCCAAGTCTATCACTAAACTTCACTTTCCGTCTTCTCTTCTTTTGTGTTTGACATAAATATAAAGCCATGGCAGAAGCTCACCAGGCGATTGGCGTCTTTGGCGAACATAAACGCGGTATTGAATTGCTTTATTCCGATGAAGGTATTCGTATTTCATTTACAATTCCACCACCACACGCCATTCGACGTTCTCTCGTCCGTGAGTTTTTCCACATCCAACGAGCTCTTAAACGTGGTGTCTATCCAGCTCCACCTTTTGTAGCCATTTTAACAATTATAGCCATCTCAGTCATTGTTGTATCATCTCCAACGGATTCATGGTGGCGGAATGGGTTGATCTCTGTGCTCGTATGGCGTATCGGGAATTTCTTGATGCCGTATTGGCATATTGTACCTACTTCGGTCTATATCGCGTATTTAGCAGCCTGGACAGCATTTCTTGGTTTATTAGGGCTCATGGCAGTGCAACGATTGTTTCTTCGACTGTTACTAAGCTACAGAGGCTGGTTATATCTTGCACCAAAGCAAAAGAATCGTGTGGTTATTATCTGGGCAGCTTTATTGAAGATTTTTGGTGGTCGTAGCCCTTTGACGTACTCATTTCAGGATGCATTGCCAAGGTTACCATTGCCATCACTGAAAGACACGATACAGCGATACATGAAGTCAATACATCCGCTGCTTACACAGGAGGAATATGACGATGTTGAGCGCATGGCGCAGGAGTTTGTGCACAAGGAAGGCCCAAAACTTCAGTTTTATCTGTATCTCAAGAGCTGGTGGTCGTCTAATTATGTCACAGACTGGTGGGAGAAATACGTGTATCTTAAAGGCCGATCGTCACTTATGATTAACAGTAATTACTACGCGCTACCAGGTGCTAATCTCGACTTTAGCTTAACAAAAAAGCCCTTGGCACTGGCTGCTGTACTCGTGCATGAGTTCTTGCTCTTTAAACAGGATCTAGACAGAGAGCGTTTGGCACCGCAGCTCATTCGTGGCATTGTCCCGCTCTGTATGAGCCAGTACCAGCGAATGTTTTCGTGCACTCGTATTCCAAGGCGTGAGACAGACATTATTAAGCTGTATCAACACAAATCGAAACACATTGCAGTGTTTTGCCACGGTCGCGTGTTCAAGATGCCTTTGTTTGAAAAGGGTCAATACGGCAAGTTGCTTTCAAAGCTCGAGATTCAGCGCCAATTTGAGTGGATTGAGGCGACGGCTTTATCAATGGATACTCCGACGAATGCAGAGCAAAATCTTGCCGCGCTGACCGCAGCTGGGCGTATTGAGTGGGCGGAAAACCGCGAACAATATTTGTCAAGTGGCATTAACAAGCGTTCGCTGGAGGCCATCGAGTCGGCTGCGTTTGTGGTGGTTTTGCAAAACGAGGTGGCCAAGGACTGGACATCGATGGGCAAAGATCTTATTCACGGTAATGGCGGCAACCGCTGGTTTGACAAGTCGTTTAATCTGGTAGTTTACAAAAACAGTGTTGCTGGAATCAATGCAGAGCATGCGTGGGCTGATGCGCCGGTGATGGCTCACGCGTGGGAGCAGGTGTACACAAAGCAATGTTATTCCATGCCGTACGATAGAAATGGAGACGCTCTGGTCCTGTCCGAAGCTGAACGTACGTCCAAACTGCCACCCTGTAGATTGCTGGAGTGGGACTTTACTTCGGGGCTTGACCACGCTGTGTTGAGATCTCTAGAAGAGGCTGAGAAGGCCATCAGCGATTTTGATTTGAAGGTGATTTTGCACACAAATTATGGCAAAGGACTTATCAAGAAGTTTCGTGTGAGCCCTGACGCGTTCATTCAAATGGCGTTGCAGCTTGCGTACTACCGCAACTCGGGCACCATCACGCAGACGTACGAGTCGAGCATGACTCGACTGTACAAAAACGGTCGTACGGAGACAGTCCGGACAGTAACAGATGAGTCGAAGGAATTTGTGTTTGGTATGGCAAATTCCAAGCTATCGGACGCTGAGAAACTCAAGCTGCTTCGACGCGCTTGTGAGGTGCACCAAGATAACTACCGTAATGCTATGAGCGGCAAGGGCGTTGACCGTCATCTCTTCACGCTTTATTGTGTGTCAGTGGGTTTTGGCATTGAGTCTCCTTTCCTAAATAACGCACTAAGCCGTCCGTGGCGTTTGTCGACAAGCCAACAGCCGCAGCAGCAGACGGACAATTGGCGTTTGGTTGAGAATGCTCTGCAAGAATCTGAATTCACAATTGAGGATGCACGTTGCCCTGGTGGTGGGTTTGGACCAGTAGCAGAAGATGGTTACGGTGTTAGCTACATGGTTGCAGGCGAAAATATGCTTGGCTTTCACATTTCCAGCAAGAAATCATGTCCATCTACGAGCTCAGACAAGTTTGCGGATGATATTGAGCAGGCACTGGCCGATTTACAATCACTATGGCATCCAAAAGAGTAATTTTTGCACAGGAAAGTGAATTATTGAAGTAAATGAATGCGTACAAAAGGTAGAAAAAACGTGTTTGGTAGTAAAAATGCGCAGATAATAAATATTTGCAAATATCTTTTTCCTCCATCAATATATGTGATTTTTCATTCTTACAGACTTTCTATCTAACGTTATCTCGTCACCCTCTTTAGGGAAAAATATCCGCACCTAACCCTTACGTTTTAATAATAGCCAAGTACAAAACGTCGCCACGCCAGCGATCTTATTACGCTTTGTTTATCCTATATGTATCCTAGTTCTTTCTTTCCTACTAACTGTAAGTTTCAATTACATCTGACGACAAACGGGAGAAAGAGAAGAATAAGATCCTGCGACAAGAAAAAAAAAGAAGGAGAGTGTAAAACGTTGGCCATATTCCCATTTGAGACTTACCCCACTAAACAAACGCACCTTTTCGCTAATTTTCCCTTAAAAATTACTTAAAAATATTAATCAAACATTGCATAAAGACATTAAATTTACTCATTAATTCTAATGCCAGGCAAAGACTGTAAGGAGAAACACGTTTTAACCTCAATGATTATCCAAGATCATAAGGACATGAATGATCAGAAGAAAAAACGGTCTCCAATGCAGCAGTTTGATGGCAAAAGTACGATCATATTCGACTCAGAAGATGATGAGACGGAAGGAGAAGAAGAAGAAGAAGAGGACGATACGCATTCGTCTAATAGTGACAATGAGACGGAATATTGCGTGGATTTTCGTGTTATTACAGCACGACTTGGTAGTTCAGCTACTACACATCGTCGCTCTGTTGTCTCATCATATATACCATTACCAACGAAGCAATGGACACCTCCTGTTAACATTAAGAGCATTGAAGATGCTGAATCGATTCGACGTTCCGTGAAACGTAATTTACTCTTTGCAAATCTACCAGAAGATACTTTACAGGTCTTAGTTGATGCAATGACATATGTGACCATGGATCCAGGCATGGACGTTATAGCTCAAGGAGAGAGTAGTGGAGATCGATTCTTTATTTTGGAGACTGGTGTCTGTGATGTACTAGTGAATGACAGAAAAGTAGGTGAAGTATCTGCAACGTCAGCTCGTAATTTTTTTGGTGAACTTGCGTTGCTATATGACTCACCACGAGCTGCTACAGTACGAGCTAAGACACCGGTCAAGTGCTGGACATTAGATCGTGTGACATACAAGCGTGTACTTATGGCCACAACTATGCAGCAACGAGCTTTGTATCTGGATTTTCTTGGTCAAGTACCAATCTTTTCAACCTTGTCAAGCTATGAAAAAATGACAGTCGCAGACGCTTTGCGCGTACAATTTGTCGAGTCTGGAGATACGATTCTAATCGAGGGTTCTCGAGGCGATGACTTTTATATTATTGCAGACGGTGAAGTCAAGTGCACACGTGGTGGTGAGGAAGTGTCGGCACGACTTGGAACTGGAGATTTTTTTGGTGAACTTGCACTTATCCACGATGATGTGCGTCAAGCTACGGTCACTGCCATGTGCAAGACCAAGCTACTTGTGCTCGATCGAGCCACGTTTAAGCGCCTACTTGGCCCCATGCAGGAGCACCTGCGCAAACGTGCTGATCTGTACGAGCTCTATATGAATGCACCAAGGATTACGATGCAGAAGTAAATTGCTGTAGCTTAGCGATAACGAAGCACGGTAGAGATTGTAGAGACATGCATGGAAAGTAGCCGTGTGTCGCTTGTTCCTATATTTAATAGGGCACAAAACTTATAAAGCGACCAGGTTTACGTCCGCGTGGAGCCAACGGAAGCGTTCTACTCATCAAATAAACAACATGTTACCACAACAATCTGCATGAACAAAGTGTAAAGGCTTGAGAGTATATAACATTACCTCGTAAGAATTCAGCAATAGGATGAGACTGTATCGTGACAACAAATTGCTAGGAATTGAGCCAGCTTAAATGACACAAGGTATCTAATCTTAGTTAAATGCATGATGAACACGCTTCACCACACGAGACTACCAGGCAGGTACTTGTCAATAATTGCCTGGTAGTATGGCCACAACTTTTCCACATCTGGACGCATATCCGCCTTTGTGTACAGATCGAATTTGTTAAACTCAAGCACCCAGTCCAGCAAATCTTCATCCTCCTCACTCATCAAGTGAGTATACTCCTTCTTGTTGTGCCATGGGTAGCACGAATGGTAACGGATCATCGCTAGACCTTCTTCTGGGATTGTCGTCTTGTTGAACTTGAGCATCTGGTACATGTATTCATCATGACCCCATGCAAACTTGAGATTCTTAAACCCACAATGAGGTTCATACATACCATACTTTGTATTGTATCGTGGATCATTCATGTCGGGATTCCTGGCATTAAACTCGGGAAATACAATCGAGTCAGGAATCTGACACCCTACGACCCACGTATCACCACCAAGTGCCCATTGATCTCCATCCGCAGTACCTTCTTGACCGTCTTCAGCATACCCCCATAGATACTGAATCTTGCCCATATCATGCAATAATCCAACAAGTTGAAACCAATCTGGATGACCAGCAGCACGAATACCCTCAGCCGTCTGTAACATATGCTCAAGGTTCGGTAGTGACGAGTCTGGATCGGACGAATCCACATATCCCATTAATGCTGTAAACGCTTCACGAATTGTCATCTGAGTATTACAGAAAGAACCATATTTTGCTTGCATTTTCTCCTGAAAAGCCACCGTCTGATTCTTGCGCATGAGTGCATAGTGACGTGACACAAGCGCATGACGGTCTGAGTCTTCATAGTTGCGAAATTCATCTTCAGCTTTGCTAGCAGTAACGTTACCGGTACGTTTAGGTTTCCTCTGCATAGTAATATATAATATAGTATAATGTATCGTTACCCAATGGATTGATGTATGGCAATGGACAGAGGGAAAAGGAAGAGGAGGAAGAGGAAGAAGAGGAGGAAGAGGAAGAAGAGGAGGAAGAGGAGGAAGAGGAAGAAGAGGAGGAAGAGGATGAGGAGGTTGGTTGGAAGAAATGGAATGGCAAAACGACTGGAGCTGCTGAATCTTTTTTGATGAGTCAAAAGGTAACGGACGAAAACAACTGGTGAGTGTAGAGGATTTTCATCCATTTGTTTTGGTCTTGAAGGTAGATAATATCTATATTTTTAAATAAAGGTGATTACATATTTGTGCCAACTGAAAAAACTCGACATTATCGATTGATCTATAGTTTACGATTAACACTGGATTTTTTGGACGTTCCTATTTTTGATACAGCCTGTTTAAATGCGGCAAAGACATGCATCTGCTTGCTTCAAGTAGGAAAAAAAACCTTTACTAGCGTCCAAGCGGATTCAGTGACCACAACAATTGGATCAAAACAGAAAGTCTTATCATTGCGACTGCTGCAAGGGATGGAGCACGCAAGCATTGCCTTGTTTTTCACGCAATGCGTGTTTGAAGTAGCGGCAACTTAGTTATTGGTGGAGTCCCAGGCACCAACCATTATTGTCGCAGCTTTGCCACGATCATCGGATTACGCAGCCACTTGACCATGTCGAAGAATGGCTCGTCACGGCTATATGCTTTGTTTAGAGATAGTGGATAGTCTGAACTTGTAGTACTTGCAGTTGTCTTGTACTTGACTTTCTCTAAATAAAAAATTTCGAAAAAATCATAAAGCATCTAGTAACGGCTCTAGAAAGTGCAGATCATCTGAGAATTGCACAGACAGTCTTGTCAGATATTTTTTATCTTGTAATTAGTATACTATAAACTTCAATAACTCATCAACCATTTTCTCGAAACGGAAAATAACACTGACTTGTTTTCTCCATACTCAGCTGCTGTTCAATGAGCTCAGTGCTCCCCCCACCAGTGAGTGACTTTTGTCCACAATTGAGCCTCCCCGGATCGATTTTATCTTCAGTTTTGATTTTACTTTAATCTACACACGTCGTGATTCTCTAAACTATTTATTGGATATTCTCTAAACGATCACAATGTCTGAAGATAATATCGCAATGCACAAGAAACTGGAAGTTACTGGCAACGTCATTGCTGGCAAAGCTGAAGATGAATTTCGCAACTATGAAGACTCAGACCGTCATGCGCTTGTGTCACGTCACTATGCACTCATGCGCAAGAATCAGACGGTGGCTTTTCAGGAGAAAATGCAAGCAAAATATGGTTCTTTCTGTAATACTCAGATGACAATTCGTGAAGCGTTTACAGCATTAATGGGATATGTGGATTCGTCCGATCCAGACTCGTCACTACCGAACCTTGAGCATATGTTACAGACGGCTGAGGGTATTCGTGCTGCTGGTCATCCAGATTGGTTTCAACTTGTTGGATTATTGCATGATATGGGCAAGATTCAGTATCTATGGGGGTATGCTGAAGACGGTCAAGAAGGTACTGCGGATGGAGATCAATGGGCACTTGGTGGTGATACGTGGGTCGTAGGGTGTCAGATTCCTGACTCGATTGTATTTCCCGAGTTTAATGCCAGGAATCCCGACATGAATGATTCACGATACAATACAAAGTATGGTATGTATGAACCTCATTGTGGGTTTAAGAATCTCAAGTTTGCATGGGGTCATGATGAATACATGTACCAGATGCTCAAGTTCAACAAGACGACAATCCCAGAAGAAGGTCTAGCGATGATCCGTTACCATTCGTGCTACCCATGGCACAACAAGAAGGAGTATACTCACTTGATGAGTGAGGAGGATGAAGATTTGCTGGACTGGGTGCTTGAGTTTAACAAATTCGATCTGTACACAAAGGCGGATGTTCGTCCAGATGTGGAAAAGTTGTGGCCATACTACCAAGACATCATTGACAAGTACTTGCCGGGCAAACTGTGCTGGTAAAAAGGAATACATATTTGGATTAAACGTTTTTATTGTGCCATGTGAAGAGCATCTTAAAAATTACAGGCTGAACAAAATTGCCAAGTAGATGACAATAGCATTGGTAATCAATATTCATGTACATGTATCACACGATCAGTATTATTTGTATAGATTTTTTTCGTCTGTATTATGTGTTCAGACTTGTTTCTTGGTGACTAGCAATAATCACTCAATGCAGATTAAAAGACCCTACACAGTCATGTATTACCAAATGATACAATGATTGAGAAGCTTATACCGACACATGTAAGATCTCTCCACTCCTATTCCGATCACAAGACTGCTTTAACCTACACGTGTTCTTGTATCGGTTTTTGATATACTGAGGGCCAGAAAACCAATTCTATGCTCGTTATCATTGCAGCTCTTTTGCGCTACGCATTACTAGTTCTCTTCTTATCATGCCACGATATACGTGCTACAGCAGTTTGTGCAGTCTTTTCATCTGCAATATTAGTTTTTCCTATAATATCCGAGCCAATTGTGGACTATTCTATCAGAATTAGACATGTCGTACGTAGTCCTCGATAAATGATTGTCAAGCACGTGAGAGATCAGAATCTACATCCTTCTACCGTCAACACTCAATGCGATCTGTGCCAAGAGACTGTTCTCTGATAAACTGAGACTGACACGATAGCATAACGAGACATCGTGAAGCAAATGAGCCGCTCTTGTCTTATATTGATACTCCAACTACCTCTCTTTCTCTTCTACTAGCTTTGTTTATTAGCAGTAGCCTCACGACGTGCTGCATCCTGTAGTAATTCCGTGTCCACTTCTGCTGCAGGAATCTGTACGTAACGTATGGAACTTCCTCGAATGAAGCAATTATTCATGTTCATCTACATCAAATATCACGCATTCGACTATCAGTAAGCCATAATATTAAATATGGTGATACATTTAGCATATGATATCTACCAGCTGAGGAAACTTGTCGCCTTCCACGACCGATACATTAAGCAGTTTAATGTTAAGATATTGTTGATCCACTGAATCCAGGACGCCCATAAGAGCTACGTCGTTCTTGAGCTCTACAGCTACTTCTTTGCCAACAAGTGTCTTGAAGAACGAATAGAAAATCTAGATGTAATAATACATAGTAATAATAATGAAATAGGAATTAGAAGGCTATACTAGAATACATAAGTCTCAATACGAAGTCAAGTGCGTGTCATGATTGTACCATTCTTCTAGTTAATTAGCTCAGGTGGAATGAATATTGATATTCACTCGGTCTGGTTTTGACCAATCAGTATGTGGATGTGCAGATTATTCATAAAACGTGTATACTGTATACTTGAATAAAGATACCCAAGCAATCGACCCAAGTGGCAGCTCAATTCTATCAATGCGTCCTATCTAAGATATGCGTTATCTCCAGGTACATTTTCAACACGTTCACGCAGCCGTGCCATACTGCGCTTTATTCATAACCTGGCATCCCGGCGCTTGGTTATATACTGTGCAATCTACATCATTACATTACAGGTCCTTGCCGTTGCGAGAATCATTGCTGACCAACAAGCTTATCCATCCTCGCCCGAGTTGTAACAAACTTTGCACACACGTACGACGTCGTAGTACCCAAAATCTGGCAGACTCATTCGATGACTTGTACATCTACCGCAGAAAACGTATCCGCAGCAGCGACAGTGATGTCGGTTACGCAAAATTGTCTTGAATTTCTTTTTGCAGCGTTTGCAACACGGAGCATCTTCGTCGCGCTCCCAAACGGGCTGCGAATTCAAGTAATTCCCTCCCGAAATCACTTTGTCTGTTCCCAATAATGGTGAGCTTCCAGGCGTAAAATTGCGAGAATCTTCGTCTAATGAGCTTAAATCAACCAGTTCACCACCGACTTCAGCTGAGATCGATGTTGAACGCGAACCTTGGGAAGATGAAGAAGATGGCGGCGACGATGCCCTTGGCGAGTGGTGTGACTTACCTACTCCATTCGTTCCAGTGAGTCGAACCTTCCTACTGCTACTAGGAGAAAGTCGATCATTCTCGTTGCGCAGCGCCGTTTCGGGAAGATTGTAGTTGTAGCAGCGGAACCGCCGCATTGTCTGCTTTGCCGCAATCTCTTTGATCGCCACTTGATGATCAAGCTTTGAAAGCTGGGACTCAAGATGGCGAAGGTCACGTTTGAGCTCGTCTCGGCGTGACGGCGAGCCCACGCGCTGGGTACGCCGATACTCGCTCACACGTACTGGATTGGGCAGTGTCGCAGAGCCTACTTCCATTGGTTCATCCATTTCTTTGTCATACGAGCCACCCTTCATCTGCGCAACCACATTGAAGAAAGTGTTTTTGAGACTATTACTCCGCGATCGGTTCGTAATGGACTTGCGCCGCCGTGGGTTGAACACATTATGAGATTGCGACAGTGCACCTCCCGCTCCAGACGACGTGGAACCAGAGGAGGATTCAAGATTCGCGCGTTGTAGCATTTGCGCCATAATCATGTGCTCTCGAGGAGGAGAGTGAGATGATCCCATCGCCCGCGCTGCTGCTCCTGCAGTACCCATCGCTACAATACTAGCGAGATCATGGAAATCGAGGGATGCTGCGGTAGGACGCTTTTCAAAGCTACGAAGTGTCTCTCTGCCAGACATAAATCTCCTCTTTTCCGTTTCTTTCGAAGATGCACCTGGGTCATCCGGATATTTCAAGTTCATGCTTCGTGATAATTTCGCAATGTCAGATCGAAGCTGCCCTGCTCGAAGTTCAAGTTGCTGGTCGCTGGTTAACGCAGCGTGTAAACGCGAAAGATCGGCTTCTTGCTGTCGAATAAGCTGTAGCATCTCAAACTCTCGCTGCTGTAGACGCATGTGACCAATTGCCTTCTGGTACTGGCTGGACCAAAGTTGCATGACGCGCACACGGCACACAGGCAACATCGGCTCCATATACGATCCACTCCCTTTCGATGTATGTACCTCCCCACCTGCAAACAAGGGGTTTAGAAATTGATCGGTAGTGGCGCGAATAACATCCCATACACTGACACTCGCGACTGTCGACAAGAACTCACGTCGCTCGCATTCAGAGTTTTTCTGAAAAGTGCCATACCACGATGAGTAGACAGCTTCAGCAACGGAAGAGAGCAGCAATTCGTTGAATTGGAAATGTGTCGGGAACTGCAGCGTGAGCTGATACACAGCATCAATGAATTGCAAAAATATTGGAGACGTCTGATCCGACGTAGGATGCGAGCAGCGCCGCTGGAAGTTATGGCCATAGGAGCACCAATCCTTTTCACAGAGCTGTGCAAAGCCTTCAAGTGTCCTGTAATAAGGGTCCAGCATTGTTTGCGCCAAAGCAGAGAGCTGTGCCGTGCGATCCCATCCATCACTGCAATGCACCAGAACCGCATCGCCACGCTCCAGATGCGTAGCCACCTCGGTTGCACCTTGAAGAATACTGCAAATATGCTCCAACCAGCGGCTTTTTTGAACAGCACCGAAAAAATTAGAGTCCTCCACCTCATACAATGCCTGCGCCAAACCAGCCAGCGAGCTGCGGACTACATGGATGTTATCGATTCCCATGAACGTGATTGCAGCCATCGGTATCCCATCTCGATCGTACTGTTTCACAGACTCGTGACCCTTTCCGGCAAGAGCATTGCTCTTCGCATTAATCTCTGGTCGTGCATCAACGATGTGCAAAATACTATTCTTTTTTGGAATCGCGTGATCACATTTTGCAGCCTGGTCCATCGAAATAGCCGCATCTCGGATAGCCCAGATAAGTTTCTTGTCCTCTGGGTTCGTACTACGCAATACACCCGTATTCGGTTGGCTGCTGCGACACAATGGCGCACCTGTGCGAGGGTGAATCCAGGTGAGAGCTGGAAAACGGCTTTTGCTGCGAAAACCGGCTGCACCCTTGATGATGTCATCATTCAGGCATGCTGGCACCATGAGAAACGATGGATATGTAGAGCATAGCTGGTAATTTTTGTTGAGCGTGCACTGGCGCCAGCGAGGATGATTCATAGCACCTTGTCGAGTAAACTCAGCTTCCGGGTCGTATCGAATACGTCTCCTCGCTGCAAGCTGAAATGGTTGCGGAGGTTTTCTCATTGACATTGCATGTGTGAGCTGTGAATAAGCAGTTGACTCACTTTGTTGGTGTTTGAGCTTTGGACGATCCAGTGAGCCAACACTATTGGAAAGGGTCGATTCATCAATGCTTTCTTTTGTAAACGCACGCTTCTGATACTTGCTAAAATTTGCAGTAAGTGTTCGTGTCATTGGTGGCGGCATCGACAAACTGCTGTGCTTTGGCGTATAATGAAGCAAGTCGTCCTCCAGTTGCATTTCATCTGCAGTAGCTACTGTATGATTGCGGTCTGTTGGAGAGCAAAAACTGTTCTCAATGCGCAGCCAGTCAATCTCGCGCACAATATTATGCAGTATTTTAACGCGCTTGACTTCTGCCTCACGAGAAAAATCCCGCACCGAATCCCGTAGTCGAGAAATTGGCGAAAGTGTCACGTGGTAGTGTCCAGCATCCATATTGTCTAAGATTAGTACCGTGACGACGTTATTGTTACTGCGCTTTTGCTGTTGAATCGACGCCTTTAAAATCTTGCTAACCGGCAAAGTGTGAACATCCTCATGAAGCAAGCCTCGAACTCTGCGATACGGTACAAACCAAATACGGTAGTTGGTCAGCACTAATGTTGCGAGCACGCCCTGATTTGACTCGTTCACATGAAACGTCACCGTCACTTCTTCCACCATATGCAACAACTTCTCGTGCCATGGGAAAAGGCAATCCTTGGGCGTTCCTGCATGCATGGCTGTCAACTCATCCTGTCGCACTGCTATATCCGGATGCCAACTCCGTGGCAAATGACAATACGCCTGTTCAAATCTCGGATTCTGCGGAAGAAATACCTCTTGAATACTAGTACCATACGGGTGGTTCACCAAGTACTTTAGATCCCTCTCTTCATACTGTATACTGCATAAAATACGTCCTTGTGCCGATGGTCCCTTGACTAATTTACACCAAATAAACACTGGTTTTATATCCATTTCTTCGTTCATCACGAGTTCACTAGATACTACCGATGCGCGACTGGTTGTATCTGCTTGAAGCCAGCTTTTGCTCGAATCAAGAGACCTCGAGCGTCGCTGTAAGTCTGTTGGACTTAAGATTCCCGTCTTCTTTAATTTACTATCACGATCAAGGTTATAACTACCCAACTCCACCGTATGGGAAGCATGGAGCTGTCGTATATCCACACCTTTAGAGCTTCCAGTTCGTCTACTACCGCTTGTCGGTGGTGTCTCTTGCCTCTGAGTCGTAGAATGCAGCGTCTCAGCATGTTGTCGCTTGCGATTCTGATACTCATTGACAAGCTCTCGCCATTCTGGAAAAGGAACGCGTAATGCACCTAATAAATCACTCTGCGATAATTCATCTTTGTCAAATACTTCAAGCTCGACATCTAAAGGACCAGCGTGAACAAGAGTGATGGTCACGTCAAAATCCCAGCGCGGATTCAGCGATCGTTTCACACGGTGCGAGGACGCGACCTCTTTTCCCTCGTAAAACACGCGCACGTATGGATCACTCTTGCCGCTCAAGTCAGCAGAGGCCAAAGCCTCGGCGCGAATGATCTTGAGCCGCATAAAACGAGTGCGGATTCGTACACAAGTGCGGGGTCGGACGAGAGTGCGGGGTTTCCTTTGGGGTTGTGTTTGTAAAATGGCGACATGACTAGACGCGAGGTGTTGCCATGGTTTTGTACCTTTGTTGACATTTTTCGATAGTTATATTTGTAACCAAGATGTTTAGTAAAAAAGTAATTTAGTTACACGAAATTAAGAAATGCTAGTATTATAAACATAGCCGTGGATTTTATTAGAATTTATACATATGATTATGGTCGTTATTTATTAGTTGCACTGAGTGCCACAATGTGGCTTTGCTTACATCATTTGCAGGAAGAAAAAAAACACACACACTTCGAACAATGTAATGCTCACAACAAACGACATGCCCGAACCCTTTCCGGCTACTAGGGAAGATTACTAAACGCCAGCACTGCTAGCTGTGCAGATAGTCAAGCGTTCAGAGCAATTATTGGACACGGAAAGGGTACATTTTTGATTATTTAAAAGTACTTTGGGTGAACAAAATCGTAGTGTAATTTTCGCGAGACATTCATTACTCGTGCTCTCGTCCATGACCAGCTGCAGATGAGGTTACAATGACGACAGCTGCAGCATTATCATCTAGCCAAATAATACACTCTGCGTAAATATTGTCAAGGTCGAATTTAGGCTTCGTAGCGATTGCATTGCACCTGGTTTTATCTGAACCATCCGACCTGTGATTGGTCTTCTTTCTTGAAATGCAGCCGAAAAGGTTTCATTACCTAAAACGTCAATTTTTATATAGGACAACGTTGTTTGGAACAGGCAAAGAATGCGTTGCATTTGCAGCATGTAAATTACACGCAGAAAAGCATAACCAGAAAACATCTATCTCATCTTGTAAGATCCATTGCAGCCACTAGACAACGTCGACAATGTTGCATAACACTGCAAGTAGAAGGTGAGCGTTTGACAGTAAAAGAAGTTGGAATGATCTTTAGTGGCTAGTCAAGTAGAAAAACTCGCAGCATTATTTGCTTTGTATAACACATACCTTTGCTTTTTGCTGTGGTGAACAACATACGCAACGTCTGTGATGAAGGACAAAATGCTAGGTACCATCCGTCTGTACTGATAAATTGTAGGTAGCGCTTAGTACACTATAATATGCGTGTAATGCAGCCATCTTTTTGAGTCACTTTGTGCAGCGGCAAATGAAAGTTGCGGCTGTATTGTAGTTTTCGTATCGTTTGCTGTACACAGCGACAGATGCATCGGCAGCATCAAAATTGATTCCATGTGACGTCAATACCTGCCACGTGATCAACTTTGTTCCAACAATGTGGCAACGACTTTATTGTTGAAGACGCTGAATACTTCATGCTTTGCCATGACGTTGTAGATAAGTATAGTCACTCTCCATTGCTGCGTGCTTCGAGAATTTAATGCGCTACATCTTTAGGTTGGTGACTTGTCCGGCGCTGCATCTTCAACTTGATTTCCGACTGCCTAAGAATGCCATTGAGACACATGTGACCACAATGCCAGTGATCAGTTGCCACACGTGGATAATTTTGCCAAAAATATCTTGATCGACAGAGATACGACGACGAGAGGACGCAAACGTGCCAGCAGGACATTACGTTAACATGAAGAGGACACGAATATCCACCGTTTTTGTGTTCATGAAAGGTACAACAGACACCCAAGCTCATCGTCTTCCGTTTTACTGAAAGACACTTGTTTGTAGAGCATCAAAACGACGCAAAGAAGTGAAACAAGAGAGCGTCAGCGTGCATTCTCGTATGTGTCTACCAGTGTTGTACGGATGAACGTGTGCTTTGTGACGTAGATACTAGAAGATAATACGACCACCGGTTCATCGAGGGAAGGTTTTGACATTCACAGCGACGAATTCCGGTCTATCGGAGACGATGACAATTAGTGGTGTGAGGGTCTGAAGCGAAAAAGTCGACATGAATAGTTTATACTGCTGTGCTGACCTTCTTTATCTGATATTCATGCGCGACGTAATACTTGTGGACAATGCACCAGCGGAAGGATTTATTATCAGCTAAGGAAGTAGCATATAAAGCTACAGCACAGCATTCTGCAGCTTCTGTCCTTGCAGCTCATGTAAAATATTACATGTTTGCCGGAACCATAGCCACATGCTGCGTCACCAAACAGTTGGTGATCCGTCAATGTTTTTTGAAAGCTTTTACTACCAAACTATAGCGTATAGAGTACAAAATAAGATTTCATGCGCCGCATGCTTTCACCAACTTCCGTACACGTAACGTCACAATGTGATTGTAATACCGGCTACTACCGAGCTGCGCAGTACTCAGTTCAAAGAAGCTATGTGGACGATTTGATTAAATTTGAATCTTATGTCGCGTCTTGTATGATGAGGTCTTTGATTCCCTTAACAATTGTTGCAAGCACCCACAGATCCTTTAAATTGGTGGTATACGCAACACTAGATTGCTTTTTTTCAGATCCAGAAGAAGTGTTTCGTTAACAAGTGTCGATAGTCCATCTGATCAGTTTCTCAAGAATGGATATTTGGTGATCCATTCAATGAATACTAAGGAATCCATTGTTGAGAAACTGATTAGATAGACATCTTGCTATCGCAACGTCTGGCTGAGGACATTCCATCCATTTTGGACAAAAGACTTTATGGCGCAGCCTTTGTAAAGAACACTGATCTCTTTGAGTTCCATAAATTGGTAATCTGAAGACTCTGTTGATCTAGGGTTTTACAATATGCACCTTCCTCTAATGCTTAGAGTCAAACATGCCATTTGGGTAATAACGGTAATCTTTTTGAGGTGGTCACAGCCTCATGCAACACACAACAACTTATTTCAATTTTCTAATGCTTTCAGAACATCTCAGCCTCAATGGCGATGCCGTAGATGACCTTTCGAGCTGCGTAGCCGTAAAAAAACATCGGCTACTTTTTTTGTACTACCTTGATACAGTTCAAAATAACAGCAGCGCTCTGAGCACCAAGGCCAAAAATAGGAGAGGCACCAACAAGCCCATCGATAATATCAGCGAGACAATAGGCAATCACAGCGCCACATGTGTGTAGCAAAGTGACTAAGAGCGTGTAAGTGGATAGTGCACAAGGACAATATTCTGATGAAGCATGTTGCAATTTTTAATGCGTTAGCGCTGGGTAGCTAGTAGCGTGTTTTTCTTGCCTCTACAAGAAAACACCAAATGTATACTCTTGACACACAATTAATATATATACTTAGCTACGCTCTTTTTGCTTGGACGACTTGTTCTGTTTACTGCCAAAACCAGACTGAGTACTTCTGCTCCTACCTCCAGACTGAGTACTTCTACTCCTACCTGCTCTTCGAGCTACCGTTTCACTTTCTCTTGTCCTTTAACGCGTCGTTATTCCAACTGCCAACTGCCGCAACTCGGTTGCATATTACAACACGCCTCTCCGACGTTTGCACCGGAAAAACCGCGTGATCATTTTTGCATCCCGATTAGCGATCAACACATCGATAAGCTGTGTCTTCAGCAAAGCTTTTATGAACATGTCACCTGGGTATGTCGTGCTGTTTCCATTCACGATGGTTAGCAGTCCTTTCTTGAACTAGCCCCTTACGTAGTGCCAGCGTAGTTCGATATGAAAGATCTACTGCTGTACGTCGGCTTGCAAGCCAATGTAATAGCTGCAGAATTGTCAACGCCCAGTTGTAGCATCACGTACGTTCATAAACAGTAGAATCTCGTCCAGCATATTTGCTATTCCTCTTTCCTCCATTGCGGCTTCGCACGCCGCGACATATTCCACCTCTGCGGTCCATTGTGCAATAATGCTCAACCGTCGCGTGGCCATGCCACTGCACCACCAATCATTATCAAAATGAATCCTGTGACGCTCTTCCGCGAGCCAGACCAGTGCCCTAATCCGCATCACAATGTCCGCTCATAAAAAGCTCTTGACCGTTCTTTGTTCGTGGTGTGTATGCGCCACATATTGTGAGTACCATCCAGATATCGCAGCACCCTATTGACGGCACCACAATGCTTTCGAGTGGATTGCTTACAAGTCGGCTCAATATGCCGATATGAAATGAACGACCGGGTTGTGTGCTGATAACTAAGTACATCAATGCTCAAATTGCCTGTCAATGATCAAATGCAGAGTTTTCTTGGTCATGATCATTGATAAACTGTGTCTTGCATTCGTTTTCGTTGGTGTCACACTGCCACGCGCTGCACTGAATCCAAACCTTTCCAGTACTTCGTTATGATGAATGTGAACTTTGTCATTGTAACGGGTTTACACAAAGGTGTGTATTTTACATTCACACCTGCCACACATATGTAAAGCTGTACCTTGGGTACAGTGGTAGATTGATGTGACCGTACCTAAGGTACGAAGGGTCACATCGTCAGCAAAAAGCCACGTGGTCAGATATTGAAAGCATTAAGAGCAGCGATGACGAAGTCGTGAGTGACGGTGATCGCGAACAGCTATATACACTCGTCAATGGTCTGACTGGGGATGTTGAATAGCCGATGGCTCTTTCAGCAATACCCGCAGTAAGTGCTCTGTTAGAGCTGGACGAGTTGTCCTTTGGCGAGTTTGGCAGTGCCTTACAGGCAGGCAACATCGCCGAAGTGGTCGTTATACGACCTATGGAGGAGTTGAACTCCTTGTCGCTTTTGGATAAAGTAGCTCTTTAGGATACCAAGTAGGCGCTGAATGCGCGTAGTAGATCACAGATTATGAAGGACACTTTGAATCCTTATTTTCCTTGGTTGAAGGAATATGGAGATGTTGTCTCTATAGAACCTCCTACAAGGTTACCTCCGGATAGGGGTGTACGTCATGAGATTGACTTGGTTCCAGGAACCAAATACTGTGTGAGCGAAAATGGCCACTGCCACGAGAACAATGTAACGTCATTGACGAGATCTTCATGCGAAGCAAGCGGCTGGCATGGTGCGTGAGAGTAAGTCTCCTCACTCTACGCCCACGTTTTGTGTGGAAA